GTCCTCGAAGCCATACCTCTGTGGAGGTACTCCTGCAGTCGCTCTCTTCGGTCTACCGGAAGCAATAGACTGTTGAGCTCGTGCACTGGACTCTGAAGTTTCTGGCTCTGCAGAGACATCCTCATCATGTTGATCTTCTCCACCTTGGTGCTCAAACTCACTCTCATTGAGAGTTTGCAGCTCCACCTGCTTATCAACATTCCTGCTACCTTCAGCAACAGTAACCTTCAACATGGGGTTAAACATAGACTTCTCATCAAATATCACATTTCTACTAAGTATAACTCGATGCTCAGAAGGTGACCAGACTCGAAATCCCTTAACTCCATCTCCGTAACCCACAAATACACCCTTCTTTGCCCTTGGGTTCAGTTTACCCTCATCCACGTGATAATAAACAGGACACCCAAAAACTTTCAGTGAAGAGTAATCAGCAGGCTTACCATACCACACTTCATAAGGAGTCTTACACTCGATACCTGTGTGTGGTCCACGGTTGATCAGGAAGCATGCCATGTTTACTGCTTCTGCCCAGAATCTTCTCTCTAGTCCAGCATTAGAGAGCATGCACCGTGCTCTCTCCAACAATGTCTGGTTCATCCTTTCTGCAACGCCATTCTGCTGGGGTGTATCTCTAACAGTCCGATGACGGGCAATCCCTTCATCCTTGCAGAATTCGTTGAACTCATAACTGCAGAACTCCAGACCATTGTCCGTTCGCAGCTTCTTGATCTTCTTCCCGGTCTGATTCTCCACCAATGTCTTCCACTGCTTGAACTTCGTGAAAGCCTCACTTTTCTGCTTCATCATGAAAATCCAAGTAAATCTCGAATAATCATCAATAATAGACAGAAAATACCTGCTGCCTCCAATGGATTCAACTCGTGAAGGACCCCAACAGTCAGAGTGGAGGTAATCCAGTATCCCCTTCGTCCGGTGGATACCCTTCTTGGGAAACTTGCTGCGATGTAGCTTCCCAAACACACAATGCTCGCAGAATTCCAAATTCTGCACCTTGTGCCCGCAAAGAAGATCCCTCTTCGATAGAACTTGCATCCCTCGTTCACTCATATGCCCCAGTCTCATGTGCCAGAGAGTGGTCATATCTTCCTGTTGAACCTGAGACGATGCAACTGCAGCAGAACCAGACAACACAGACCCTTGTAATGCATACAAGGTCCCACGCTTCACGCCCTTCAGTACCTTCCTCGAACCCTTGCAGACATACACAACTCCACCTTTTCCTTTGAAGCTGAAGCCCTTGCTGTCGAGTAGACTCAAGGAGATCAGGTTCTTTGTCATTCGTGGAACATGTCTGACATCATTCACGGTACAGAACGAACCATCATGTGTCCGAACCTTTATGGACCCGAATCCAACAACCTTGCAGACAGCTCCATTAGCCATGACCACGTTACCACCATCTATCTGCTCATAGGTTGTGAAGCAATCCCTGTTCGGAGACATATGGTATGAGGCTGCAGTATCCAGAAACCACACATCACCACGATGTGCCTTCTCATCTACAGCCAATGCGAGATCGTCTTCAGAACTGTTGTCCACTTCTGCCACGGCAACTGAACCTTGTTTCTTCTGTTGCCCTCTTCTCTTGGGACATTTGTACTTCCAATGCCCCACTTCCTTACAGTTGTGACAAGCATCACCTGGCTGTGGACTGGGACCCTTGGAATTCTTGCTCGAATTCCCTTTACCAGATTTCTTCTTTCCCTTTCCACCTGTAACAGCCAAACCCGATGCCTCACCACCTGTACCAGATCCGGACGCCTTATGTCTGATCTCTCTCGTATGAAGAGCAGACCTGACATCCTCCAACGACACGCTTTCTTTACCAGCAATAAAAGAATCAACGAAATTCTCATATGAACTCGGCAAAGAAACCAGCAGGATTAGGGCAGCATCCTCGTCATCAACTTGAACATCTATATTACGCAAATCCAGCAAAATAGAGTTAAGCTGTTCGAGATGTTCCCTCAAAGGCGTACCTTCTTGCATCCTCAAGCTGAACAACCGTTGCTTGAGATGCAGCTTGTTGGTTAGAGACTTAGTCATGTACAGACTCTCTAGTTTCAACCACAAGCCCGCGGCAGTCTTCTCAGCAGCGACTTCAATGATGACGTCATCAGACAACGATAGCATGATGGTCGAGTGGGCCTTCTCCTCCAGGGTATTCCACTCATCGTCATCGACCGCTGCCTTCTTCTGTTTCGCAGACAGCGGCCCCCACAGCCCTTGCTGTTTCAATAAAGCCTGCATCTTGATCTGCCATATAGCGAAGCTGTTCTTCCCCGTGAACTTTTCGATCTTCATGTTCACCGACGTCATTCTTCTGAATCGAAAAAAACCTAGCCTGATTTCCAGCCGCGGCTCTGATACCACTTGTTATAAACGCGCTGCTACGGATCGGGAAATCGCCGGGATCGACAAAGCAAGAATACGAAAGCGAGAATCGAAAACACGACACACGATTTACGTGGTTCACTAACACGATGTGTGTTAGCTACGTCCACGGGTGAGAGAGAGCCGATTTCACTATATCAAGGAGATTACAGATTACAGAGGAGTATGAGAAGTATTTATAGTACTTCTCCATGTGGGTCTAAATCTAATCCAATCTAGCAAAGGAAATGGTTACAGACCAGGCCCAGAACCCGAACCCAAATAACATTGAGCCCATACACCGTGGGCCGGGGGCGTTGCCCCTGGACCCCACTCGCTGACCGGTCAGCGAGACCCCCGATTACCAGTCGTAGCGGCTGATAGTCCGATTCAAGTCATATCAACAAATATCATACCCCAAATTCTTGTTAATTCATGGTATTAATTGCTTGAGTCCATAGATATATGTGAACCTTTCTTTTTTCTTCTGGTCATCTTGTTTACGGCCAATTAGTTACGTTTCACGAGATACCAAGCTCCGTTGACCACCGCGCGCCGGCGATCCAGAACTTGGGCTTGCCAACCACCTCGATAAAACCATGGTGAGCATTCAGTGCAACAATCAAGTTGACGGGCTTGAAATTCAGACCAAAAACGGCGAATGGTTTGGAATCCAGCCCTCTACACCTTGCTCTTTCGTAAGGCTGTGTCATAAACCAGTTGCTCCCCATCATACCTTGTGCTTTAATAAACTGTTAATATTGGGGGTCGTGGAGATTCGAATACATGACCTCAAGAACAAACCAGCTCTAATACCATGTCATAAACCAGTTGCTCCCAATAACTCGAGTTGTTAGGAAAAAGTTATGTTGGATCTTATACCACACTCTAACAGGCTTGGGAATCTCTTTACGTAAGTCACCTTCGACAATTCTCCTACGCTATTATGCAGTCTTGATTTTGAACACATGATATTATATACACCCATAGCTCGGTTGAAACTAGACGCTAATGATCAATATTTTTTTTTAAAAAAAGGTTACACTCATCTGCTGGCAATTTGTATAATATGATGACAATCATAGTCGAGAATACAACTACCTCATCCAAGTATTTTTTACTCCTAATTAAATTGTCCTTATAATGGTTAAATTTATGAATCTCGAATGTTGCGAGGCGCAAGTTAGGCTTGTTTTTGTTGTCATATTCTTGCGTAAATTTACATAAATTCTTATTGTTGTCATACAACTGAAGACTGATCATATCGTCTTGACACGAATTTGAATGACCAAAAGCGAACCAGCCACTAGCTCGTGTTTTCATCTTTTGCTTCTTTATGTCCCTTGTGCAGGCTTGGTTGAATGGTAGGATTAATTGTCCTAATCATAAGGTTATAATGGCTGGAAATGAGACGAGATATTTCTATGGTTTCTCCAACCCAAAGACAAGTTACCTTGTAAAAGCTCCAGAAGAGTTGATTGACGAACAACACCCCAAGCCATTCAAGCCCTTTTATTATGATGAGTATCTTGCCTTCTCTTTCACCCATAATGTTGCTCCATTAAGTGTATATTGTGGGCTTTGAAATTTGTAACAACATATGGCATATCCATTACAAGAAATAAAATGAAATAAAATAGTGGAGTCATTTTGAAGAATCATAATTAGTAAGAGGCCATTTCAATGTGGTTTAGGTCATTTTGTTGCTCCAATGCGAGTGATGTGAGAAAATTACTTGTATATTTTTGTGGAAACTGTCGAAATATATGAAATTTTGTTCAATGCGGAGAGTAGATCTCAATTTCGAATAACAGTATAATTTATTGCACTATAAGTGTCAAGTGTCAAAACAAATATACGCTGCAGCAGAAAACAAACAGTCTTGTAAACTACAAAATTTACCACCAAATATAGTACTATTTATGACCAATTATATTTAGTACCTAATATATTAAAAGTCTTGGTCACCGATACATCTCAAAGAATTGAAAACCAGAATACCAGATTAAAATTGAGGAATTCAAATACTTTGGTAACAAAATGAAAAATTACACTTATTAACCACTTTTTTTATTTAAGTTCATGTAATTTTTTACTAGCTAGGTATTTGGTACTGGTGTTTATGAACCTGACTCCAAAGGACAATCAAGTCATTTTACATGATGCTTGCGAAGCTAGCTAGCTCATGTTTCCTCAATTTCACACAGGCAGAGCCAATCATCCTACTGTCACAACCCTGAATTTGGTTTCTATATAAGGTCTCCATATGAGAAGCTGACTGCTCAAGAGCTAGGAGACCAGCAAAAGGCATTATTAACAATGGAGAACTACAGAGCAATCTTCTTCATGTTGTCGTCATTGGTCTGTTGTAAAGTTACAGTCAGTACTTGACTAAAAATCTGAGATTTTCCTAGCCATTCTCTTCCCATCCCATTTACAGTTCATGTGAACAAGATCATATGAGCGATCAGCAGTCTCATTTCCTAACTATTCACCTCCCATCCCAATTACAGTCACATTTCCCAATTACCGTTCACGAATAAGAGATTTTATTTCATCAATACTATCAGGGTCACTTTTTAATCCTTAGCGTTTATCACGGGTCAACTCAAGTATCTCTTTTGAATGGAGAATGAATTCAACAATGGAGAAGCCTCTTTCAGACGAGCTTGGGTAAAAGTCGAGGCAATAAGCTGCTTGTAGGTAAAGGGCTTGAACAACAAGGGGTGTTGTTCATCAATCAACTCTTCCGGCGCTTTGATAGTGTTGTTCGCCTTTGGGCGTGTGAAAAGTGCGAACGAATATCTCAACTTATCGTTTTCACACAACCATACCCTGTGATCGGGACAGTGAACCCTACCATTCAGCCATGCCTACACAAAATATGAAATCACAAATTATATAGCCAGATTATAATTGGATTTGGTTGTTGTCATCACTATCTTACACCTCACACTGACAAAATTAATAAACTTGTGGAAATTTTTCACAGGAACGTTCAATCCATTTTGAAGGGATTTGTTCCAGAAATAAGATGTGATGCAAACTAATTTTAAAAATAATACAATGAAATTTTATTTTAATGGCCCAATATCACACATAAATTAAAAAACTGGTGAATAGAGAAGTGACTTACGTAAAGAGAATCACCAACCAAGACGACGAAAGAGCTACGAGAAGTCGGTTTGAATTTAACCCATTCACCTCTCTTGTTTTGAAGCTCCAATCCATCAACCTCATTTTGGCACAACGTTGTAATCATACTTTTATCAGTATGGACTTTCAGCCCAGTTTTTGGATCTAGTGCAGTTTCGAAAGTAGCTACTGTTACTTCGTATTTCATGACCCTCAAATGGTAATTTGTGAAGCACATATGTTCATCCACATATTTCTCAAGGCCAAAGCTTTCCAGTATCATCGTTCTCACAATTTGATCCAGTTCAGACACCTTCTTAGACATGGAGTGGATATTTTTGCTGCAAACATTAGTATGTTTGAAAAGTGCTAATTAAATTAGTTTTGACATGGTATGAGATGACGTACGGAGTATATGAGAGCGTAGCAAACACTAGACGAGTGTATATGTAGTATGTATACGAATTTCAAACTGGATAATCATGAGCACTAGAACGCCGAAGTTGAATGTGCTCCAGCAGCGAGTAGGGATGGCAACAAAACCCGAACCCATGGGTACCCACCCGACCCAACCCGGTCAACGCGGGTAAAATTCGTGTTGACGGGTTTTGGGCCGGGTTTGGGTTTAAACCCGTTCACTATTTAACGGGTTGGGTTTGGGTTTAGGTAAACCCGGCCCGTGGGTACCCGCCCACCCATATAATTAATTTTTTCGGTATATTTAATATTCTAAACAACTAATCTTATTTATGTCTGTGGAGACATGTCTAATTTTTTCTTTTTAATTGTGTAGAATCAAGTTGATGTTATGGAGTGGAGAGTAAAGAAACTTAATTGAAAGGAAGAAGCTTTCAATTAAACATGTTATTTATGGAAAATTTGTGATTTGCTTCAATTTTTTTGAGTTTTCTAGATTGGTGTTGAACAATTTGTATAGTTAATTTGTGATTTGCTTGAATTTTCTAGAATGGTGTTTTATATATGGATAATTTGTATTGAGAGATTGATATTTGACTTTAATTTTGATAAGAACTTGTAATTGTAAATTTTTTACGACAAAACCCGTGGGTACCCATGAACCCGCGGATACCCAACGGGTTGGGTTGGGTTTGAGTTTTTCAAACCCAGTGGGTTTTACCCCGGGTTTTTTTCAAAGATAAACCCATGGGTTTGGGTTTGGGTTTGGCAAAACCCGACCCAACCCGACCCATTGCCATCCCTAGCAGCGAGAGTATTACTAATTAAGATGGATAATTAATCACGGACATTATATACATCACCTGAAACTGGGATTATCTCCTTGGGGCCATAATCTGTCAGAGAAGTTCTGGACCACATCAAGCAGATGAGGATCGTTTAGCCCAAAGCTCTCAAAGAATGGATTCGCCGGAGGACGGCCCAAGTAACCTTGGGGAAATGCCTCGGGAGGAAAACTTGCTTGTTTGGTGGGCAAAGGCAGATCAAAGAGATCTTCAAGTGAACCGAAAACATCAGTTCGAAGCCGACTAGGAACCCTGTCGAAGGAAGCCTCGAAGCAGCCGTAGTCTTCGAGTGCTTCCCGAACTTGGGATTTCAAGGAATCCCAATAAGGAGTGCCTTGTTTCAGATTACCGGGCCTTGAGAAGTCTATGAATGGAAGCTTTAGATCACTAGCAGGCGCTTCATTGATGGATCCAGCCATATATTGGAAACACACGTCTATGTCTATATATGAAATGGTATTATGCTTGAGAGAGAAATTAGAAAGAAGATGATGCTCAGGTTCCCAACTCTGCCTCTCCCTGGCTTGTTTATTTATAGTGCTTAATTACTACTTTTCCATTTTAATTGTTTTTGGTGTGCCAAGGGTAAAGATGTCCTTGTAAGGGCTATTGTTTTTGAGTTTGCAAATGAATTTCAACAATGGCCCTCTTGTAGTAATTAATTCTTACAGAATCTTATTGACTACTAATTAACATGATTTTGACTTCTTAACTGCTCATCATCATCTACTTACAGCAGTGAACGATGTTTATTAATTTCCAAAACGAGCAAGTTGCAACAAATCCATGTATCAACCTAGCTATTATTAACTGCTTATCACTTTTATAAATTCACAAGCGAGGCTGACAGTCCATCATATTAACAAAGTAATGTAGGATACGTTGAAAGTGGGAACCCTATAATTTTGATGTTCTCATTCATCCTTTGGTTTAAATAGGCAAAGATTATTACCATAAAATCGAGATTACTGTTTCTTAAGAAAAAATCAGAATTTACTATTCACTATGGGATTTTATAATCATACGTGGGCGTTTTTATGTGAACCTGAGTTCACCATATTAGGCTAGGCAAGTATGACCGTTGATTTGAGCCCATAAAGAAACGGCGACAACTCGCCTGCTACTTTTTTTTTTTTTTGCGTATCCCTTCTCTATTTTTCGTTACTTTTTACTTTTTACCCAATTACTTTCTTTCCTATCTACAGTCAAGACCCATCAATCAACCTCTCTCTCCCTCTCCCATCCCTATATTCTATGCAAACCCCCACAACTGATCACGATATATCATTCCCATTTCCCAATCTATCAAGCCTCCTCTCTCTCTCATTTGTTAATTATCAAGGTTGTCAAACCGGTTTATACTGTTGTATCGGTTTGGCAAGTAGAATTGTACGACCGGTGGTATAACCAGTTTGTGTCGGTTCATGCCAGTTTAAAAAAATGAGAAAATAATTAATATCCAATGTATCTAATCATATATAAAACATATTTGTGGACAATTTAGTTACAATCCAACAAATATCATCAACTTTTAACTATTACATTCATAAAATGAATAATAAATTAATTATCTTATTCATTAAATTCATTAAAATGATGTCATTTTACTTAGAATGTGTAAGTCGATCATACCGGTGGTGTCATATGCCGGTTTCATGACCGACACAGGTTGAATCAGGTTCAACCTGGTGGCATGCCACCGGCATGACAACCAAGATTAAATGTGTATGAAGTTCTTCAATTATATTTGCAAGCATTTATATTAGCATCAGTTTGTCAAATACGAAATTAAACTTTAGATTTGTAATTATCCAAATAACATTATTCATTGAACAATTGGAACTTTATATTCTAATTTTCATGGCCAAAGGGCAAAGGTCATGTTCTCAAATTCCAATAACTCCTAATGATGATGCATGATTTAAGCACATTTGACAAATTTATGCAACTTCTAACTCACCAAATATAATGATTTTCTATTATTATATATTGCTTTTTGTTGCTGTATTTCCTTTTTTTTTTACAATTGTGAACAATTTCATTCAAATACATAAGACAAACTTTACAATAAAATTTAGTATGTGATTATTCCAATTTGAGAAAAGTTTGTTTCGCCTTCTTAAATGAATAGAGGCTAAATTAGTACAAACTCATGTTTAGATAACGAACTCAGGTACTCTCCAGGTTTAGTAGACCTTGCTGCTAGAAACTGACACGTGGGATTGAGGTTCCTGAATAATAAAAAAATGTCTTGATGAAAACTTCGGCTGAGTTATAACATATGGTTGGCTGTATGCACAAACAAATGAGAAATTGCCTGTATTATCTTCACAAACTCTATTCCATGATGTAACTACTAAATGTATTTGATTTAATTGTTGCATCTTCAATTTCATGAATTCCTTTATTATTAACTTGATTCTGTAAATAAAGTTCATAACTTAATTCCTTATTATTATCCTCCATCAATTTGTATTACACAAAGTTTCGTAAGGTAAGTTCAAAACAACGGTAATTACAGTAAATAAAATATTCACAATATCAATTTACATTAGGTAAAGATTTCATAAGATAAGTTAAATTTTACATAATTGTTTAATCAAATGTGACAATTTTCATAATTTGATTTTATTATTAGACCATACATTACATATAATTTATCTAACACCGATATGTAAAAGTTATGAAATTACATATATATTACGTCAAACTTATGGAATAATAGTTATTTCTTATGTAGCAATCAAACAAACTTTAATTATATTAACTACAATATTCATCATATAATCCATTATGCACTACACAAAGGTTTAAGTTAACTTCTACATAATAGTTTAAACAAATGTGCTCTCTTCTTGCTTGATGTGATAATTATTGTTTATATATCAATTAAACAAGTGTATATCAGTATACGTAAATCTTACCGCCGCAAAGCGCGAGCTAAAAAACTAGTTTATATTATATGACAAGGTGTGCCAACTTACTTTTGGAAAACAACTACAAAAATAAAGCATAACTTTTTACGAAGTAATGGTTTTAAGGTGTACGTTTGTAAAGTTACAATCAATCCTTAACTAAAAGTTGGGGGGTTTTACATCGAGCTAATACAGCGAAGTCCATTATTTAGTAGTGTTTAATTACTTGATCAGAAGAATGTTAATGAATAATCTAGTAGAGCAGTTAAGACATCAAAATCATGACAAAAAAAAAAAAACGAAACAAAGAATAATAATTCGTCTTCTTTCACATAATTGATCCTCCCTCCTCCTACCTATATCGGACTTAAACAATTAGTTAGTACTAGAATAATGGCCTGCGCGTTGCGGCGGGTATGTCGCAAAATATAAATGGAATGAGCAGCGTGTGACTGCTAAAGGTCTAAAAGTATTGTCTGGTAAAGATCTAAAAGTATTGTTTGGTGTAATTTTAATTAGTTACGAAATATATATAGAACTATCCTTTAAATTTGTTAATTTGTTTACAACGTTTCGAAGGACCATTTTCGTTCATTTTCGATTATCTTCTTGAATGCCCAACAAAGCTTGATTTGGAAGAGTAAACGCAACTCCAAAGTTCGCTACTCAAGTTATCAGTTGTGGACTTGTGGTGAAGAACCTCGATTGGACCAAAAGTACAAATTCTCCCTCAAGTTGGAATACTACGGTCTACGAATGAAAATGGGAACATATATATTCGACAATCGAACGTATACGAACTCAATAATAATCTAAACATTTACATAGCAATTGTGTATCATTCATTAGATAAAAGTTAAAACCATGAAATTGGTATTATGGTAAGATGAAAGAAAATAATTAATGAAGAAAGAAACATAGCATTTTTTTTAACTGATCCAGAATAAAAAAGGTATCATAAGGAATTGATTCCATGCTGGTAATTAAGTGCCCAAGTGTCAAGTTTTTGGTGCAACGTGTAATTCATGCACATATTTATGTACAACGGGAGGTTAGAATGAACCAAATTAGATAACCAACGCTCTTAAGTTTTAAGAGGAGCAACAAATTTGGTTGAACCACACTCTAATCTTTCTACAACCACCTGCTTCTCTTTCTGTCCTTCTTTTCTCTTTCTATCCATCTGGACTAATCAAATCTCAAACACCGCCATCTTTCGATCGGGGCAAAAGTGAAAGGAGATGAAATCATAGATGAACAATTGGAAAAGCAGAGTCATAAATTAAACCACCCGTATGAAAATGGCTGGGACTTGGGAATCCATGATCCGGTAAGAAGTCGCTCAGACTCTTTACCACTTAGGCTCTCTTGGTCGCTTTGATTTCGCAGAGAAGAGAATCAGTACGATACACAGGGCACTTCTCTGTTGGCCTCTGCTTCTATCGATTGACTCTGCTTCTACGAATTCGGAAGGGAAATCGCTGCTAGCTATTTGGCCAGCCACCAACAGAAGACGGGAGGAGCACAACGATAAAATCAGGGGATCCAACTGGTCAAATTGCCAGTCGGTCGACGGGGAAAATCACGGATGGGAAATTGGAGAGAAAGGACAACGATGAGAAGGAAACAAACGATAATGGGAATTTCGAAACGAAAGAAAGAGGGCGCTCGGGACTTGCGGTGATCCGGACCGCTTGCTTGCGGTGTTTCCGGTGGGATAGAAAGAGAGGCAACCGGTATAGATCGAATTCCAATGATACACCCGGGAAGACCGAAGGGGAAGAACTTGCGTCGCCGCCAGTCAGCCTACGCTGGGAGACCAAGGAAAGATTGGAGAGCAGAAGCAAATAATTGGGCGCAAAAAATCTTGTGGGATTGGGTCGCAGGAGGCTTATGGTACACCTGCCCGCGGCCTACTGGATCCCTTAAGCAAAACTGGCGGATTAATAATACTAATAATTAATCGGCAAGCATACTTAAGGGGGTCTGGGCAGATACGGGCGGGTCTACCCTAACCTTGGTGCACCCCACGCTAGCCCTTAAACCCGTTTCTTTCCCTTTCATCCCCTCCGACGATTCCCTGACGGCTGGGCAAGTTGGACCGGCGAAGTGAACGTAATCCTCCCAATTTCCATGGAGGGTATTAGATACAGTATAAGCCGGGGATCCAGCCAGCAGATTGGTAAGTTGTTTGCTGCCGATTTCCCTTCCATATCCGAGAGAAGAACTCTTTCCCTCCGATGATTCGATGGCGGCCAGAGTGATGGAAATTAACATGCAAAGCTCGAATTGTCATTCTCACATTGAGATTCTTTCAAAAACCTAGATAGGAAACATGTAGAACCCAACTCCACTAACCTCCAACTCTGCAATTGCACTGGGAGTCCTTCTCTGATGCTCCAAAGTTGCATGCGAAGAAGAAGAGAACACAATGAGCTTAATTTGCCAATATCTGTTTTTTTTTAATCTCCTTCATAGTGATCATTCGTGTGAAACTGATACCTCACTTGAATGGGGAGGTAGCCCTAGAAATAAAGGGGGAAATATTACTCAAAGTTTCACCTCCGCTTCATTCACATTCTTCTTCCTCTCGCTATCTCTATCCCATGCATAAGAAGATCTTTGGTAGGGGTGGCTATACGGTCCGGTCCGGTTAAATTGGACCAAATTGATCCGGTCCAGTCCGGGTTTTTTTGAAAATATAAGGACCGAAGATTGGATTGGATACAATCCGGTCTTGATCCGGTCCGGTCTTGACCTGGTCCGGTCCCAATTCAGTCTTGATTTTATATTGAGATTGTGGGAATTTGAGTGGCCTAAGGCCTAAAAGGGTGAGGAGTTGGTTAAGTTTTGTACTAAGTGCAAAGGTTTGTGACCGTTTATGCAAATTACCCTTAAGTTTTGGGTGATAAGCTCTCTTATCCGGTCTTTATCCGGTTTTTTACCTCAAATCTAAGCCCAAAGATTGGATTGGATTGTTTACTATCCGGTCCCGGTCCGGTCTCGGTCCGGGTTATACGGTCCGGTTTCCGGTTTTTCATCCGGTCCCGGTCCAAATAGCCAGCCCTAATCTTTGGGATGACGAGCAACAAAAAGTAATGGGGTAACAGGGAAAAGGATAAGGGAAATCAAGAGGACGATGTTCATTTGCTGCATGAGATGAAGGTTACACGTGTAACTAAATAACCCAACTTTGCTTGCCCATTTATCACCTTTCTTCATTTTAGTTGCCTCCTTATTCACCTTCTTGCTTCAATTAATTGATAACCCCATATGTACAGAGTACAGACTACCCAATGATATATGGTACTGTCTTATATTCATGTTATCCACAGGTATGAGATTATATAATGGCTAATTATGAGTAAGAGCCACGCAAGTCAAAAATTGTATGGGTTATAATGGCTAATTGTGGAGATTAGTAAAGCAGATGATAAATATCACAGTTTAAATTGATGGGATTAATGCTTAAAATTATAGTATTTAAATTGTATACGCACCATTCTCAGCTAAAATTGTACGAACGAGTAAATAACAATTCTATGTGGTACAAACACTATTTAATTATGATATTTTCTTTTTGTTTTCGTGCTTCTTTTCACTATATATGAAATTAGAATTTGATAATATTTTATTCGTTCCAACGCATTCGAATTTGAAATGTATTAGAAAAGTAAAAAAAACACATGACTATCATGTAGATATGTATTTGAGTCTTAAAAAAAAACTATCATAGTTTAGCATTTGCGTAGCATATTTATAAACTAAGCATTTGATAATATTTTATTCGTTCCAACGCATTCAAATTTGAAATGTATGAGAGAAGTGAACAAAAAAAATTAGGTTTATTCATTCTATAATTCAAAGTTCATTTTCCTACATTTCACTTATGCATTACATCCAATCAAATTATTGCATAATTCATTATATTATAAATGATTTGGTCCTTCAATAATTTAGACCATAAGTATAAAAGGTTCATTTACAAAACCAAATATCACAACATATAAAAAATCTCAAAAAAAAAATTGTACAAGATCTCGAAGCAACGCTCGGGCCAATTATCTAGTGAATGATAATTAAACTAATTTAGCGGCGTTTAATTAGCTATTGCAACATCCGTGAAAGCTAAGACTCGAAAGAAGAAGCCAGAGCCTTCTCTCATCTACAGCTACCGCCTACCAGCACAGCATCAAATCAATGGCCTCTCCGGCCGGTCTCCAATCAAATCAATTGGAGGGGAATCTCTGGTCAGCATATATAAGATCAAACATGATTAATATTTTAACACTATGAATGTTGCCACTATCTCTTCCCATTTTGGCTAAGCATTATGTCATATATATGAGTGTGATGAATGCTTTATTTCATGGCTATTAGTATTTTTTATTTGAATTGTCCTATCCCCGTATGTCAATGGACCCCAAATGAGATCATGGCTGATTAAGCATATGTATAAGAAATTCGTATTATTGTTGGATCATATTATGTCAACAAAATGAAAAATTCACAATCGAGTTTAAGGGGTCGTTTGGATCATCAATTTTGACTTGAGGGATTTTTTAGGGATTTGGGTCTAAATGAGACTTGGTTATTAGGCTAAATGGGACATTTCAAGACCAAGTTCTTGCTGACTCGAGCTAATTTTATAATGTGGTGGGTACAATTAATCGGTATTATTGTTGTTTCACTGAACCTAAGCGATGGACAACAAACATCATCACGTAAAGTAAAGGTAACACACGTCGATATTATTACATATATGTTGACTGACAGACATGCTGAGTTGAAGTTCAATCAGCACAAATTTTGATTAAGTTTCAAATCCCATAATGTGCATGTAGTATAGAACCGTCTTTCGACCCAGGCTTGCTATAAGCCAAAGCAAAATACTCTTGATAAGCAAAGGGCTTGAACCTCAAGGGGTGTTTTTCGTCGATCAGTTCTTCTGGAGCTTTTATAACGTACTCGGGCTTCGGTATTGTGAAAAGTCCAAAGGAGTATCTCATCTTATCATGTAACTGACACAACGTAACCTTGTGCTTGGGACAGTGAACTCTACTATTCAGCCATACCTGTAAACACATAAATACACGAGAGCACAATTACATGCATAATGTAAGAAAGCGATTAAGATCTATACATGGATCTCCCCAACAATTAAAGTTATTGGGATCAATTGATTAAGATCCATATATGGATCTCTCCCAACATGGGATTAGAGCTTATTTTTCATTGAGATGATGGAAACTTCAAGCCCATAAGTAGACTTTCGTTTGAGGTACGTGTAAGAAGTGGTTAAAACCATACATGGACTTTTCACAACAACTCAAATTATTGGTGCCACTCATAATTAATTTGCTTGGATTTTCCCCAGCTTCTGCCGGTTATATAGAGAAGCAAGTTAACTAACCAGAAGAGAAAACAGATTGATCGACTTACATGAAGAGCATCGCCGATCAGAACGACGAATGAGCTAGGAGATGTCGGTCTGAACTTAACCCATTCGCCTTTCTTGGTTTGAAGTTCCAGTCCCCCAACCTCATTTTGGCATAGTATGGTCATGAAACTCTTATCCGTGTGAACTCTCAGCCCGAGTTCTGTCTCATCGTGAGGTTGGACGGCTTCGTATTTCATGACCCTCAAGTGGTACTTTGTGAAGCCCAGATGCTCGTCGACATATTTCTCAAGCCCAAAACTCTCGAGTATCATTCTCCTCACGGAGCGATTGAATTCAGAGACCATCCCAACCATGGTGTGAATGTTGTTGCTGCAACTTGTACATTAAGTTCTAAACTTCTATGCTTTTCAACCAATTATAAAATTTTGGTATCCAGCCATATAAATAATAAGATGATGTCACCTGAAACTTGGGTTTCCTCCATGGGGCCACAATTTGTCGGTGAAGGTTTCGACCACGTCAAGCAAATTGGGATCGTCCATCCCAAAGCTCTGGAAGAAAGGAATCGGTGTCGCAACGTAGCCGTGTTGAAATGACTGAGAAGCACCACTCTGTTGTTTGGTGTGCAAAGGCAGATCGAAAAGCTCTTCCAATGAACTGAAAACATCAAGTCGAAGCTCGCCAGGAACCTTGTCGTTGGGAAAAGATGCCTCGAAGCAGCCATAGTTTTCAAGTGCTTCTCGAACTTGGAGTTTCAAGGAATCCCAACTGGGGGTGCTTGGTTTCAGCTCTGATGAGAAATCTATGAATGGAAGCTTCAGAGACTCATCAGAACCCATTTTAAGCGATTTGCTCTATAAGCTAATATTTACTAGCTAGCTAGCTAGCTATTATTCTCTGAGAGGATGTTGTGTATTTATAGCGTACGTCCTTTGAATAATTCTTTTATGGGGGGTTTTAGTTTGCAGTTCTTTGGTCATAAATCTAATGTCATCTTAATTTTTTTTTTCTTGTAAACAAGCTTAATTAATGTGCTGATAATAATGGTTTATGTCAAGAACTAGTTAATTCCAATAACTCCAGTTGTTATGGAAAAACTTCTGCCGGATCTTATACCACTTTTTAATAATTTCAAGTGGGCAGCTGGATTCCCTCTCCTCTAGTTGTCACCTTTATTAAGTCAGAAGCTACTACGACACTAAAACATAAATTAAGAACTAATCATTCATGTTTAATGTTGACGTCTTAACTGCTCATCTAACTTAGGGCTCGTTTGCTTGTTGGATTTGAAAATGAAGGTTTTGAGTTTTAAAAACCTTTGGATTTATGATGGTTTTGTTGCATCATGGATTTGGAAGAGTACATTGTTTGTTTATTTGATTTTTTATCATGGATTTGTGATGGACTTGTCTCACATTTTTTCCTTCTATTGTCAAATCCCAAATGAAATGTGGGATTTACAAATCCGTGGGGTCCACGGATTTGGATCTAAAAAAGGGGTTCAAATCCGTGGACCCCACGGATTTGTGTCCCTCAACAAACAAAGGATTTGTGCCAACTCCATGATGCTTGGGATTTGGGTTCCAAATCCATCACCCAAATCCCACAAGCAAACGACCCCTTAGTTTCCAACTACATTATTAAAAAAAAAAGCTTAGTTTCCAACTACTTATTACATATATTTATAACAATATAGTTTCACATCAAATTATGAGTCCCTATGTAATAAATAAAAAGACTTAACAAACCCTTTCCCAATTAATAAGAGTTATTGGGGCCAAGTGGTTGGTTCCCTAACATTAGGGCTGACTATTTGGACCGGGACCGGATGAAAAACCGGAAACCGGACCGTATAACCCGGACCGAGACCGGACCGGGACCGGATAGTAAACAATCCAATCCAATTTTTGGACTTAGATTTGAGGTAAAAAACCGGATAAAGACCGGATAAGAGAGCTCAACACCCAAAACTTAAGGGTAATTTGCATAAACGGTCACAAACCTTTGCACTTAGTACAAAACTTAACCAACTCCTCACCCTTTTAGGCCTTAGGCCACTCAAATTCCCACAATCTCAATATAAAATCAAGACCGAATTGGGACCGGACCGGGTCAAGACCGGACCGGATCAAAACCGGACTGTATCCAATCCAATCTTCGGTCCTTATATTTTCAAAAAACCCGGACTGGACCGGATAAATTTGGGCCAATTTAACCGGACCGGACCGTATAGCCACCTCTACCTAACATGGTATCAGAGATTAGAACCGAAAGGTCATGGTTTCGAATTTTCATGACAACCTACAATTTAAATAATGATTTAGTACAAGAAATGGTATGTCCAACTTGTACAAACTGAAAGGCTAATGGGTTGGCAACACAAGGAATGATATGTTCAACCTGTGCAAACCGTATAAGAAAACCACGAAAAGGTAGGTTTTCGTTTGAGTAGGCTTCGTTGTTTATATCCCATGAGTCTAATTTGTGTAATTGGTTATGATTTCGGCGAAAATGATTTTTTTAGATATGTTGTTTTGTGGTTAGCATAGCGATGGACAACAAACATCATCACATAGAGTAAAGGCAACACACACTGATCGATATTCTTATTACATATGTGTTGACCGACCATGCATAGACACTAATATTGTGGCATGAAGAGTTGAAGTTTAATGGTCAGTACTCCCTTGATCAAGTTTCAAATTCCATAATGTGCATGTAGTATAGAAGCGTCTTTTACACCAGGCTCGTTATAAGCCAAATCAAAATACTCTTGATAAGCAAATGGTTTGAACTTCAACGGGTGTTTTTCGTCGATCAGTTCTTCTGGAGCTTTTATAACGTACTCTGGCTTCGGGACTGTGAAAAGTCCAAAAGAGTATCTCGACTTACCATTTAACTCACACAACGTAACCTTGTGTTTGGGACAGTGAACTCTACCGTTCAACCATACCTGTAAAAAATAAAAATACACGAGATCGGCACATGATCGATTACATGCATAATTTGCTTGGATTTTGCACTCCGACAATATAGAGAAGCAAGTAATTAACTCGTCAACAGATCGACTTACATGAAGAGCATCGCCAATGAGAACGACGAAGGAGGTAGGAGAAGTAGGTGCGAACTTAACCCATTCCCCTCTCTTGGTTTGAAGTGCCAGTCCCCCAACCTCGTTTTGGCAGAGTATGGTCATGAAACTCTTATCCGTGTGAACTCCCAGCCCAAGTACTTCTGTCGCAGCATCAAGAGGTTGGAGAGCTTCGTATTTCATGACTCTGAATCTGTATGTCGTGGAACTCAGATGCTCCTCCACATATTTCTCAAGCCCAAAACTCTCCAGCATCATCCTCCTCACGGTGCGATTGAATTCAGAGACCACCCCAGCCATGGACTGAATGTTGTTGCTGCATTTAACATGTACATCAATTTCTACCTTGGTTAATTGGGCTTTTCTTTTACCGATCTAGCTAGCTATTAGAATTTCAATCCGATATAAATAGGATTATAGGTATAATATACCCCTTTATTATGTATTTTTAACAAAAATGACCATCTACTATTTATTACATCAAACATGCTTATGTATTTTAGAAAAACTATGAAACATACCGCTTTCGCTTTCTGTTAAGATTTCCATCCAAACATCGTCAACCACGGTTCAACAGTGATTTGAGCCTTTGAGGGACAAGTCGTCCGAACCATGGTTCGATCGTGGTTGAAGATTTTTGGATGAAAATCTTAACATAAGGATATATTTGATAATTTTAAAAAATATGCTTCACATTTAATGTAAAAAATAGTAGAGATGTATGTTTGATAAAATTAAAACGCATAATAGAGAAATATAATAAATAGATTCTCACCAGAAGCTTGGGTTTCCTTCATGAGGCCACAGAGGGTTGGTGAAGGTTTGGAGCACGCCGAGCGAATTGGGATCTTCTATCCCAAAGCTCTGGTAGAAACCGTTGGGCGTCGCCGCGTAGCCATCTTGAAATGACTCTGAAGCGCCGCTCTGCTGCTTGGTGTGCAGAGGCAGATCGAAAAGCTCTTCCAACGAACTGAAAACAGCACGTCGAAGCTTGCCAGGAACTCTGCTGTCGCCCAAAGTTGCCTCGAAGCAGCCGTACTCTTGGAGTGCTTCTCGAACTTGGAGTTTCAGAGAATCCCAGCAGGGAGTGCCTGGTTTCGGTTCTGACGAGAAATCTATGAATGGAAGCTTGGGAGACTGTTGCTCGTCAAAACCCATTGAAGCGATTTGCTCTATAAGCTGATTTTTTGCTAGCTATGTGTTCTCTCGTCGACAGAATGATGCTCCGGATGTAGACTGCTTGCTTGCATGCTTGTGTATTTATTTATTATAGCGTAAGCGTACGTCGTCCTTTGAATAATTTATTTTTTGGGCGGTATAATTTGCACTTAAGCTTCTAGTCATCACGTGCATGCCAGCTACAATAGGGCTGACAATTTGGTTCGGGTTTTTTGGTTTTACCCGAAACCGGATCGTATAACCCGGACCGAGACCGAAGTGGGACCGGATAGTAAACAATCCAATCCAATATTTGGACTTAGATTTGAGGTAAAAAAATCGTACGGGACCGGATCGAAAACTGGATAAAGACCGGATAAGAGAGCTCAACACCCAAAACTTAAGGGTAATTTGCTTAAATGGTCACAAACCTTTGCACTTAGTACAAAACTTAACCAACTCCTTACCTTTTCAGGCCTTAGGTCACTCAAATTCCCACAAGCTCAATATAAAATCAAGAACAAATTGGAACCGGACCGGATCAAGACCGGACCGTATCTAATCCAATGTTTGGTCCTCATATTTCTAAAAAGAACGAACTGGACCGGATCAATTTGGACCAATTTAACCGGACCGGACCAGACCGTATAGCCACCCCTTATCACACAACATTAATTAAGGAATCATTTGTCTCCTTCCTAGGCCACAATTGATCTCTCTCCTAAATATAACGTACAATCCTACAAATACTATATAGAGGTTCTATTTCAGGACCTCATTAATTGGAATTTCCCTGCATCCTGCGCAGAGCACGGAGGGGTATGCAGGTAAAAATAATCATCCGAAGTGGCAGTGGAATATTGGGATGGAGAGGGATGTATTTGGGCCCATAATTGCACCCGCAGCAGCAAGACTCCAGTCTAGAAAGGCTTCTCCCTTAATGAATTAAATTGTTAGCGGTATTATTATTTAGATATTTATTTATTTTTAAAATAACTAATTTAGTATACTTAAGAATATTAACGTACTATTAAACATTATATAAGATTAGAAACGAAGTATAATATTCATACGTATTTTATGCGTAACCTTTTCATATCGTATACTACATCCCTTTATTATAGGGGTGGCTAGACGGTCCGATCCGGTTAAATTGGACCAAATTGATCCGGTCCCAGTCCGGTCTTTTCGGGAATATAAGGACCAAAGATTGGATTGGATACACTCCGGTCTTGACCCGGTCCGGTCCCAATTTGATTTTAGATTGAGCTTGTGGGGATTTGAGTGTTGGGGTCTCTTATTCGGTCTTTATCCGAGTTTTTTACCTCAAATCTAAGCCCGAATATGAGATTGGATTGTTTGCTATCCGGTCCCAGTCCGATCCCGGTCCGGGTTATACGGTCCGATTTCGAGTAAACCCAAACAGTCCTGCACCAAATTGCCAGCCCTACTTTATTACGATAATTTTTAGAAGGCTTCTTACACATGTACGTTTGTTTTCTTCTCTTTTGGCTTTGTTACGCTGCATTAAGGGAAAGGTGAAGGGAACTATGGGTAATCCAATGTAGCCTCATTTTTTTAATCAATGGTATTGGTATTGTTATTTGGTATAAAGGATATAAGTCAAAGTCACTAGAGCAAGTTATCAAAACATGAATGTATATAATTTTTATCTGATCTGCAAAAAAAGTTTTCGAATGATATAAATATTGATTAATTATAAATTGAGTATTATCTCTCCATGATGTTGATCTTAATTACAAAACTATCATTCTCCATTTACATTTTTAGAATTCGATGCACATAGGTTAGAGTTGAAGAAAATTAATCTATCATTGACCAAATTAGCAAGAAGGAAACATGCTCTTTGTATAAGTCAAAAGCGTATACATGCAATATTTGTCAACATTCCTACTGTTAATCAATTTATTTCATGTTTGTTTTCTATTTATATCCTATCAAATTATGTGTTAGTTGCTAGGATTGTTTATTTTACTAATTCCTATTTTGGACTGCGAGATGATAACTTCCAAACTAAGAGGAATATATTATTGAGGTCCATCACACTTGCCAAAAGTTGTTATAATCGTTTTCGTGTGATGCATTCTGGAGACTTTTCCAGGATTATTGATATTTTTAGTATTTCATTTTCCTTCATTTATTATAATGTTAGAGTTTGTGACCAAATTTCTTTCTTATATTGGAGTTTTCATTTTATTGCACTGGTTGAAGTGGTAGAAGTGGTTGGAGGTCAAGTATATCATCGAAATAAAGTTGCTTGCTAAAAGAGAAGGCATGGTAGAGAATATGATTTGTCATCAGAAAATGAGGTCGCTGCTTTAATTGTTGATGATACTGGGGAGCAAATTAGTATATATCACCCAAGTTTAATGGTTTTGCTATATCTCATATTATTTCCACATGGCAGGATGGTTGGCACGCAAATATTCCATACTCTGAGGGCGAGGATGAGGATGCGGGTGGATACAATAAGAAGAATGTGACCCAATATAATTTTTACAACTATAGACTCAAAACCAAACTGGAAGAATCTAACACATTGCTATTTTGTGGAAAGTTGTTCCAACAATACGTTGTTAATGCATATGCATTGGTTGAGGTTGAGCATTTGGATTGAATTAAAAACAACTAAACAATTTTTGGGAAAACATGTGCATGTAAGTTATATTAGTAGTTTTACTTTAGCATCCAAAGTTCTTTATTTGTTCGCTAACTATTATTTTACAATTTTAATTATTATGATAATTTTTTTCATTACAGATGTAATGCCATTGCAATTCAAAATTGTAGTCTGCCTCATGCTCATTGTTTAGTTTTCCTTGCTGCAGAAGACAAATTAAATAGTCCTTCAAAAGTATGTTTAGTTATATATGTTGAAATCTCATATCCTATAGCAGTATCCTATAGCAGATTCTGAATGTTATGGAGCAGTTACAAAATTTATGTTTCATGATCCATATGGCATTCAAGTACCTGAAGCTTCATATACGTACAACTATTGGTGTATGCTCTAAACATTTTCCAAAGGGATTCTGCAGCCAAACAACTATTGATGGCAATGGTTTTTCAAGGTACCGACGTCGAGAGAACAACAAATCGTATGGTGAATGGAGTCTCATTAGATAGTCGATTTGTCCTTCCATGTAATAGATACCTATTGTTGCAATAAATATATCCCCACTAGAATAATCTAATATGCTATTTAAATTATTGGGCTCTCCCATCAGATTAAATTGAATGATTATAGGAAGGAATTTTTTCCTTTTCAAATTAAGTACTATTCATAATAATAATAATAATAAAAAATTATCAAATAAATTTCATACGGTAAAAAAAGAGAATGAGCTTTTTGGACATATCCAAAAAATATATGTATATTTCCACTTTTGAAAGAATTGTATTATAATTTTATATTGTTTAAATTTTAAATCTTTCTTTAATTAAATTTATATGAAAATTCTTATTTTATAACATCAAAACATAAACATATTAAATAACTACAATTACCTTTACATTTAAATAAAAAATTTATTACTTTATTATTTCAGTAAAATTTTGTTATTTTATTATAACTTTATGTGAATGTTTGAAGTAGTGTAATCGATTTACTTTTTTGTTTAGAGCTATCAAGTATTTCTTCAAATATATCAACAAATATGAAGATAGTGCAATGCCGATTTTAGCACCGAAACCAAGTGGTAATGGAGAACGCCAAAACTAGGAAAAATCTTAAGCATCATGTGTTTGTATTGATGAGATTAAAACATTTATAGATTGTCGGTATGTCACATCAGGTGAGGCACTCTAGAGACTTTTTAAGTTTGATGTTAGTTGTAATTTACCTTCTGTGTTACGTATGCCATGGCATTTGTCTGGGGAGAATAAAGTAGAGACAAAGGAGAACGAAAAAATTGAAAAAGCTATTGAAAAGAATGAAACATCAATGCTATTAGTATGTATGGAAATAAATGCTCATTCTTCCGAGACACGAAAATATACCGTTGTGGAGTTCTCTCAATATTTTGTTTGGAATTGCAAATTGAAAAGGTGGTAGAACAATGTTTGTATTGGAAGATTATATTATTGTTATCCATCTAGCAAAGAAAGATTTTATCTTCGAATGTTGCTGCATTTAGTCAGAGGATGTCGTTCTTATGAAGAAATTAGAACAATTAATGATGTCTATGATTCCTTCCAAAAAGTATGTTGTTCTTTTTAGTTATTGGCAGATGATGATGAGTGGAGTGTCTGAAGGAAGTTGTCTTACGAGGTTTTTTGTAATTAAAGTAAGGAATTTGTTTGTCACAATTATTATTCACTACCAAGTTTCTGATGTGCAATCTTTGTGGGAAAAGAATTGAGAATTATTGAGCGATTGTATCCTGTTGAATCGTAAAGAGGAGCTAATTTTTCCAAATCTGCAGCTTTCTACGGGTGATATCAAAGATATATGCTTAGTGAAGATTGATAAATTATTGTAGAAATATTGGAAGTCTATGGTTGATTTCCTAAAGTTGGACAAAATAAAAACGGAGTAATTATCATTCTATTTGAGTGAAAACAGTTATGACGATTGACCAAATTCGCCAGTGAAAAGCACGAAAGCACCTCAACAGCTAAATTCAACCAAAACAGTGAATGAACTAAATCAATTAAAATGCAAGGATGAACAAACCGTAAATATTTTTCATTACATGGACAAGGTAAATTCTAAGACCATGACAAAAATATTTGTATTTGAAAATATCTTTTAACCTCAAAATTTTGTGCGCAATAATAAAAGGAGGAAAACAAGGAAGAAATTATTCAAATGCAAGAGAAGGAGCAGGCGTCGGGTGATATTGGAGACCAATATGATGAGTAATATCTGATGATGAGTAAATAGAAGAATTTTTTTCATATAACTTTTCCTGACATATGATTGTCTTTCATTTTTTCGTAAACAATTATACTTTGTAACAATATGATGTTATCTTTTGAATGGTTGTTTATCATTTTTCATAAAACAATTATACTCCGTAATTCGGTTAGAAACTTAGAATGTCGAAAAACAATATGATGTCATATTTTGAATAGTTGAAGTATATAATAATTTGAATTCTTTTATGCTACCAAGAAATTAGAATGTTATGTAATTTCATAAACCTTTATGTTTAACATACTACCAAAGAAACGCTAATCGTTCTACAAAAAAAAAAACGCTAATCTCACATACAATTTGCTATGATTATTTACATGATTGACAAATGAATCCGGCCAAACGGCCGGGCCCGTGACTAGTAACAACAATAATATTGTAATACGTAAACAGCTATATGTATTAAAAATTTAAAATAATTAGACAAAATAACGATAATTTTTCCTCTTTCACCTAATCGCCGGACTCGATTTCGGATTGGGACAGATTGGAGGAAATGCAGGAATTGATTTGATGGGATATAGTGATTTTAGTAGTTTTTTTCCAATTTAATTTGCTAAACACTGTCGTTTTTGTGGAGAAATGTTGATGTTGGCAGTCCGGTTTAAGGGTTAAATATATAATAATAATTAAACTGAAGCTGTTTTATCTGATATTGGTTAAAATCGTTTAAGCAGCAAGTCAGCAACGACTGTCTGATCTCCGGTTGCTACTTGCTATATTGACAGAAAGTGTTATTGGAAACCGGGTTAAACCATTTGACACACTCCTAACTCATCAAGTTCTGTTCTAATTAACAACACTAGTTTCCGTTGCTCAAGGGTATGATGAGATGTATTAAAAAAAAGGGGTTTGCATGTGACTCCAGTGACAGGTTGTCTTATACGTTTTAGTATCAAATTAAATAATGATTATTGAACTTGGACTCTAATACACCCTAAATAATCATTATTATCTGGCTGATCAATAAGGATTATTGAATCAGTATTGGACAGAATTGAACCAAATACCCATTACATTCGGTCCTATTATTTTCTTTATTTTTTGTTTGGTCCTATTTCGATTTGATTCAATCATGAATTGATATACCGGTATGAGTTATGACCCTAAACTTTATGTAATCATGATTACATTATAATACCCACGGATAATTGAATGTAACAAAAATGTCGAACGGCCTTACCCTACGAGAAAATTGGGTTATAAAAACAAAAGACATGTGCCCTTACTACGAAGGACTTATGAGTTATAACACGAAATTATATGCAATATCAATAAGATTGTTAACATTTAACTACATACATACTACAAATCAAGTTAATACGATTCTATCGATCATAAGGTTATCACTCAACTCTATTATAAATTTAACTAATTTCCCCTATGATCTTCTGCACTTCTTTGTGGTTTATTATTTCTATATATTCCCTCCTAGCTCGTGCATACACTACAAGGGAATGGGCCAAGCCCAGGGGTTCCCTTTCAGCGGTTCCTATAACCGCTTCAGGCTTTGGCTTTCAGGCTTTTGGCAGCAAATGAATACATGGGTTTTATTAACCCCTTCAAGGCCCAATTACATTTTTTGTTTTTCCCCTTCTTTGAATGCAAAAATTAAGTTTTGGAATAAAGTAAAATCTGTTGAGCAAAAAAAAAAAAAAAACAAGAGGTCGAGACGACAAGCGAGAGCGATTTGATCCTCCTCCTTCTGTCATTTTCTCCAGCGACCGACCTTGAAGCCTTTTCTTGCTGCTCCATCTATCACCGACATTGCTAGTACCGCAATCTCGCAGTCTTCTTCTGGTATCTCTCAACTTAATTTCTAGCCTGGATTCCGAGATTTGGAGATTCGAGGTTTAATTTGATTTGTCTATTTCGTCGACCAGCGGCGAGATTTGAATTGTCCGGTTTCCTGAGATTCGACTAGCGGCGACTTCTCCTCTTGCCAGAGATTTCGACGACCTTGAACTCCGACGTGTAATCATTTCGGCGACCTTCGACTAGCGGCAACCTTTGACCAACATCGCTGTCGCATTCTCTAGATCATCCTCTGGTACTCTCTCTAACTTAATTTCAAGCCTTATCAGTTATGGATTCCGATATTTTATTGATGTTGTGGATTTCTCGAAATGCAGAGTTGGAATTAGGGTGAAGTGGATCAGCGGCGAGATTCTATTTTATCGTTATCGATTTAGGGATTTCGTCGACTTGTGTGAGTCCCCTCTTCTCTTTCGATAATTCTCTACTGTTTTTAGCATACGAGCCTAGATGAGTTTGCAAACACATTTACCTATTCGCAGTAGCTAGATGAGTTTGCAAACTACTACGGTAGTTTTAGGGACATCAAACTCATCAAACTGCAGCTGCAAACTCTGTACCTACGGTAGTTTCAGTCTTCTGTTTGTACTTGGAGTTTGGGGGAGTTCATTCTTTGCCTCTCTCTTGGATGGATGAGACTTTCCTTCTAGTAGTTTGCCCGATTTTGTTTAACAAAACTGGTACAAATGAAATGGGTTAAGTAGCTTGTTAGGTTATCTAAATCACAAACTTGTACGTTGGGTAATTTAATATACACTGCCTGTCCTGTACTAGTGGTTGCTATCTATCAAGAGTTGTTTCTTTACTCATGATTTCTATATAATCTATTGAGCCTGTCATTGTGCTGAACATCCTAGAATATCTATAAAGCTAATGCTTGTTGCTTATGTAGTATTGCATCTGTAATTTGTTACCAACATCCAAGAATGCCTGAAAAACTAATGCGTGTTGCTCTTGGTTTCTTCCGATCTTTCAATTTCCTTTTGCTTGTTTACTGTTGTTGGGGTGGATTTGGTAAGATTTATTTCCTCGTTGTTTTATATATAGTATTGAATCTGTCTTTGTTATCAACATCCACTAGTGCCTGAAAAGTTGATGCTTGTCGCTCTTGTTTTCATTTGTTCTTTCATTGTCTTTTCGGTTGCTGAATGTAAATCTGAGTTTTTGGTGTAGATTTGGTGCAGCTAACCTAAACCTTTTCCCATATTCATGCAAGGTTTATTGTTGGCTTCTTCTTTGGTGGCATTCCTTGGTACATTGGGGCATTTGTTCTACTATTCGCACAAGTGGACTACAGAGAGAAACCTGGATATGTTGCGTATGTGATAGCTGTGAGTATTGGTTTCCCAACTGCTAATATTTCCCTTTGCTTGTGGACCTCGATGCTATTTTGATTTCCTTGTCTCATATGACTGGAGTTATGTCCCGTTCTTAAAAAAGAGCATGCTAGTCGGGAAGCATCGTCAGTTTCTATATATGTCCTCGTTGCTCTTATAACCAAGATGTTAATGTTTTATTAGCTGTTAATTTTAGATGGTTCCTTTTGTCAATCAGAGAAGCTGTTAACTGGATTATAGAGTAAAAGTGGACTCATGTTACTAAATAATCTATTTAGCAATCAAATTCTTATTTAACAATCTTATTCTTATTTTATTTCCCTGCTGCTACAGTTCCTTTCAGCTGCAATTGTAACTCTGTCCCTACAGTGAAAGTTTCAATGAGTTCTCATCAATGATATCCTTGCTCCTTTTGCAGAAAGGAACTCCCTTAGTTGATGGTTTTAATTACTTGAAATCTGCTTTAATCGATGCAGTGGTGATCATTGTTGTATCCATTGTTGTATCGAGAAACATTTATTTTTGATTTATATTCGTTTTTGGACCTCTTCTTAGTTGGGAAATGGTGATCATGAGTTATATTATTTTGTGGAGGAACACCAGCTCGAAAATCATTGACTATTTTGGGTTCCCAAAAGTGTTTTGTTTTGTTCCTTTTCCTTTCCCTCTTAATATGCTTGAATTCTGCTCACCCATCAAAGAACTTTGCCTGTCTAGTTACTACTCACTATCTTCACCACACTGTCACTTGCTCCTTTCCCTCCCTCCTTGGATTAAGTTTTAGTTTCCCCAGAGAAATATGAACCTTCCTTGCACTGCTTGTATGTAGGTAGTCTTGGATTTGGGGTTATATTAGTTGTTTATGTGTATATAGTTAAAGTTTCAACATCTATATAAAAATTTCAGCTTTGAAAATGAATAGAAGCCTCCATTGCTCAAAAAACTTTGTTGTGTTTTGGACACATTGCTCTGTTTTGTTACCCGTATCTTCTACTGTTGCTTTCAGATTTGATATACACAGCCATCATGGTAACAAAGGGAAGAAACCTGAAAAGACTTAAAATTGTAAGGGAGTCACACCCTCAAAACAACAATCAAGTTGCATTGAGGAAACTGACTATGATGGATTTACTACATATGTCGGTAATGTTATGTGTGCTTTTATTCATTGGAGTATTTGGTTAATGTTTACATTGAATTCTTTATACTTCTAATTATTTTGTGCTTACAATAATTGCAGAAGATTCAGAAGGAGAGGACCAACAGTCCTAGCTGATTTATAAAGCGAAGATACTGGATATTGTTCAGGTATGTTTACACTCTAGATCTTCCTTAGATCCAACAATTCTGGTTTCAATTCAAGTATCATTTTGAACGGACAATGAAGCTCGAATTGGGTTAAATTGATCTGCATCTTTTTATTTGGAAGGATGAGCATTGCAAGGTGGAAGGCTATAAAAGTATGTGTTTTACTTAATATGACGTTTGATTTCTTACTATTTTACAAATGGTGGTACTTTATCCTTATGCTTCTTAGACTAAGGAAACTGAAAAAGAATCTGATAGGCTGGAAACATTTGAAGATACTCATACAAGAAAGAATGGGACCTATGTGAATGTGTATACTGCAACCCTAATTGTAAGAATTTCTTACTATTTTACTTGATTGAGATCCTACTGAATTTGGTTTGCATAGATGTGTAAACCTCCTTTGCTTTTCTGCTATGATGTGCAAGATGTGTAAACTTCCTTTGCTCTTATGATTGCTGTCTTTACTGTATCGAATATGATGAATAGCACTATGAACAATATAATTAGATCGAAAAAGAAATAGAAATGAAAGAACTGCTTATTAAATGTTATATATTTCTTTTGTTTTTTATGACTCTGTAGGAGAAGGCGTATACTCTTAGACAAGAAGGTTCGTTTGATAATGAACAAATTTTTCAGAAGGTGCATGGGCCAGAGAATCCTGGGAGGGTTCGTTGTGCTGGTTTGGGACCAACGCCATCGACTTATTCGGGGCCTTCTTGTTCTTCAGCTTCAATAAATTCTACCACGACATCAAACTCTAACGAGGTAGACGCTCTAAGAAGTGAAGTGATAGAACTGAGAAATGAACTGGCGGAAGCAAAAAGTGAGGGAGTTGAACTGAGAAGTGGGATGGATCAGCTGCAAATGGAAGTAGACACACTGAAGACACTGTTCTTGCAACATCTTCGTAGGGAGAAGGGGTCAATGGAGGGTTCAATTCGTGCACCATCTTCATCAAGCCAAAGTGCTACACGGGGTTGACAAAAGGTAAGTAAAAAAAACAAAGTACCTTCTGACATGCTGATTATGACTGTTTGTTTGCAAACTCTGTTCTTTTCCACTCTGGAATTTTGGCAAGCTCGTAATTTTTTTGTTACTTTTTGTCCTTGAGAATGTGATAGTATTCCTATTCCCCTTGACATTCCAGTCCAATTTAGTACCATTCTCAGCTTAGCATGTTAGATTATATATATATATATATAGAGTAAGTAATGGCAATGGCCTACAGGTTAAACCCTTCGATGCATATATATATATATATTTGAAATTGTTGTCTTGTTATTATTTTTCCAGCTCCAGGAAGAGAGAGAAAGTCCCCTCTAACTACAAGCGATGCACCAAGTGAGTCATATCATATAGATGATGTAATTTGATTTGGAGCTGTACATGTAATTTGATTTGGAGCTATATGTTTTGGTTACCTTTGTAACAGGATAAAGATGAGCTATTGGTGATTATGAAGAAAGCCTAAGTTCAATATTATGGATTTAGTTGGAACTTTATATTTGTTTAAAGTGTACTTTGGAAGTATTGTGTAGTAATAATGTGTACTTTGGAAATTAGCATTGTGTGCCATGGATAATGGAGAATATTGTAGACTTTGAAGGTACTTTGCATGTGTACTTTATGAGAATTTTGAAATGCTTCAGCAGGCGTGCAGGATTGCTAGAAATTATGAAAAATTGAAATGCTTCAGTAGGTTGTAGTAATGGTCTAAAAATCGTCGCTAAAAATCATCTGAATTCCGTCGCTAAAAATAATCCAAAACGTTGCTAAAAGGTTACCCAGTGCTTGAAGAGTGGTATGTAGCAGGGGCCAAAACCGTCGCGAAAGCTTCTGGGATCCCAGCAAAGATTCGCATCTGATGGCACAAAAAAGACCAAATGCGACAGAAATAACCGCTGCAACAAAACCGTTGCTAACAACCGCGGCAGCGGTTTTTGTAACCCTTGTCATTACCTAGCGGCGGTTGTTCTTGCGACGGTTTTGCAGGGGTTACAAAAACCGCTGCCGGGGCTGTTAGCGACGGTTTTTTTCGTCGCTAAAAGTGAAAAAAAACCCCTGCTGTTTGTCTTTTATTTTGTAGTGATAGCGCCAAATACAGGAGCAATCAAATCTTGTTAATATCACAACTATATTATTCGTGCAAGTTGATACTGAATCGAATCATACATACAATACAACCTGTTGAATGAAGTTACCAAATCAGGATTGCTCAAAATTGATCTAAAAAGGGAAAGAAGGACAACCAGGAACAGCTCAGAGTTTCCACAATCATCCTTCTCCATCATTCAAAAGCAACGGTCGAAAGATTGCTGAAGGCTATATATATCAGTGTCCGGTTAGCTTGAGAAGTACTTTTTGTAAGGGTGGAATAGGGCTGCTTACAATCTGGGTTAATCAAACAGAGGAAAAGGTTCTGTTTGATTAGTGGTGTAACGGGTCTGGGGATTAAGATCCGGGTTAAATTCCTGCACTTGTACTTTGAGTCAGTTTTGTTCATCCTTTGCTTGATAGGAAAAATCGAATAAAAAGAGTCTCCTAGACATCAGTAAAGTGCTGAGTCTAGGACGAGGAGTGACCAGTAGATTGGGAACCTCGTTAAATTGCCTGTGTCTATTTAATTTTCCTGCTGCGTTCCATTTTGGTTGCTTGATCAGCTCGTGCTCTGTTTTGGTTGAGGTTCCCCTGCTTCTCTGAATCATCTTCACGAAGAAGATGACTGTGTACAGAGAACAAAATGTGGGCCAAACTTCCTTGGGCTCAGCTGATATATAACTTGGGTCTTTTAATTTGCTTCGTGGGCTTTCCTCTGGTTTTGGCCCAAACTATTAACTGAAGAGGATTGAGGAGAACAGATCATCGTCTTCCTCCATCTCCTGCGATTCTCTTTCTCCCTTTCCCTGTTCTTAGAACCCTAATATTCTTCCCATTTCTTAGTTAACAATTGGTATCAGAGCCTGGTTCTTGACGAAGGTATCTCCTGCCAAGGTAGCGATCAAGATGTCGTCATCGTCGTTCGGTCAAGCGGCATTGAATCATCCTCCAATTTTCACCGGATCGAATTATACCGCGTGGAAAAAGAGGATGAAGCAATTTATGTGGGGAGTTGATGAGGAACTGTGGTTGATCGTCCAAAATGGGCCGATTGACGCTAAAATAGAAGAGCAGCATCTGTGGTCCGCCGCGCAAAAGAAGAGCGCACAGCTCAATCAAAGAGCGATGCATGTTCTTCAATCGGCGATGAATCCGGATGAAGCGGATCAAGTTGAGAACTGTGAAACAGCTAGAGAAATCTGGACTGCTCTTGAGAGCACATATGAAGGTACGTCAAACATTAAAGAGTCTCGGATTGATTTACTGGTTCATGAATATGAAGCGTTTGGTATGATTGAAAATGAAAGTATTCATGAGATGTATTCGAGATTCACTGTTTTGATTAACAAACTGAAAGGATTAGGGAGAAACTTTCAAACTAAGGATCTTAATCGGAAAATTCTTAGGTCTCTGCCTAAAGAATGGCTGCCAAAGCGGACTGCCATTGAGGAGGCAAAGAACCTTGCAATTTTACCCATTAATGAGCTAATTGGATCTTTGTTGAGCCATGAAAATGTTATTAGACAAGTTAATCTAGATGATGAAAAACGCAAGAAAAACTTAGCATTTAAGTCTAAGGTAGTGATTCAGGATTCTGAGAGTGACTCAGAATCTGACTTTGACAGGGAGTTTGCTCTGATCAGCAAGCGATTTCATCGCATGTTGAAATACAAAAATGAAAAGAAACAAAGAGCAGATGATTCACACAAGCTAGCTCATGATTATACTAATCATAACTCTCAAGCTAGGCTGCCTTTACAGCAGACCAGAAAATTTGAGACAGGTGTGCAGGATAAGGATCCACAGGCCTGCTATAAATGTGGAAAGATTGGGCACATTCGAGCAAACTGCCCATTAACACAGAAGGCCAAAGAAAAGGCGATGAAAGCGTCTTGGAGCGATTATGACTCAGACATTGAGCAAGAGTCAGCTGATGAGGAAGCATTTATGGCAATCACAGCCAAATCTAAAGATCGAGGGAGTTCATCAGATGAGAATGAGCATAAGTGGTACTTAGACAGCGGCTGTTTCCACCACATGTCTGGTAAGGAAAGACTTTTCTCCTCCCTAACTCCTAAAGATGGTGGTAAGGTTTTATTTGGTGATAATGGATGTGGTCAAATTCTAGGAATTGGCACGATAGGAGGATCTCCTCTACCATCGTTTCATAATGTGCTTCTGGTTAAAGGGTTAAAACATAACCTTTTGTCCATTAGCCAACTTTGTAGCAATGGAAATCGTGTCATCTTCAAAGCTGATACTTGCATTGTTGAAAGAATAGATGATAATAAGACGCTTCTTGTGGGAAACCGAGTTAATAACATGTATGTCATAGATTTACAAGATCTCGATGCTTTTCATGAAATGTGTTTTGTTGCTTCATATCAACAAGAACTACTGTGGCATCGTAGAATGGGACATATCAGCCTGCCTAAGCTAGTAAACTTGTCCAAATCAGACTGTATCCGGGGGGTTCCCATGTTAAAACAGAAAACTGATTTTTTCTGTGAGGCATGCATTACTAGTAAGCATACTAAGAAGTTCTTTAAATCAAAGTCTGATATAACTTCTCAGAAAATGTTTGAGCTCATTCACATGGACCTTTTTGGTCCATGTAATGTTACTAGCTTGGGTGGCAAGAATTATGTTCTAGTCCTAGTAGATGACTACTCTCGTTATACCTGGGTTTTCTTTCTAGTTCACAAAGATGAGGCAGTTAAAAGATTTCAGTCTTTTGTGAAACAATTCTCAGGACAAATTAAGAACATTAGAAGTGATAATGGCGGTGAATTTGTGTCAGAAGAGTTTGAGAATCTATGTGATGATTCAGGGATAACTCATAGCTTTTCAGCCCCTCGTACTCCACAACAAAATGGAGTTGTCGAGAGGAAGAATCGTACTATTATCGAATGTGCGCGTACCATGCTCCTTGAATACAACTTACCAAAATTCTTTTGGGCAGAAGCAGTTAGTACGGCGTGTTATGTTCTGAATCGTGTGCTTATTAGAAAAGACTTACTGAAAACTCCCTATGAAATTTTTAAGAATAAAGTGCCTAATATTGCTTACTTCCATCCGTTTGGATGTCCGTGTTATGTTCTTAATACTAAAGAGCATCTAGGAAAATTTGATGCTAGGTCTGATGAGGCCATATTTCTGGGTTACTCCATCAAAGGGCAGGCTTATCGAATTTACAATAAGCGAACCAAAAAGGTGGAAGAGTCTGTTCACGTTAAATTTAATGATGCTAACCCTGCCTCTAAGGTTTCTGAACAGGAAACAATGCAGTTTGATCTTCTAGAAATGACCAGAGGGCTATTAAATGAAAATACTGCTGCTCAAAACGTCATAAAAGACACTGATGAGGAAATGGTTGGACAAGATCAGAACTCACAAGCAGATTCAACTGTACATCAGGACACAGGAGACTCAATCAACACACAAACTGCTGCTCCACCTCACATACAGAGACGCCACCCGACAGAACAAATCATTGGTGATGCCAATGCAGGAATTCGAACTCGAGGTAACATATACACCCCAGGTCAGTATGCCTACATCTCTCAAGTAGAACCTAAGAATTACAAAGATGCTTTAAAGGATGATGGTTGGTCTATTGCTATGACTGAAGAATTAAATCAATTTGATTATCTGCATGTCTGGGACTTAGTACCTCGTCCAGTCGATACAACTGTTCTTGGAACAAAATGGGTGTTTAGAAATAAATCTAATGAAGAAGGTGTTATTATTCGCAATAAAGCTAGACTAGTGGCTCAGGGTTATTTACAAGAAGAAGGGATTGATTACGACGAAACATTCGCTCCTGTAGCTCGTCTTGAATCAATCCGTTTACTTTGTGCCTTTGCTAGCTATATGAATTTTAAGCTTTACCAGATGGATGTGAAAAGTGCTTTTTTGAATGGAGTTATTCAGGAGGACGTTTACGTTGAACAACCTCCTGGCTTCATAGATCATCAGTTTCCCAATCACGTTTTTAAACTCAACAAGGCCTTGTATGGTCTCAAACAGGCTCCCCGAGCCTGGTTTGAGCGATTAACCACCTTTCTTAAAGGTGAAGAGTTCATACAAGGCAGTGTTGATAAAACCTTGTTCACTAAAAGAGTGTCAAATGACCTTTTGATTGTTCAAATTTACGTGGATGACATTGTTTTCGGATCCACTAATGAGAAACTCTGTTCTGATTTTTGTGAATCCATGAAAAACGTGTTTGAAATGAGCATGATGGGAGAATTGCAATACTTCCTAGGATTGCAAGTCAAGCAAACATCTCATGGAATTTTTATTAATCAATCAAAGTACATATCAAGTATGCTGCATAAATTCGATATGACTGCTTTGAATTCAAGTCCCACTCCTATGGCGACTAATATTAAACTAGAAAAGGATGAAGCTGGAACTCCAGTTGATGAATCCCTCTATCGAGGCATGATCGGATCTTTGCTATACCTGACGGCCAGCAGGCCTGACATACAGCATAGTGTCTGTTTGTGTGCTCGCTTTCAGTCTCAACCAAAGGAAAGTCACTTAACAGCTGTTAAGAGGATTTTCAGATACATCAAAGGCACATCAGATGTTGGAATATGGTATAGTAAACAGGATGTGTTTGAACTGATGGGTTACAGTGACTCTGACTTTGCCGGAAGTCTTACCGATCGTAGGAGTACTACAGGAAGTTGTCAATTTGTTGGACTTTCTATAGTGTCTTGGTCTTGCAAAAAGCAAGGTGTTGTTGCCCTCTCAACAGCTGAAGCAGAGTATATAGCGGCAGGTAGTTCTTGCACTCAGTTATTATGGCTTAAAAATCAACTAGCTGATTATGGTCTATTAGTTCCTACTATTCCCTTGTTTTGTGATAACACCAGTGCCATTAGCATGACTAGAAATCCTGTCCAGCACTCTCGTACCAAACATATAGAAGTTAAATATCATTTCATACGAGATCTGGTACAGGATAATGTGGTTACCCTACAATATATCCCTACAGAATTCCAATTGGCGGATCTTTTTACAAAACCTTTGCCTGCTGATCGATTTACCTTTTTATGCTTCGAAATCGGTTTGAGATCTTTAGCATCTTTAACCGAGATCCTTGAGGCATAAATTGCTGCTCTTGCCTTCCTTTTCTTGTTTTATTTTCTTTCCTGTTGAGTCTAGGGTTAGTAGTGTCTCGTTTCTTGTCTCTTTTATCTTGATTCTATGGATTCACTGCATTTATTTCCTTTCCTTGTTTAGAGTCTGTCTGCGGGTATTTAAGTGCTGATCTCCCCTCCTCAGTCCTTGCATACCCTCAATTGAGTATTTCCTGCCCACCCCTTAACATGGTCTTCGCAATTACATACACTGGTACCCTGTTTTTTGAGCCTATTCCCTCCAACTATCATCGACACATCCAAAGCTTTGCGTCGCGTCCCTTTCTGCCCTCTTATCATGTACCTTTTCCTGAACTCGTGGAATTGGGTCTTGATGTTCATGGGTTTGTTCGCAACTTAGGATGGGAATTCCTCCTTAACCAGCCCTTTTCTTCCCTTATTTGTCCCGATCTGGTCCGATATTTCTTTTCAAACTTTCGCTCTCCCGGGCTGGCTTCCCGCTCTTTTTCATCCATAGTGTTCGGTCATCTGTTCACTCTCCATCTCGATGACCTGTCCGAGACTCTTCATATCCCTCGCGTTGGAGAAGCTCTCGCTGATGCTTCAGAGCTGGAGCTCTTTGCTTTCCAATACCCTGATGAGTTCCACCAACTTACTGGTGTCCTGCCTGCCTCTGGTATGTTCATGCCAGTCTCTGCACTGTTGCCATCTCTTCGGCTGCTTCACTACTGCATCACTCGTCTGTTTGTCCCTCGTGCTGAATCCTTGGATCTAGTCCTCCCACTAGATCTTTGGATTATGTCTCATGCCGTCCATGGGGTCCCCCTTGACTATGCTCACCTGGTCTTTGGGCAACTTTTGCGTCTCAGTGATGCTGCTCTGACTGGTCCTTTAGCTTTTGGACCTCTGGTCACATCCTTGCTCCTTGAACTACACCTCCACCTTTCACCGTTTCTCACTGTGACGCCATCCCTGTACCCTCTCGCTTATCATATTCTGGATGATCTGGAGATTGCCGTTGAAGGGGAGAATGCTGTTGAAGGGGAGACTGATGTCGTTTGGGTAAGCAGCAGCTCTGATGATAGCAGCAGCAGTGGAAGTTCTGATGATGGACCTGGGCTGGAACCGTTTGTCGAAGCCCTCCAGGCTCTGTTAGAATATGGGTCTGACGATGTCAGCGATGGTGCTTAAGAGAGTCGTTTCTGACCTTCTTGATTCGCTGAGTTTATGCTTGTAGGGGAGCTTGAGAGTTTTGCTGATTGTTTTAGTCAGGACTAAGGGTTGTTTTGGTTGGTTTGGAACTTTGTTTGCTTTAAGCTGTGTTGGCTGCGTGTTTGCTTTTGATTCAGGATATTGTTTGCTACTATGGTTGGGTTTTATTGACTAAGTTCTTTTCTTGATTGATCAGTTCTTCTTATATATATTGAGCTGCTTTTGCTTTTGGTCGAGAGAAGGAATGTTCTTTTTGCAGGCAATCAGCAATCTCTGATTTAAGGGGAGATTGTTGAATGAAGTTACCAAATCAGGATTGCTCAAAATTGATCTAAAAAGGGAAAGAAGGACAACCAGGAACAGCTCAGAGTTTCCACAATCATCCTTCTCCATCATTCAAAAGCAACGGTCGAAAGATTGCTGAAGGCTATATATATCAGTGTCCGGTTAGCTTGAGAAGTACTTTTTGTAAGGGTGGAATAGGGCTGCTTACAATCTGGGTTAATCAAACAGAGGAAAAGGTTCTGTTTGATTAGTGGTGTAACGGGTCTGGGGATTAAGATCCGGGTTAAATTCCTGCACTTGTACTTTGAGTCAGTTTTGTTCATCCTTTGCTTGATAGGAAAAATCGAATAAAAAGAGTCTCCTAGACATCAGTAAAGTGCTGAGTCTAGGACGAGGAGTGACCAGTAGATTGGGAACCTCGTTAAATTGCCTGTGTCTATTTAATTTTCCTGCTGCGTTCCATTTTGGTTGCTTGATCAGCTCGTGCTCTGTTTTGGTTGAGGTTCCCCTGCTTCTCTGAATCATCTTCACGAAGAAGATGACCGTGTACAGAGAACAAACTGTGGGCCAAACTTCCTTGGGCTCAGCTGATATATAACTTGGGTCTTTTAATTTGCTTCGTGGGCTTTCCTCTGGTTTTGGCCCAAACTATTAACTGAAGAGGATTGAGGAGAACAGATCATCGTCTTCCTCCATCTCCTGCGATTCTCTTTCTCCCTTTCCCTGTTCTTAGAACCCTAATATTCTTCCCATTTCTTAGTTAACACAACCTGCCACTGCAGAGTGTCACATGCGCGCAAGCCCCAAAAGAAAAAGAAACTAATACATCTTTATCACGTCCCTTGAACAACCAAAACTAGTGTAGCTAATTAGAAATTTAGAACACTAATTGAACTTGATCAGCTAGCTTCTAAGTTCTAAGTACTCCAACAGCTATATATATTCAAGTCACTTCTCGTTTTCCGCGTGGGTCAACTTTAGGTGTCCTTTTCAACAATGGGAATCAATTCATAATGGAGGGATGGAGGGACTGCAGCATATTGAGCCAGTAAAGTCCAAATCCAAGCAAGATTCGATGGTCATACTCGAGGAAGCTTCGTTATTTATATGCCAGGAGACCAATTTGTGTAATCGGTTGTGCTACCCAATACTTTTTTCGCTCAGGTCACGATGAAAATAAAAAATTCTCGTAGATCTGTCGTTTGGTGGCTCGCTTTCACCATATTTCTAAGTTGAATCGCTCGTCGGAGTTGATATCCATGACGGGTTTTGATCGACATTGTTTGTCGGTGAATTACAAGTATAAATTTAATAGGTTTAGAAAGGTAAAATACACTTGTATAGCTATGACCTTTACATTTTTGTCAATAATAGTCACTTTTGGAGAAATACACAAAATAGCTATACAAGTGTATTTTGAACAAGTGTATTATGCATAATAATTGTTAAACTTCAAGTTGGCAATTCCGTCCAAATTTAGAACATTGTCATCTAACAGACTGGCTGGACTAACGACTTTGTTGAATTGATTGCAATTCATCAACAACACTGTCACTTAGATTAATGAAAAGTAAAAATTAAAAAAAATTATAAATACATAATTTCACTTTCTCCCCTTTTGAGTGTTTCAAATCCTTGAAATTGAGAATTTTAGAGACAACTTATTAGATTATATAAAATATGTGTAAACGTTCATTTGTAAGGGGATTAGAAAGTCTTTGTTACGAATTAATTTTTTTTGTTGGAAATTAAAATTTCTATAAAACTCACCAGTAAACTTAATATTTTTTTTCATAAACACACTAAATTTGCTAATAATTTCTTCAAGTTGGCAATCGGGTCCTTTAGACGTCGCCTTCACAAAGTCGCCGTTAGGCCAACAAAACCTTAGTTATGAACTAATTATTCATGTTTGATATCGTTGTTTTAGTAATATATATAGCTGGATCTTTATTTTAGGGTCACTTTCTTGCTAGGCATATATTTTTTGTTTGGTTTCTCGCAAAATAAACTAGATCTAACGCAATTTAAAATGAGCTATATGCATAAATGTTGTTATACTTTGTATTTTTCTCAAATATACTCAAAGGTGGATCTAGGTAAATTTCCTGTACATATAACCTCCGCCCGATATTCCAGTCAAAATCAGAGTTTCGATGTAACAATGGGTGGAGGAAACATTGGCACATGTAGTATAGAAGCGTCTTTTACCCCAGACTTACTGTACGCCAAACCAAAATACTCCTGATAAGCAAAGGGCTTGAACCTCAAGGGGTGTTCCTCGTCGATCAACTCTTCTGGGGCTTTTATAACATAGTCTGGCTTCGGGATTGTGAAAAGTCCAAAAGAGTATCTCGACTTATCATGTAAATGACGCAACGTAACTTTGTGTTTAGGACAATGTACGCTACCATTCAGCCATACCTGTAAAAACAAAAAAGCACCACAATTACATGCCTGGAATTCCACCCCATATAGAGAAGCAAGTTAACTCTCCAGCAGATCCACTTACATGAAGAGCATCACCGATGAGAACAACGAAAGAACTAGGAGAAGTGGGTTTGAACTTAACCCATTCCCCTCTCTTGGTTTGAAGCTCCAGCCCCCCAACCTCGTTTTGGCACAATACGGTCATGAAACTCTTATCTGTGTGAACTCGTAGCCCAAGTTCTGTCTCACCATGATGTTGGACGGCTTCGTATTTCATAACCCTAAAATGGTACGTTGTGGAGCTCAGATGCTCGTCTATGTATTTCTCAAGCCCAAAACTCTCGAGTATCATTCTCCTCACAGTGCGATCGAATTCGGAAACCACCCCAGCCATGGAGTGAATGTTGTTGCTGTGCATTTAACACGTATATTAATTAATTTCCACATTGGTTATGCTTTTCAATCAATTATAAAATTGTTGTACCATATATACATATAATGATGAGCGATCACCTGAAACTTGGGTTTCCTCCACGGGGCCACAATGTTTTGGTGAAGGTTTCAACCGCGTCGAGCAAATTAGGATCGTCCATCCCAAAGCTCTGGTAGAAAGGATTCGGCGCCGCGTAACCATGTTGAAACGGCTGCGCAACGCCACTCTGTTGTTTGATGTGCAAAGGCAGATCGAAAAGCTCTTTCAATGAACTGAAAACATCACGTCGAAGCTCGCCAGGATTAATCGTGTTGCCGTCGTCAAAGGATGCCTCGAAGCAGCCGTAGACTTCAAGTGCTTCTCGAACTTGGGGTTTCAAGGAATCCCAGATGGGAGTGCCTGGTTTCAGCTTTGATGATGAGAAATCTATGAATGGAAGTTTGGGAGATAATTCATGTTCTTCATCAGAACCCATTGAAGCGATTTGCTCTATAAGCTCCTTTTTGGTATGGTAGCTAGTTGGTATGCTTTCAGAGAATGATGCATGCTAAGCAGGCTAGTGTATTTATATATAGCGTACGTCCTTTGAATAATTCTTTTTTGGGGGGTTTAATTTGCACTTCTTTGATGATAATAAATCTAATGCCAACTTAATTAATATATTTTTTTATAAACGAACTTAATTATTGTGGTCATAATAATTGCTTCAAGTGTACAGGCAGCTGGGTCCCTCCTCTAGTCATCACCTTAACTAAGTCAGAAGCTATGTACTTCGACGACAATAAAGATTAATTAAGAACTAATAATTCATGTTCAATGCTGATGTCTTAACTGCTAATCTAATTTAGTTTCCAACTACTATTCATATCTAAAGCTATAAATCTTTATTTTTAGGTCAATGAAAGTGTCGAATTCAGGATTTAATTTATAGTGCGGAGAGGCTGTATGAAATAACAAATTGCAACACGTTCATATAATGAAACCTCAATTTCGAAGGAGAGTCTTTCTAATAAAAAAAAATCGAAGGAGAGGGCTAATAGCCCTCATCCCGCCACTCTATAATGATTTTTCAAGGTTATAACATATTATTATAACCTTAGATAAAAAAATTGAGAGGAGCTGTAGCCCCTTTAATGGCTCTCTAGTCTCTGCCCCTTCCAACCCTTGAGCTAATTGATTGTTTTACTAGCTTCATGAACCCTCCACTTTTTCATTAAATATCAAGTATTGTAAAATCGTAACGGAGGTTGTACTAAAAAGGTTAGCAGTATAATATTTTATACTAAACTCATGGTTAAACCGTAATTTAACCATTTTATATCACTAAATACCACCTACCAGTTTAGCCTCTGGTTTGGTACAATTTTTCAATACTTACCTAATAAACCTCGGGCTAAGATCAGATCAGGTGACTAGGAGTCTAGGACCAAGGGGAGGTCTTTAGTCACATGGCTAAGTGAATCTCAACCCTTCCACATTAAAATTCAGTGGCTCAGATTATTCCAATTTAATAAAGGGCAATGTAGTAATTGCATAGTTTATTAATTTTCAATTATTAATTAATTAAAAAAAAACCTATATTCTGTCGTGGGGTAAAATACCTCGGGTACTACTAAAGTCTGAGAATTGGGGGAGCTATACCACTTAAGTAAGAATAGGGCGTCGGGTACCACTAACGTCATTGAATTGTGCATCCGTCTAATATTCCGTCCATCTGCGGTTAACTTTAAATAAAATATTACTTTTTTGTCAAAATTCTAAAAATAAAGTAAAAAACGAAACAATAAAAAATTCTGTCCGCCTCTAGCCTCCGTCTCGAAACCCTTTCCGCCGTCCACCGCGGCCACTGGCCCTGCAACTTCTTCACGATCCAATTACCGCTTCAAACTCATGTTGATGGGCGACTGAGCTCTACCATTCAACTTTGAGTAGCAGGTTTTTGGCGCGGAAGCGTTTGATATTCTGGCAAGCCAATGAGAGAATGGCAGAGGAAGGAACGCGAAGGAACAAAGGGGAACATGGAATTCCTCTTTCCCCTACCACTGAGTTGCAATATTTTTGGATATTTCTCTATTTCACTCTTTTATTTCAGAATACGAGAGTGATGATTGTTAAGAGAAAGAATTAGTGCAAAGGCCAGCGGCCGTGGTGATTGGATTGAACAAGTTGCAGGGCGACCTCCGTGGTGGGCGGCGGAGACCGACGCCGGAGGTGGACAAATTTTTTTAATTTTCCCCTCTTTTACATTATTTTTAAATCTTTGACCAAAAAGTAATATTTTATTCATAGTTAACGGAACATAGACGGAATATTAGAGGAATGTACAATTCAATGACGTTAGTAGTACCCAATGTCCTATTCTTACTTAAGTGGTATAACTTCCCCAATTCTCAAACTTTAGTGGTACTTAAGGTATTTTACCCTTCTGTCGTGTCTCTTCCTGGCGTCTCCGGTCTCTCCCGCCGGCCAGGGATCCAGAATTTTTTTGGCGTTTCTTTCCCGGTACCAAGCGGCGGTCCGTTGCAATGTTGCCTAGGAAATATATTCCCCTCCATCGAGAAAGAGGATTTTTCATCATCAGCGAATTTTCCAATCAGATTGGTGTGTTAAAATAAGGGCCGGGCAAGGGCACCAGATCCGCCCTCATAAACCACGGGGTGTGCGTTAGTTAGCTAGGGTTTCATCAGTGACGGATCTAGAAAATTTTAACAGGGTGTCCTTTTCAAAAAAAAAAAATAATAAAATAAATAATTCATAAATAAAAAAATATCGGACTAGTATAAATTTTAACATAAGGCCACGACGTGTTTTTATATTCGGAAAAAGAAAAAAAAATAGGCTTGGTAAATTGCTCAACAAATCTGTATATCCTACTAGAGAATAGTTCACGAACTGATCGCATATGGATTTCTAACCTTGTTATTGATGTAACTCAAAGTTGAAAAGATTCTTTCAACACTTGTTGTGTAACCATAAAATCAATTCAAATTAAGGGTAGCCCGTAATTAGTTTAATTGTTAGGTTTTGGAAATAGTCGGGGATAAGGAATAATTTTTTACTATTATGTAGTGTTTAAAATAGAACAACAAATGAGTTGCAACTTAATGGAGGATAATGTTTAAAAAATATAGTATATCCTAAGTTTGAATAACACAGACTATCGCTTATTTTTTTTAAGTATACGCAAACTACTACTGAGAATAGTATTATTGTTTTAGGGGTGTCCCAAATCACTAATTATAATTTTTTGTATTATCGTTGTAGGGGTGTCCCAAATCACTAATTATAATTTTTTTTATCCATATAAAACTATTACCGGGATTGAATAATCGTATTCCCAAATTTTAGAGTGTCTCGGGACACCCCTAAACCCTCATGCATGTATCCGCCCCTGGTTTCATGGGAAGAAGAAAAACCAACAAAATTTAAAGCTAAGCTAGGGTTTAGTTTCTCCAGCGATCGAGGCGCCGATCGGTCACCACGTACGATGACGGAGCTTAAACGCGCAACAGCGAGTCGTGATCACGATCACTTCCCGGAGGACCTGATGGACGGAATCCTGGTCAGACTTCCGTCGCCCTGCCTCCGCCTCTTCCTTTGCGTCTCCAAGTCATGGTACCGTCTCCTCTCAAACCCTAACTTCATCTACCGACACCTCTTCTTCATCCACAACGACTACCGCCGTCGCGTCCCCGATGACATCATGTCACGGATCCCAATAATTTCGAGGGATACTAATCTTCGTTATTGTTCCCTATCCCGCGATTCTTCTTGTTCAAGAATCGAAGTCGAAACCCCCTTTCGCGATCTGCCACTGCCAACAGTAGCTGCTAACCCTAGCGTGTTTAAGTCATATTATCACGAGCCTCCGATCGTTATGGGCGCGTGTGGCGGCTTGATTTGCGTCCGCTACACGGGCTTCCACAGGAACCGTATCGGTCTGTTCGATCCAGCCACATCGGAGATGAAACTGCTGCTGCCCAGAGTAAACGACGACGAGTTCCCGACGCATTGGATAGCGTTCGGTTTCGGGTTCGACGGGGCGACCGGGGAGTACAAAGTGGTTAGGGTTCGTAAGCTCTCAGCTGGCCACGCGGGGAACAGAACGTCCTCGATCCATGTGTGGAGTAGCGTGACAGGAGGAGGTTCGTGGAGGAAAGTTGAGCATGATCGTGGTGTTGATGATAGTACGTTGCCGCTAGGTTTATCGGATTCGCGGGAGGAGATCCCGCAGCACTGTCCTGCGGTGAGGCTGGGTGGGAGAAAAGGCAAGTGTTTCTGGGCAGGATGGAGGACAACGCATCTTATAGTGGTTTCGTTTGACATGGCCCGCGAGGCGCTGGAGGTGAAAACCCTAGCCACGCCTCGCTGCTGTGATGATGATGATGAGCATCGGCTTCCTAAAATTGCTGACCAGCCCGTCGTTTTCATGTTGAAGGAAGAGACGCTTGCTATCTTCCAGTTGCACGTGCATGGCTACTCCAATTCCCTTGACATATGGGTACTGTTGAATAATGTTGGAGAATCTTGGTCCAAGTTGTTTAGCATTCCCACTACTACTACTACTTCATGGAGTTCAATAATGCTAATAATGAGGCCCATAGGACTGTCGAGAGAAGGGGAAGTGATTCTTTGGGGTCGTCATGCCCCCGCGGCGGTGCATGTCCTGGATCCTACCACGGGGCAAATGTATGCTCTGCCGATTGGAGCTTCTCAGTATCATGTGCAGCAGCTTGCAACCTACGTTCCAATGGAGGAGGTGCCATTGTTCGGATGAAATCATATTCTAGTTCTACACTAGTCTTAGAACACATGGATGTTGTCTTTGTTTACTATTTGGACTATTTTGTCGATGTTATTATGTTTTGGAGTTTAGTATGCATTTTATAGTATGCTAGTGGATTAGCTGGTAATTCCTACCACAGGGCAAATGGTATGTATAATCTGCCAATTTCCCAGTATCTTGTACAACATCTTGCAGCCTACGTTTCCAATGGAAGTGTCATGATTTGGATGACTAATATTGTACACTAGCCTACGTTTCCAAGGGAAAATGCAAACAACAACCAGGTGATCGATCTGCTGATCGGGCACCTTGTTCTTACCAGTTTGTTGTGCTGCGAGAGATAATCTTGTTAGAGAGGGTTGACTGATCTGATCATCAAAACTTGCTTGTGATATTAGTTCTGGATGTTCTCTCATCAAATCATATATAATAGCCCCAGTAGAGAGATTTCAAGAACAAAGAATCCATGTTCCCATAGAAACACACACACACAACACAACCAAGAGCTTGAAAGGACACCAGACCAGGGGCGGACCCACGGGGTTTTAGGGGTGTCCCCGGACACCCCTAAATTTCGGGATAATGATTATCCAACCCCCGGTGGTAATTTACGTATAGACAAAAAAATATAATTGATAGTGAGAGACACCCCTGAAATTTGAAAAAATGATTATCCTACTGTCATTTGTGCATAAAAATATAAATGGTAGGTTGGGTAATTCAAATCTAGAACACTATTATTATTAATAAACTTAATTTCCGTCGAGTTACAACTCATTTGTTGTTCGATTTTGAACAAATGTGTGATAGTAAAAAGTCATTCCATATCTCTAATTGTTTTAAAAACCTAACAATTAAACTAATTTCAATCTACCCTTAATTTGTATTGATTTTATGATTGTACGGCAAGTGTTGAAAGAGTCTTTCAGCTTTGGGTTACATCAAGAATAAGTTTACAAATCGAATATGCGATAAGTTCTTGAATGATTGTCTAGTAGGGTATATAGAAAAAAACATTAACACTATAAACACCAAGTGTATTCTACAATTCTACAAAAAAAAAAAATTAATCTGTACGAGTAAGGTATTTTCATATTTACAATTTTATTTTTATTAATTATTTTATTTTTATTTAATTTATTTTTTAAAAGAGGACACCCCTGTGGAAAATTTCTCGGTCCGCCACTGCACCAGACAGTTTGATCAGTGAATGAAACACAAAGGGCTCTCGTCATGTCGATCCTTCATTACCCATTAAAGCATCCAAGCGCCGCTATTGTTGTTAACAGGTCAGGTAGAGTGTGCATTTGTTATAAACTCAAATCGACCCGGTCAAAGCGAGTTGAACACGGTGTTCACGAGTTTTGGATCGAGAACGAGGCTTGCCCATTTTAACATTTTTTTACTTCTCTTTTTCGTTTTTGTTGAGAATGACAATTGAACCCAGACCCAATGTTGACGAGTTTTGTATTGAGAGTGAGTTTGATCCGCTTTTATAATTGACATGTTTGGTCGTGAATTCTTTAAAAACTTTGTTCGACCAAGTCAAAGCGAGTTGAACTCACCGTCAATATTTTTTTATTGGGAATGAGTTTTATCTACTTTAGTGTTTTTATTTATCTTTTCCCTGGTTAAGAATGACAAGCGAACTAAAACCCAAGGTATCCAATCTAATTCATCTGCTCAAAACGACTACAACCCAATATTAACAAGTTTATGACCGGGACTGACTTTTATTCGCTTTTTTAATTGGCATGTTGGGTCAAGTGTGAATTTAGTTAAAAAAAATTGGTTCAACCCGGTCAAATCGTGTTGAACATGTTGTTCCCGAGTTTTGGCTCGGGAGCAAGTTTCATCCGCTTTAGTGTTTGTTAATTAATTTTCCTTTTGACTGAGAATGCTAATTGAACCCAACCCGATCAACGCGAGTTGAATCGTCTCAAACCTGAGATCATCCCCGAAAATCCATAAAAAAGAGAATCAAGATATACTTAATAAAAATAAAGCAAAAAGATTACAAACTGGACAATATCGTCATGAGAGAAGTCTAAAAATATAAATCATTTGTTCGACGACTTTTCTTCCTTCAGAAAGTTTATCGCTTAGCCGACCACATGATGTTGTAGATGACAAACCCATGGAAAGAAAGATTAAGAATGAAATAAAATACCTCTACTTTCATATCAATATTAATTAAACTATTACTCTACAAAATATCATGTTGTCGCTCATATGCGAAACGATAGCGAGCGGACTTATACTATCTATCTATCTACTATACTTATAATACGCCGAAGGGAAAAATGGGAGCCCCATTTCAAATTTCCTGCAACGAGAGTGAAAGTAGGAAGGACATTTTGGTCTTCACAATTACTTTTTTTTATTCATTAAAAAAATACGTACTAGGATTCGAACCATAACCATTTTAAAGAAAGGTAAGGATCATAACCAATCACACTAACTACATTTATTGTATTCTTTTAAATTAAAAACATATAATAGCAGGGTGGAAAAAGCTCTTCCCCCATTTCAAATTCCCTGCTCCAGGAGCGTTTGTAGGAAGGGTAGAATAGGGAGTGTCAATTTTTTTCTCTTAACTCTGTGGAACGGGCCAACTTACCGTACACATGCGGATTTAAACGGGTCCAGGAGTGTCAATTTTTTTCTTTATACCCTTTTATTTTTCCGTGGTGATAAATATATATGAAAAGGCAAAAATAATACTCCTTTTTACTGTTAAAAATAAAAAAAAATTAAAATAAACTAATGCATGGTATCTAATGGGCTAACCGCTAACCATAAAATAAAAGAGTTGAATGGGTCTGACCTACATGGGATTTGGCCATCAAGTAAAACAAATGAACATCATTTGTTTGTCATTCTAAAACAAGCTATTTTCTCTGGCATAATATATATTATGCTATTATTTTATATCTTAGTGGCTAAAATATAATGTATTTTAAAGTTATTCAATGGTTCAACCTCGACCAACCCAATTAGTCCAATTTTTATCATTTCAAATATGTATTTTATAATTATTTGACATCATAATGATCAAATTATAGTGTATTTTATAGGGAATCGTTTGGTATTTGTTAGTAAAAAACTAAACATAAAGATCTATTTGGTTATTTTAAACATTAAAACGATCCTAAACATTTTCAGTTCCTTTTGAATTTCTATGGTTTTATTCCCGAATAAGTGATGTGCAAATGGCGAATTGCAGTCGTCTCTTTTCTTTCACTATTTTTTATTTTCAAATAGAAAGTTTAAAAGTAAAGAATAACTAGAATTTGGCATGGGTCGGTCAAACAGGCTGAATTTCAAGTTATGGCCCGTTTGTTTTATGCATTGCAAATTTATTAGCATGCTGATGGAAATGGCTTGGAAAAAAGACATATAAGTTGTACCTTTGCACAAATGTCCTCAAATGTTTGAATGCTTTGTGAATCAAGTTCCGTGACTTTTGTGATGGTGTATGTGCTTGACGATTGCTCGATGTTGTAACTACTTAATTTGAGAGTAAATCTTTTGATTTTCCCTATGAGTTGTGATACCAGTTCTGGTGGTTGCAGCATGTTGTCGTTGTTGGCCTGTAAAAGTTGTTCCGTCGTGATGCTAATTACCTTTCTTTCTTTTTTAACAAATTGTGTAGTAGTGCTATGAAACAGACCACCCATGAACGCTACGCTTATTATGGTCTTTCTTACTTCCGGTGGTGAGAAATTATGAATTGAGAATCATATTCGCCTACCGCACTGTGTCTGGCTGGTGGCTGCTTACTGTGCTCTCTAGAGTTATGAAACAGACTACTCATGAACGTTACCCTTAAGAGTCCATAACTTTGCGAAAAACCAAATTTAGGCAATCAAAGGTGGTGGATGTGTGATGATTTTTTATGGCTTAATTGTTTGTGAGTTGGATATCTTATCTTTGTATGATTAGAGGGGATGTTTGCTTAATAGAATAATTCATTTTAATTCATGTTTATTTTTAACATGAACTTTAGTAACTCAAAACCTTCGAGACACATATCACTTACTGCATTGTATCATTTTGCCTGGGTGCTTGCTGTGTTGTCAAACTTCTTGCTGCTGCATTTTACACTAACAGGGGAGTTAAGAACCCATGAATGTTTCTGTTTGACACAAACAAGAGGACTTACTTCTAAATCGTGCACTAAAGATGATTGGAGGAAACATCTCTGTTGCAGTTGATATACTGGAGACCATAACAAAAGTAACGTATAACATCAAAACCAACCATCTGAACTATTAGCATTGTTGCTTTACTCTTTTTTCGTGGTTGAGTCTCCTTCAAATAATTTAGTTTGATTTTAGAAAATTTTGCTTCTGCAGTCCTGTCTTGCCACCAACGCATTCAGTAGATGGAGATGGCAGAGGCGAAGGCTATTTTTGTGTTGTTGTTGCTGGTTTAGGGATAGGTTTGTGAAGAAGAGGGAGAAGAGAAGGGGAAAGGGAAATGCAGGAGAGGGGGATAACTCTTTTCTCTGACAAAAATGGAGTGAAGAAAGGAATTATGATCAGTAAGGATATGGTTATCTTACATAATGGTCTCTATTCTGTTTGAATTGAGCTTGGGAGGCAGTGATAAGGACGAGCTGCAACCAATTCATAGTGATAAGAGTGCTATGAATTGTGATCATGTCTTATTTCAAGTTAGAAGGTAGTTTCAGTATAAGGATTATTTAATTTGACAAGTTGTTTCGTCCATGATTCTTGGTAGTTTCAGTGCCATTCTAGCCATTGTTTAGTCTGTAATTTTTTAGAATTGATGTGCGAGCAATGACTTTCACTTAGCTTCAACTATTATGTGTGTATTTATTGGCATGTGATAGAATTCTCTTTTCCTTTTCTTTGAATTCAGTTTCATACTCTAATTGTATCATTTGTACATAGGCAAATCATGCTCGAGATGACAACTCGCTGATATGGCTGGTGCAAGGAATGAAGCCATCATTAGAATTCAGACCGACAACGGGGAAGGATGCCCAGGACTAATTCAATGATGATTGATGATGGTATAATAAAAACTGCAGTATGCATCAGCACCAATTTCTAGGCCTAAGTAAAGTATTCAACCCATAACTCTGCTTACGCTAAAAATTGCCCTCACCCAACCTTGATCCTGTTTGACCCACTTCTGAAGAGTCAAGATATATGACTAATCCTCTCCGTTCGTATTTTCTTATTGACTCTTTCTGACCCTTTAGGTTGGGGCGGGTCGGGAAGAATTGGATTAGTGGGTCGGTCCTAATCAAGTGGAATCTCAATCCCTCCACTCTCACTTGCTTTCTCTCCCATTTCACAAGTGGGTAACATACAGTAATCCGGCCAACGGACCGGGTAATAAGCTAGTTACTCATTATTACTCATTATTATAATCTTAGATAAACAAATTGAGAGTAGCTCAATAGCCCCTTCTAAACTACACGTGACTTTTTTTATTGAAGGTTGTCTTCCCCTTCCAACCCTTGAGCTAGGGTTTCAGCGGAAGAAAAAAACCAACTAAATTTAAAGCTAGGTTTAGTTTCTCCAGCGAGGCGCCGATCGATCACCACGTACGATGACGGAGCTTAAACGCGCAACAGCGAGTCGTGATGAGGATCACTTCCCAGAGGACCTGATGGACGGAATCCTGGTCAGACTTCCGTCACCCTGCCTCCGCCGCTTCCTGTGCGTCTCCAAGTCATGGTACCGTCTCCTCTCAAACCCTAACTTCATCTACCGACACCTCTTCTTCATCCACAACGACTACCGCCGTCACGTCCCCGATGACATCATGTCTCGGATCCCAATAGTTTCGAGGGATAGCAATCTTCGTTATTGTTCCCTATCTCGCGATTCTTCATGTTCAAGAATCGAAGTCGAAACCCCCTTTCGCGATCTGCCACTGCCAACAGTAGCTGCCAACCCTAGCGTGTTTAAGTCGTATTATCACCAGCCGCCGATCGTTATGGGCGCGTATGGCGGCTTGATTTGCGTCCGCTACACGGGCTACCACAGGAACCTTATCGGTCTGTTCGATCCAGCCACATCGGAGATGAAACTGCTGCCCAAAGTAAACGATGACGAGTTCCCCTTCCCTCAGTACAACACGTATTGGATAGCGTTCGGTTTCGGGTTCGACCGGGCGACCGGCGAGTACAAAGTGGTTAGGGTTCGTAAGCTCTCTGGCCACGCGGGGAACAGAACGTCCTCGATCCATGTGTGGAGCAGCGTGACAGGAGGAGGTTCGTGGCGGAAAGTTGAGCATGATCGTGGTGTTGGCGACAGTTTGCCGCTAGCTCTATCGGCTAATTCGCAGGAGGAGATCCCGCAGTACTGTCCTGCGGTGAGGCTGGGTGGGAGAAAGGGCAAGTGTTTCTGGGCTAGATGGAGGAAAAGGTGTCTTAGAGTGGTTTCGTTTGACATGACCCGGGAGACGCTGGAGGTGAAAACCCTAGCCAGGCCTCGCTGCTGTGATGATGATCAGCATCGGCTTCCTGAAAATGCTGACGAGCCCGTCGTTTTCATGTTGAAGGAAGAGACGCTTGCCATCTTCCAGTTCCACGTGCATGGCTACTCCAATTCCCTTGACCAAGGTTGTCAACCCGCGGGTTGACCCGGACCCGGTCGAGCTAGTGGGTCAAGGGTTAATGGGTCAATCGTTTTAGCTCGGTTTGGCCCGGAAGTATGGAAAAAGTCATTATATTGTACTTATCCTCATAAATTATATTAAATCTTATCTAGCATATGAGTTATAACATATAATATTACACTAAAATAACATATCGTATATAGATCCAACATATAGTGAAAATTCACACACACTTACATAACATAAATATTCAAATGTTCAATTTAGCATTCCAAAAATTGAGCTAGGCGAAAAGAAAAATCGGAAAATAGGCGCATTTCGCAAACCAAAGAAAAAATGACACAATTTGACCTCCAACCCGGTACCTTGTAGCGGTCGGCCCGACGGGTGCGTGCGGCCCGTTTTTCTCACCGGGTCAGGGTCAAAGTGGGTCGACCCGCGGGTCAACCCGCGGGTTGACAACCTTGCCCTTGACATATGGGTACTGTTGAATAATGTTGGAGAATCTTGGTCCAAGTTGTTTAGCATTCCCACTACTACTGTTGGAGGAAGGCAGCTTGTCAAATGAGGAGCCTGTCAAATGAAGCCGAAAATCAAGGCCATATCTTTCGTGATGGACAAGAAGCCAAGAACGGACAGAAATGGTCAAGAAGGAAAGTTTTCAACTTCTTGCCATAAACTCATTCAAGGAAGGAAAAAGGAAAGGAAAGACAACGGCACAGTGATTGCCAAATAAAAGGGCTGAAGAGAATGAAGAGCCGGTCACTTTTCTGGAGATCATTCATACTGGGGAGCTAAAGTCGTAGCGTGTGTGAGTGATAAGAAAAGCCAGGGTGATCCGATTTCTGGAGAGAATTTGGGTCGGGGGTTTTGTGTTGAGTGAAACACAGTAGCAGGATTGCTAGTAAAGAAGCTGAGTGGGGGTTGATTCAATCATCAGTCCTGGACTGGATTGAGAGATTTCGGAGCTGTTCATCATTGTAATCACAAAACAATCAGCAAGCTTAGTGGAGCGTCGGGAATCACATCATCGTGATCTTCCGACCGTGGAATAGTCAGAGTTGGGAATCAATTGACCCAACTCTGGAAACCACGTAAAAACCGATTGTGCATTTCTACTTCTGCTCTGTTTGTGCTGAGTGTGAATCCTACTCTGTCTAACTTGGATAGTGTTTGCTAGTATAAGTTCATAACTGAAACAGGGGGTTCGGTTCAGAGGAGTACAAGGGAGAAGAAGAAGGCTCTGCCTTGAAACGCACCGGATTAAACAGATTAGTCCAACTGATCTGAACTATTGGACCTGAGAGACTAAGCGATTGGGCTTAAAACTTCTGGCCCAGTTACAACTAATATTTGTTCAGCATTTTAAGTGTTCTTTTATTAGTCAATTTCATTTCATCCGTTTTCTATAGGAAATTCGTGGTGTCTTTCACTTGTGTCTGGTCGAAATCGAGTTAGGGTTTCAGGTTTACAAGAAGAGGAAATCCTCAGTTGGGAGCAGGCTTCTCGCGCTCGAAGCCGACAACAGGTGGTATCAGAGCCCGGCTCCGCGCCTAAAGGCTTAACATCCTTCTGAGAAATCGAGAGATGGCTTCAGGATCAGCGAGCAATGCTCCTCTCTATCTTGCAGATGGTTTTTCACAAAATAGGCCGCCACGATTCGAAGGGGTTAACTACGGGTACTGGAAGAATCGTATGGAGTTGTTCGTGGGTTCGACTGACCCAAAACTTTGGGCAAGGGTTATCAAAGGACCTCACGAGCTCAAGGAAGATCAAGAAAAATGGAGTGATGAAGATTTCGAGAAATTTCAGCAGAATTGCAAAGCCACGAATCTGATGTACTGTGCTCTTGGTCCAGAAGAGTACCACAAGGTAGCAGGATGCAAGACTGCGAAAGAAATCTGGGATAAGCTTCAAGTAACATATGAGGGAACATCACAGGTTAAAACTTCTCGGATAAATTCCTTGAAGCACCAGTTCGAGTTATTCAAGATGGAAGAAGGAGAATCGATCAGAATGATGTACGAGAGATTCACTAACATAGTGAACAGCCTTGAGAATCCGGGAAAGTCATATGAAAGTGGGGATCTCGTAAGGAAGATTATGTGGAGCTTGCCAGAAAAATGGACACCGAAGATCACAGCAATAGAAGAAGCAAAAGACTTGGAAAAATTATCGGTGGATGAGCTGATTGGGTCACTGGTTGCTCATGAAGACAAACTGAACAAGGCAGGTCAAGAGAAGGAAGTTCTTGACAAGGGAAAAAGAGGAGTTGCATTCAGAGCTATCACATTGTTGGAAGACTCTGAAGAGTTAGATGATATGGAAGACGAAGAACTAGCTTTACTGAGTAAGCAAGTCAGTAGACTGCTCAAAATTCGAAGGGAAAAGAAGTATGGCAACTCTGGAAGCAAGGCCAAGGAATTTGAAAGAAATGATAATGGAGTAAAAGGAAATCAACTCAGGTCCTTCTCGAGAGGCAGAACTGATGTAGGTCAGAACAATAGGAGTGTCAACACAACAGGATGCTTTAAATGCGGTCGAACAGGACATATTAAGGCTGAGTGCCCACAACTCAAGAAAGAAAGAGCTCTGGCAGCTACCTGGAGCTGTAGTGAAGATGAGATGGACGAGGACGACGAAGTTGTTGTCCAAAGATCGTTCATGGCAATTGCTGACCTTGAAGATGAGCCACTCGAACCAAACAGCAACCTGAGACAGGTAAGTGACACTGAATCTATGCATGAGTCAGAAAACTTGAGTGAAAATGAACTATTAATTGATACTATCAGAGACATCGAAGTAGAATTTGGAAATGTCAAGATGAGATATAGTAAAATGAAAAGAGAAAACTTAGAGTATCTGACAAGAATAGCTTAATTGGAAAAGGAACTAGAAACTAGTAAAAACGAAGCTAGTGAACTCAGAATTAAAATAAGTAGGTTGGAAATCAAGGATATTCATGATCAGTGTAGAGAAGAAATTAATCAGACTACAATACATAGATCTAGGACATCTACAATCAGACAGAATGAAGACTTAAAAAAAATAGAATGCTATTACTGTCATAAAAAGGGACACATCATTAAAGTATGTAGGAAAAGATTGTGGTCAGAAGCTAGGAAAGAAGGGTCTGGTTGGTCTAGGAAACACAGGCATCATTGGAATAATCAATTGTTTAGTTCAAATACATCACACGAACCCAAGAAAATCTGGGTTCGAAAAACCAAATGAAGTTTGTGTTTGCAGAGTTGTTTACAAGCGAGCACTGAGGATACCAGATGGATCATGGATAGCGGGTGCTCTCATCACATGACAGGTAACAGGAAACTGTTCTCTAGTCTCAGTCTGAGAGATTTTGGTAAAGTATATTTTGGAGACAACAACTCTGCTCACATCGTTGGTAAAGGTCAAGTAGGAACTGATCCCTGCATTAAAAATGTTATGTTAGTTGATGGATTGAAACATAATCTCATGTCTATAAGTCAAATGTGTGAAAAGAACTGCAGGGTAGTGTTAGAACCTAACTGCTGCTATGTGGAGAACATACTGAACAATCAAGTAGTGTTTACTGGTCAAAGAAATGGGAAAATATACACTATTGATCTGAATGATAAGGACAGTTTCAATGAGACTTGTTTGATCAGTCTAGATAAGAGTGATCAGGAAGAATGGCATCGAAAACTGGGGCATGTTAATGTCAGTGTCCTGTCTAAACTGGTTCGATTAAATCTAGTTAGAGGACTTCCAAAAATAAATGAGAAAAAGGACTTCTTTTGTGATGCGTGTGCTAGGGGTAAGCAGACCAGGTCTAGTTTCAAATCTAAATAAGGCATATCCACTTCTAGGCCTCTAGAACTACTGCATTTAGACTTGTTTGGTCCTACTAACGTAGTTAGTTATGGTGGTAAATCATATGCCTTTGTTGTGGTTGATGATTACTCTAGGTTTACCTGGGTATTATTTCTTAGTAGAAAGGATGAAGCTTTTGAAAACTTTAAAGTGCTGGTTAAAAGAATTGAGAATGAAAAATTGGTCAAGGTCTGCAGCATCAGAAGTGACCACGGAGGAGAATTTAGCTCTGAATCTTTTGAACAGTATTGCAATGACCTAGGTATTTCTCATAATTTTTCTGCTCCGAGGACACCACAACAGAATGGTGTTGTGGAGAGGAAAAACAGAACTCTCATAGACATTGCTCGAACTATGTTGAATGACTATGGTATTCCAAAGTACTTTTGGGCAGAGGCTATTAACACAGCCTGTTACACTGTCAATCGAGCCTTAATTAGATCAGGTGTAAACAAAACCCCTTATGAAATCTGGAAGGGAAGAAAACCTAACCTAGGTTACTTTCATGCTTTTGGGTGTAAGTGTTTTGTATTGAACACCAAAGACCACCTAGGAAAGTTTGATTCAAAATCTGATGAATCAGTGTTCCTAGGCTACTCAAACACCAGCAAGGCTTATCGTGTGTTTAATAAACGGACCCTCAAGGTTGAGGAGTCCGTCAATGTCATTTTTGATGAATCTGTTGCTGTGAGAACAGATAATTTTGATGATGACGACTTTGGACTTGGAAGGCAGCAACTTGTCACCAAAGAAGATGTTGGGATACCTGGTCAACAACCTGAGGAAGAAACTGTTAAAGGGAAAGACGGTCAGACTCAGCCAGAAGAAGGAATCAATGTAGTTGATACTGAAGCACACCCTCCAGCCTACATTGTGAAACGACATCCTCCTGAGCAAATAATAGGAAGCATAACTCAAGGTATGATTACTCGATCAAAGACATCTCCTTCTACTGTTGCTTATGTGTCTTTAGTAGAACCTAAAAATGTGCATGAAGCTCTGCAAGATGAATTCTGGACTGCCTCTATGTTTGATGAAATGCATCAGTTTGAACGTGCCAATGTGTGGGAACTTGTTCCAAAACCTGAAAATAGAGTAATAATAGGTACAAAGTGGATTTATAAAAACAAATCTGATGAGGTAGGTACTGTGATTAGGAATAAATCCAGATTAGTTGCTCAAGGGTATTGCCAGGAAGAAGGGATAGACTATGAGGAAACTTTTGCTCCTGTAGCCCGTTTAGAAGCCATTAGGTTGCTTTGTGCTTATGCTAGTTCAAAGGGGTTTAAATTATACCAGATGGATGTTAAGAGTGCTTTTCTGAATGGGGATTTAAAAGAAGAAGTTTTTGTGGCCCAACCTCCAGGATTCGAAGACCATAGATATCCTAATCATGTCTATAAACTAAAAAAGGCTATGTATGGTTTGAAACAAGCCCCAAGGGCTTGGTATGATAAACTTAGCTCTTTTTTGCTTGAAAATGGTTTTAGGAGAGGTCAGGTGGACAAAACCCTGTTTGTGAAGCATCTAAACAATCATATTCTTCTGGTTCAGGTGTATGTTGACGATATCATTTTTGGGGCCACTTGTGAAAGTTTGTGCAGAGAGTTTGAGTCAAAAATGAAAAATGGTTTTGAAATGAGTTTAATGGGTGAACTCAACTATTTCCTAGGGCTGCAGATCAAACAAACATCCATTGGAATCTTTATAAATCAGTCAAAATACTTGTTAAACATGCTCAAACGTTTTGATCTAGGAAACCTCAAATCTGCTGTAACACCCATGGCCTCCTCTATCAAATTAGATAAAGATGTTTCTGGTGTTCCCGTTAATGACAAACTTTACAGAGGAATGATAGGTTCATTGCTGTATTTAACAGCTATTCGTCCTGACATCATGTTTAGTGTCTGTGCTTGTGCACGATTCCAAAGCTCACCCAAAGAAAGTCATCTCAGTGGTACTTCAGACTTAGGTCTGTGGTATCCTAACAACTCGTCCTTAGAACTAATAAGCTACTCAGACTCTGACTATGCTGGGTGCTCAATCGACAGAAAAAGCACGTCAGGCACATGTCATTTCCTAGGTTCCTCTCTGGTTTCTTGGTTTAGCAAGAAACAAAACTCTGTGGCATTATCCACAGCAGAAGCAGAGTACATTGCAGCTGGAAGCTGTTGTACTCAGCTTCTGTGGATGAAACACCAACTTCAAGACTATGGTCTTAAGCTAAAAACCCTTCCTGTTCTATGTGACAATACCAGTGCCATCAACATGACTAAGAATCCCATCTTGCATTCTCGAACAAAACACATAGAAATCAGATACCATTTCATTAGAGAGTTGGTTGAGGAAGGTGTGATTACTTTGGAATTTGTCCCCACTTCCAGCCAATGGGCTGATATCTTCACTAAGCCTTTGGGCTCAGATTCTTTCCTCGCGAATCGTCGTGAACTTGGTATGTTTTCCTGGTCAGAGCTTGAGAATCTGAAGTGATTCTGATTCTCTGAGTACCGTTTTTGACCCCTCCTATTCTTTAGCTCCAAGACTTACTCTCTTTCGGGTCAGACAATATTTTCTTTCTCATTCTAATTTCCTCCTACCATAACTCTGATTTCCGTTCTCGTCTCACCATAACTTCCCTTAGGCCTTCAAGATTATTTATACTCTTGCTGAGTTGAGGAGGAGTTCTATCACTTTTCGTCCATACCCATTAAAACCCTTCTCCTTCTCCTAAATCAGTATGGCTGGAATCAATCCCGAGATACCTCTGCATCTGGCTCAGGCTGCCATCTTTACTGGGAAGGGGTTCAGAAATGCAGAAGACTATGCTCGCTATCTCATCAAATTTCAAGATCGCCCCTTGAGTCCCTCTATCTCTCTTGATCCTGCTCGCTTCAATCGCTATGACATGAACATTCCTGGTTTGATCAATGCTGTGGGATGGTCGAATCTTCCTCTTGATCAATGCTACAGTTTTCGTCCAGAGGCAGTTCGCATGTTCTATGCAAACATGCAGCCCTGTTTCAACACTGATCCTCCTACTTTCACCACTGTGGTGTATAACTATCTGATCACTGTCACGGTCGACATCTTGTCATATCTCCTTGGTTATCCAATTGCTGGTGCTGAAGTCCTGGATGAAGGAGACTTCCAGGAAGCTGGGTTCAATGAGGTTGAAGCTATTCGACTTTACACAAGGGATACAGGTGAATATCATTCGTCTCGACTTGCTACTGGTCGTCTCCCTGATGACCTCAAAGTCCTTCACTTCTTTATCACTAGGGTTTTCTTTCCCCGATCTCATGGTCTCAATAGGATCTATCCTATGGACATGTGGATCATGGCCAGTGCCAAAGAAAATCGTCCTATCAGCTATCCTCATCTCATGTTTAGTCACATGCTTCACTACTGTGATGACAATTTCAATGAGGAACTTCCTTTTGCCCCTCAAATCACTATGCTGCTGCGTGGTTTGGGTATTGATCTTCGCTACAAAGTGGCTCGAGTTGATCTAATTGATACTCTCCGTGCTCAGTTTGTACTTCGCAAAGTGAATGCCTTTGTTGGTCGTAGGGGTCCTCGTGTCAATGCTTCAGGGGGAGAAGGGACTGTAGTAGTTCCTGTTGTGCCTTTAGAAGTTGACCCAGTTGATGAGGCTGTTCCAGAGGAACCATCAGCAGCTGCAAATTCTGGTGATAGTGTCAGTATTGCCGACCTGGAGGAAGAGCTGGGTGAAAATGAAGGGGAAATTTCTGACTACCTGTCATCTCCAACCTTTCCATTCTAAAGAACCTTGGGTGTTCTGTGTAGGGGGAGCCTGAGTGAGCACTAAACCGTGGAGTAGAATCAGTAGAGTCTTGTCTTGTGTTGAATAAAGCTCTATAAAGAGCACGTAAAGTCTTAGAATCTAGAATGTGTGTGCACGAGTGTGCGTAGACAGTGTCTAGTTTCAGTCGTAGTAGTCGTATGCTGTGATCAGTTGATGTGATCTTGGAATAAAAGTAATCTCGTTTTGTTTTACCCATCGTGTGCTTATATTCTCACAAATATTGTTAGAACAGTCTGCACGTAACCGTTTGTTGAACTGTGTGCAGGAAAGCATGCAGGAACAACAGTCTCTTGAGAAGGGAATCATTGACAAGCTGAGGGGGAGATTGTTGGAGGAAGGCAGCTTGTCAAATGAGGAGCCTGTCAAATGAAGCCGAAAATCAAGGCCATATCTTTCGTGATGGACAAGAAGCCAAGAACGGACAGAAATGGTCAAGAAGGAAAGTTTTCAACTTCTTGCCATAAACTCATTCAAGGAAGGAAAAAGGAAAGGAAAGACAACGGCACAGTGATTGCCAAATAAAAGGGCTGAAGAGAATGAAGAGCCGGTCACTTTTCTGGAGATCATACATACTGGGGAGCTAAAGTCGTAGCGTGTGTGAGTGATAAGAAAAGCCAGGGTGATCCGATTTCTGGAGAGAATTTGGGTCGGGGGTTTTGTGTTGAGTGAAACACAGTAGCAGGATTGCTAGTAAAGAAGCTGAGTGGGGGTTGATTCAATCATCAGTCCTGGACTGGATTGAGAGATTTCGGAGCTGTTCATCATTGTAATCACAAAACAATCAGCAAGCTTAGTGGAGCGTCGGGAATCACATCATCGTGATCTTCCGACCGTGGAATAGTCAGAGTTGGGAATCAATTGACCCAACTCTGGAAACCACGTAAAAACCGATTGTGCATTTCTACTTCTGCTCTGTTTGTGCTGAGTGTGAATCCTACTCTGTCTAACTTGGATAGTGTTTGCTAGTATAAGTTCATAACTGAAACAAGGGGTTCGGTTCAGAGGAGTACAAGGGAGAAGAAGAAGGCTCTGCCTTGAAACGCACCGGATTAAACAGATTAGTCCAACTGATCTGAACTATTGGACCTGAGAGACTAAGCGATTGGGCTTAAAACTTCTGGCCCAGTTACAACTAATATTTGTTCAGCATTTTAAGTGTTCTTTTATTAGTCAATTTCATTTCATCAGTTTTCTATAGGAAATTCGCGGTGTCTTTCACTTGTGTCTGGTCAAAATCGAGTTAGGGTTTCAGGTTTACAAGAAGAGGAAATCCTCAGTTGGGAGCAGGCTTCTCGCGCTCGAAGCCGACAACAACTACTACTTCATGGAGTTCAATAATGCTAATGAGGCCCATAGGACTGTCGAGAGAAGGGGAAGTGATTATTTGGGGTGGTCATGCTCCGGCGGAACTGCATGTCTTGGATCCTACCACGGGGGAAATGTATGGCCTGCCGATTGGAGCTTCTCAGTATCGTGTGCAGCAGCTTGCAACCTACGTTCCAATGGTTTTATGTTGTTAGTTTCGGTTAGAAACACATGGATGCTGTCTTTGGACTATTTTGTCGGTTTTATAATGGTTTGGATTAGTTGGTAATTCCTACCACTGGGCAAATGTGTGATCTGCCAATTGTAGGTTCTATGTATCTTGCACAACAGGTTCCAGCCTACGTAACAACGGAAGCAACTGCCCAATATTGAGTACTACTGACTGAGAGCGAGAGAGAGAGAGAACAATCATTTTCTACTCTTACATGAAGGCATAGTAGCGGAGGCAGAAACCAGGCGGTTGATTGGTAAGTCGTTTAGTCGTCGGTCCCAAAGTAACGATCACCAAACTCCCCCAGCCCGGGTATGACTCGGAACTCATCGTTTATGGCAATGTCGATTTCAGAAGTCACTATCTTGAGAGATGGGAACCTTTTGCAGACGCAATGGATGCCTTCAGGAGCCTGAATGTGTAATAGAGGATGATGCATCAAGAACTAAATTGTTTGAACATGACAAACCGAGGGAAGAAAAAGCATGATTTGACTTACAGAGATTAGATTCAAGAATATGATGTGGGATTCTGGAACTCCTTTCTGTATCAGTAGATCTATTGCTTGGTTTGCTGAGTTACCTATAAAGAACAAACAGCCGCAGTTGGTAATGGAATGAACCTTTATCTCTCCCCCATATAGTTTCCATATGCAGCTAGCCAATTCCAAACAGAGCCAGTATCTAACTTGCATCTCAATTGGTGTGATCAGGAAAGATAAATTCCAAAGTCTCGCATCCCGATTCCAGAATCAGTGAATGACTTACCAGTAGCAAGAACAGGGTCCAGAAGCAGCACATGTCTTTCAGAAATGTCCTTGGGAAGCTTCTCATATATAAGCTGCTTTCCATTGTCTCCGTCCCGGTGAATTAGAATTTTTCCAATTTTAATTCCTTTGCAACACGCACGCAATGCATTCTCCATGCTTTCTCCGCTGAAATTACAAACAGGATAATTATTAGCAATGATTAGGCATTGGGACTTAATGAATAAAATTGATATTCAATGCATCAGCTTAACATCTTAAGAGATGCCTGATAGATATAAACAGCAAGATGATTAGAACTGCCAAAATCAAAACCGTATACTTAAGCTCACCTTCGAATAATAGAGACTCCACATAATTTTTTGCAGAAGTCGACCCCAGTGTAAACTGACCCTGTAATGAAACACAAGATGTTTTGTTTCTGATGTCTGTAACAAACCTTAGTTGCAAAAAGAAACAGGCAAGGATAGAAGCTTAGGTACAGCTATGTGAATGCATCAACATAAACAACTTGAAGGAAGCAATATGCAACGAGCACAAGCCCTCTCAATGCCTTGTTAGAAGTTGAAAGTAAGGAGAAGGGGTTACTATCCAAAACTAAAGATGGATGAAATAGAAACTGAAGAAAAGTCTAGTCAAAGATAAGTGTATAGTTCAATCTGCCACTCACCAGTTGGGGTAACAACTTGCTTCTCTGTGAATGGTAAATGACCAAGGCCATGCTCCACAACCTGAGAGCAAACACAATATTTAAAATAGTACGTGATGAATAAGAAAGAACAACAGCACAATCAAAAGTGGACCATATGACAATAGGTGGGCCATGAAAATTACCAGCCGAATAAGTCGATCTGAATAAAAAACAAAATCATGCTTTGATATTTCTCGGTCTCGAATCAATGTATGCATGCCTCTAATCTGCAAGGAAGTAGGAGACAAATGATCATAATTTCCATCAACAATTGAGCTACAAGTCATTACGACCCAACAGCCAAGCATGCTATGTTCATTACAGAACATTATCACATATTTAATGATGTTCAAAATCCAGAAGTAGAGCTCTGCTTTCATGATATTCTAAACTAACATGCATTAGAACCTGACAAAGTTTTTGCAACCTCGTAGAGTACTTTTCCATGTTTTAGATGAGTTCATGAGATTACTTTCACGTCAATTGAGAAGGAAGGAGCCATGAGCAGAACATCGCTCTCAAGCAGAAGATTAAACGTTTGATTTCTCTAAAACAGATCTATCTAAATGTATACAAATCAGGTTAGAAAGAGCACATACCTGAAAAGTTGATTGAATGACGTACACATTTGGATATATTTTACAGAGGTCATGTAGACCAAGCTTCGTCTGGATATGCTGCACTATCAAATCAATGGCAACATGATTATCACCTCCACGAGGTATGATCACGTCGGCATACTTCTTGGAAGGAAGCACAAAATCATCAAATGCAGGCTTCACAAATTTAGCATACTGCACAAGCAACAGAAACCTTTCAGCCTTTTACAGTGAAACCCATAAAAGTAACTCATATGAGTTAATGAGACAGGATCACAAGCCTCAATTGCAAAGCAGACAATGAAAGAATACTGTTTCAGTCTCTCATCAGAACAGGCATGCAAATGCATGGGTATAACTAACGAGAGCTTAGTCCTTGAACAATAGGAATGAATTAGGCAAACTACTTAGACATTGCCCATCTAACCTGCTCAAGAACAGAGTTTATATCCCTACCCCTCTCCACTGTGTCACGGCGTATTCTACGAGCAAGTCTCACATCAGCATCTACAAGAAATTCATTGCCAAGAATAGTTATAATGCAAATACACCATTAAGGTTATATATGTGACGAGGTGCACTAGGAGTCAAACCTGTATCAACAAAGATCTTCATATTCATGAGGTTGCGGACACGTTGATCATGGAACACCAAGATACCCTCTAGAATAATCACATCAGAAGCATTCACCTAACGAAGTCAAGAGTTTTCATCAAAACATGTTTAAGAACCCAGGAAAGGTGAAAGATAAGCACATTGCCTTTCTAGGATGGACAAACACCCAAAATCGATGCTATTTAAGGTGATCCATAAAGCAGCGTTCACCATTCAGAGTAGGTTAGCAAAAATGAAAAGAATCACTGCTACCAGTACCACACTCCTAATCTGCAGAGCCACTGAGAGGTTAAAAGAAAGTGAGGCAATTGCAAGTTGCATACCTGTCTAAAGCTAGAGGAACAACGTTGATGGCTCTTGAAGTCGTATATAGGAACTTGATAAGGCAGACCACTTTTAAGCTTTTCAAGGCAGTCCAAAAGCTGCTCAGTGTCAAAAGCATCTGCAAAACAGGAAATTTCCCCATTGATGTGACCTCCGTAACTACTAAGATGTTCCCCAAAAGCACAACAACTTCAAAATAGAAAAAGAAAAAAATACAGCATTTCACCTGGATGATCAAAGTTATACTCATGAACACGTAGTAATTCGTCAGGCGTCAACCCACGATAGAACGAATCCTACAATGTTCAATCTTCTGTTAGTAATATCCAAGCAAATGTGCTACCTTTATCAAAAACAATTACAAGATTAGCAAGCACAGTAGAAAAATATACCTGATTCACAAGCACAACACGGTGATCGTGTAGCTGCTGAATAATCATATCACACACCGTCGTCTTCCCTGAAGCCGTACCTCCACAAACCCCTATTTGATTTGAGATTCAATTCATCCCCACAAAACCCAAAAAAATCAGCTCCTTCACTAAAAATCACCAGCAAAAAGTTCAAGCTCAACCAGCATTCAATCAGGGACAGAAATTACAAACGGGATTTTCTTCTCTCAAGAGAAATGGGGAAAATTCGCAGAAACACTTGCCAATTCGGAAATCGGCAGAGCTGAATTCGAAGAAAACAGAAGAACTGTAGCGTAGTTAGGAAGCATGTACCGATGACGAAGGGCTGCGTGGGGGGGACATCAGCTTCGGCGAATGCACCGGCGGCGGAGGAGGAGCGATGAGCTGGGGAGGAAGTGGAGGAAGCAGGTGGAGAAGAGAGGAGGCCGTCGATGCGGAGGCCGGAGAAGTGAGGGCCGGATGCCTTCTCCATGACGTAGTCGATAGAGTCGGTCTCCCCCGGCATGTTTGCACGGCGAACGTCGTCCTGCTGAATGAGCTCCGGCGATCGGGGAACCGGATTGGACTGAACGAAGAAGTAGTAGAAGAAGGAAAGAATTGGGGAGTCCAACGGAGACCGGAATCTGACTGGCAACTCGTGGGGAAAATTGATTGCGGAAAGAGATCGAATAGACGGACAAAGGAATATGCTCCTGGGCCCGGGCCTGCTGTGGTTTTGGGTTTTTCAATTCATGAAAAGCCCACGCGATTTGACTAACCTAGGTCACGTGCTTCACCTGTGCATTTATTTTATCTTATCCTTAGAGCTTAATTAAGTAGGATTATTATGACTAGTAAGTAGTAATTAGGTAGGCAATGCCAGAACACTGTTCTACAGTTGGACTGTCTTTTCATGTTTTCTAACTTAGATCTAATAACTTAATATGCTTCAAATATAACAAGAATCTTTATATGCATTTCCAGTTAATTATTGTGAGGCTAAAATTCATATATGATTCCTTTAGTTGTTACATATTAGATTTAGAGCCAACTGATTCATTATATACTATCAGAGTTCTATATCATATGGTCTTGTGAAATGTCAATACAGATTGTTGATTTGTATCCCCCTTCCTAAATTCAATAAAATTTGGTCGCCAAGTGTAGGTTGATTCTTGTTCTTTAATATTTAAAAATTTCATAAAACTAAGAAACGAACATCATTATATTTGATCATGTCCAAATATTAATTTGATCTGGTACTACAAACTGAATCGTTGCACAATGTTAACACATGATATAAGATTTATAACTAGCCTTATTTTCAATAACTCGAGTTATTATATTACTTTGATTTAGGACCACTATTATCATATTGGCATCAAAGACATATGAACTTTAGTAAAGAGAAAAATTGGAATCTTTCCATAATATAGTCTGCACTTAGCTTATTACAAAGTGAAATTAATACAAAACCATCCTTAAAAAGAATATAAAATTAAAAATGAAACAAATCCAAAATATACCATACCCATATTTCCTCAGTCACTAACTAGAATTTGTAAATCTCCCCCATAAACATAAACCATAAAAAGAACACAGTACAAAATATACTCTAGCTTCAATTCTCAAACCAGTTGAGGCATCAACAAGCTCAAGCTCAACACTCCTGCAAGCAAAGCCATGGATCCAACAACAGATTGAACAGCATCAGAAGACGATGAGGACGAGGACGATGATGAAGACGAAGTTGAAGGTGATGCCGGAGTCGAAGCTGCACTGCCGGAGTCGACCGTGATCTTCACCTTCATCCCATGACCACAATGCCCTGCTGTCCCGCAAGCGAAAAACCGGGTCCCGGGTTTGCCCAGCTTCACCACATCGTTGCCTGTGCTCATCGAGTCCAATGAAGATCCAAGGTCGCAGCTCTTGTAGGCCGACTCGCTCCCCAGCTCCACCACGCTGTGCAGCCCTGAGCTGTACTTGAACACTGCAAACCCACATTTCGCATTGCACATTATATCTGGTCTAAGTTTGAGTTGAAACATAATGCTACGTACGTGGATTTTTTCGGTAATAACCCACGAATACGAACTTCAGATACGTTGCTCGAATGCTCTCGAGTAGGGGAAACAATTAAGTGATAGGGAAATGAAACACATACCAAGTTGGTCACCAACTTTGAACTTCTGGGCTGAGGCCCATGAGCTGAAATCTGTGGATTCATCCCACCCTTGGCTTCCTCCGACAGCATGTTGAGCTGCTGAAGCTTGCTTCCCAACAAAGCAGACCAATGACGACAACACGAAGAAGATTGCTCTGTAGTTTTCCATTTTTAATTGTCTTTGTTGGTCTCCTTCCTTGAGCCTTCAGCTTCTCATATGGAGACCTTATATAGTTACCAAATTCAGGGTTGTGACAGTAGAATGATTGACTCTGCCCGTGTGAAATTGAGAAAACATGAGCTAGCTAGCTAGCTTCACAAGCATCATGTAAAATGACTTGATTGTCCTTTGGAGTCAGGTTCATGTGACATGTTTTAGGGTGGACAGTATGGTCAATTTGAGCTATGATAATGAAGTGGATGCACAGGATTAAGTGTTAATCACAGTGGGAAACTATAGCAAACGTAGTATTTCCCTTGAAGCATAATCTTGTTTGTTCAAGAGTTGGTACCATCATTACAAGCTTTACTTGGCAACTAAGGTAGCCAGCAGGTTACTCATGATCTAGAAGCTTTTTTTTCTTCTTCTTTGCTTTCTTATGTCATTCCAACCAATTAGAGAAGCCTCTCCATGATTTGGCATCTTGTGTTCTTTATCAAAGATGGGTACGATCCATTTAGATCCACAATCGGACAAAATTGTTACAGGATAGAATCAAAAGGAAAGATAAGGAACATAACCGAATTGACATCACATTTAATTGAGCCTGACTCGGTATGGTTTCAATCATGTTTAGTTTTTCAGAATTAAGAAAGCCCTATAAAATCGCAAACCAAAAACAATCTTGAAATTGGAATTATAAACCCAAACTATATATATGGAGGCGATGCTGATGCGAGAGTTTGGTTGGGGATGGGAGTTTCAATTGGGAAAGGAAGGAAGTAGCGAAGAAGTTGAGGTTAGGCTTCTTTCAGCAACCTTCGTCGTTCATTTCTAAATCAATCCCTTTTTTTTTTTTGTATTTGAAATTCCCACTTTTACATGGGCCGAAATCCAGCCTGAATTTAATCCAAATACAACATTAAAAAGTTAGCCAGACAATGAAATTTTGAATTTTAAAATCCAAATCCCACTAATCTCACCCTGCTGGCTACTACCCACAGCCACTTTGCAAATTAATTCGGTTTATTATTCTACCGTGCCGGCACCCTACTTTCCAGGGATCAAAGGCAAATCAACCTCATCACACCACTCCACCGACCTGGTCTCACAGAAGGAAGTGTGGACTTGATTGGGGAAATAGGTCACCCAAACTTCCCCTCCAATTCTCCACTTCAACACGCTCCCTTCCATCTCCTTCCCCAACCTCCACGTAACCTCATCGCCGTACTCCTCCCCGGCAAATATCAGCCCTCTCGCCTTCGTGAAGGGCCTGTTGGGCCCAGTACTGCTCCTCATTCTTCTGGGCCCGTCTCCTCCTCCGCCGCCGCTACAGTACTCCTGGCCCGTAGCCGTATCGTGTAGGACAGCATCGAAGACGACAGCGTTCCCTTCCACGTCTTGGTCCCACCTCCAGTCCTTCACCCTCGTTCTCAACATCCCGAAATTTCCGGGGCCACCCTTGCCAACGTGTAGTAGCTCCGTCGTTTCGCTCTCGCCGTTGTGCGTCGAGCGGCCCGCGCTCAAGCCCGCCACGTACGTAGCTCCGATCTCCGGCCCAACCCAGACACGAACCCTCGACACGAAGTGCCTCTCCTCCGAATATTCCGATTCTCCACTGAACCCAAGCTTCGCCACGTGGAAGCGGAGGTTGTCCACTCGGGCGCTGACTTGGACGTACGCGTCGTGAAACGCGACGGAGTAGTGCAGCTGAATGACGGCTTCCAACTGCTGATGCGCCAGAGCGTACTTCAACAGCGACAGCTCGTTCGGCTCGAGTAGAAACGGCTTTATTGGCGCTCCGGAGAGGCGCATGGCCGGGACGGGCGCGTAGCCCTTGAGAGTCCAGTACCCGTAAGCCTCCACGGCGTAGCTGAACCCTGGAAGGAGTGGGGGGACCGGCGTCCGCAAACCTGCGCCGGGCGCCACCTCTCTGGAGATGAGCCATTTCGCTAACATGTACCCCAGGGTGCGCACGAAGCACAGCTCCGCGTCCGCTCCGACGGCGACCAAGAACTTGGCGAGGACCGGCTTGGACGCGGTGAGCAGGGAGTGGATGTTGGGAGAGAGGAGGGAGTCGAGGTAGAAGGAGCCGACTTCGGAGGGCGCGTCGCAGGCACACGCCCAGAAAAGGCGGGTGAGCAAGACGAGGTTGAAGAAGCTGGAGAAGGACTCTGGGGAGTGGGTGTCCAGGATCCAGGACACCGGTTCGGCCCGAAGCTTCTGGAACCGGCCGGAGCTACTGTAGGTTGCCGACGTGGGTGCCCGGGTGACGATCTCGTGGAGGAGGTGGAGGAGGAGGGGCAGCAGGAAAGTGGTGTTGGTGGTGGAACCACTGGAGTTGAGTAGGTAGGCGTCGGAGGCCCAGAGCGTGGAGGGAGTGGCGCCACGTAAGCATACGGATAAAGTGATAAAAAAAGCGTCCGAGTTTGCCGGAGGAGAAGAAGGCGTTCGTCGGGCTTGGAGCTGGAGAGAACGAGTTGGGTCACATGGTGAAGTAGCAAGTTGGAAGACGAGTAGTGGTGCCGACTCCCATTCACCGGAGAAAGGAAGGTCGGATATCCAGGACCACACGTCCAGCATCTTCTTTTTCCCGGACGGTTGGTTGGCTGAAAGCAAATAAATATATATTGTTTGTATGTGCTTGCTACTTGCTAGCTAGCTAGCTTGTTGAAATAGTTCTGTCGACGGCGGCGTATAGCTAGGTAGTGTGAACTAAGTAGGGCTTCTGTGTGGAAGTAACAATGAGTGAAGGAAGAGATGGATAGAATGAACGTTAATGAAGATGGGAACTTGGATTTAAGCAAAGCCACACCTATGAGAAGCCAAACGAGTGGTAGTTATTCAATTGTGTGCGAGGCGGGAGATACGGTTGCATTTATTATTGTTTGCGGGCGGATCAGATTTTTCCTTGTGTCTGTGTCCCTTGTTTTGAGTAGTATCAGTATACTAGCTTTTACCCGACTCGTTGGTCGGATCAATTTCATTCTATTTCGTATAATTTATTTTATCAATATTTATGATTTACTTGATTTGGGATCTTTAATTTTATATGATTCACGGAAAATATTTGTGGTTTTAAGAGTTGACAATGACGTAAAAGGATAGTCAAGCTATTATATTGACCAAAATCTCAAATATTTGAAGTATTTATTTGGAATTTTACTAAATAAAACACTTGTTGATTCAAATATACAATCGTCTGTCGTGAAAGTGGGATTTTATGAAAAAAGATTCATGACTTCATAAAGAAAGAAAATCAATTTGATATTCAATAACAAATGTGAACATCGTTTGGATCATATATTTCAGTTATGTATTTGGTATCTAAATTCAACACATGCGAGATTTGTCTAACTCCTAAATTTGGAAGTAGGTGTTAAAACTCTATTCAAATCAAAATGCGATTCCCAATATGGTATCTAAGTTCAACACATGCGAGATTTGTCTAACTCCTTATAACCATGCTAGCTCATTTGGCCCTTTTTGTTGCATATATGCTCTTCCTCCTGAAAGGAAAAAAAGGGATCAACGAATCATAATCATCGGGCGTAAAAGACATACACACATAAAGAACTGAAAACAAATATATAAACCGTTGAAAAATGCAGCACTCATCATTATGTTCTGCAGAATGCATGTCTTGTTTATGGTTGCTTTATTTTGACAGAACTGATGACGATGTAATCTTCCCTTCCGGATGCACTCTTCCTGAACACCAATACAAACAATTAGCATAGCACATGACTTTAGTTCCTAGCACACCTTGTTGATTAAGAAGGTGACTACTCTTACATGTTAGTTGTCATTTCTGAAATGACCACATCAATGTACCCAGCCACTGCATAAGAACTCGGATAATAAGGTCATTTCTATGTGATCATGCATATCGTGCAGGTAAACATAATAACAACGTAAGAACTCAATAATCCGAAAGCTATTTGAGTTACAAACCGCGAGGTCCAGAAGATATAAAATGGAGCCAAATACATCCAAATCACCATTGATGGCAAGCACTTGATTAATAAGTTGAACTCGGCAAGTGAAAGCTTCCTAATGTGCTAGGTAAGTACCCAAAACTGGCATAAGCTCATTAATCTGCGAATAAATCACAAGAAATTAAACAAAAAAAAAAAGCAGAAGCAAAGAGAGAAGGTCACCACCATGTCGATTTTGTTATTCCTTCACAATCATAATAGAGTTCTTCACCTTTACGATTTTGTGCGTCTTCTTATTCCTCCTTCCACTACCGTTCTCTTTGCCTTCTATGTCTTTGTAAACTGCGACCAGGGAAAATTAATTCTCTGCTGTTGCTTCTTCTTCTTCTTCTTCTTCTTCCTCTTAGCCTTTTTTGTATTCATGAAAGTCCTCATATGTTGACCAAACTAAGACTTATCACAAACACCCAATCAAACTGAAAGGAAGTCGCCAAACTTGAACTACCTGGCTTTGCATTCTTTCTACTCCGCTAACTTAATCATCCTTACTCTCCCCTCTGCAAACCCAACGCTCCTTTTCCACTTTCTCCTGCCATCATCGAGTTCCCGTCGTCGTTCCTTCAATCTGAAAGAATGGGCAAAAATGATGAACCAAATCCATGTAGTATAGTAAGGGAAAATCATAACGTAGACCCAAAAATCAACACACTAAATAAGACGTCAGAAAGCGAATAATAACAAAGGAGAGTCAGAAACCCACCGCCACCGCTAACCCATCCCTCGCATTTTCTCCTTATGCGAATACAAAGCTCGTTTCCTTCTTGTATGGTTCACTCTCAGTAATCATAATTTAGTTTCGCCGTCGTCTCTTCGATCAGAAAAGAATTGGAGAAGATGATGAACCAAATCTATCAAGTACGGTGGGCTAAACCCAAATTTAGAACTAAAAATCTGGAACATAGGGATGACAATTTTGAACTGACCCGTTTTACCCGACCTGTTAAACCTGTTTTGGGGCGGGTCCGACCCGCCTCGTAGGCGGGGCGGGCATGGGTAGTCCCATCGATCCGACCTGCCCTGACCCGCCCCATTTTTGACCCGTTCTTGTCTAAATTACATGTAATCTTAGTCAAATTACTTAGAATTTTCCTTTTATTGCATAATATTTTAGCTATAATAAAGTTGTAAATTAGTAAAAACCTCAATTTCTCCAATAATTTAACTACAATTGTCATAATATTGTTTGTTTTCTTAGTCCTACAATAAAAATTACGAATATTTTTAATGTTTTCATATAAATTGTATACTCATTGGGTCGACCTGCCCCGACCCGCGACCCATGATCAATTACCCGACCTGCCACGGGGCGGGTCTGGGTACCAAGAAACTCGCCCCGGACCTGCCCCATTGCCATTCCTACCGGAACAGAAAGGAGACTGAAATGGGATATCAATGAAAGAGAGCGAGAAACCTACCAGTTGCAGCTGGGATCTAAACCAGAGCTCAATTATTTATGCCTTCTTTGGAACTCGGCTCCTCTGGTTTCCCTTGTTTTCCTTGGCTTCGAGGGGCTTGTAGTCGCCGAATTCGCCGAAGACGTGGTCTCCTTCTAAGCTGCAATAAGGACACAGGAGGTACAAGAAGGGTTGGCCTATCAATTTAGCTGGGTACACATGGAAACTCAATCAGATAAAACTAAATATAAGCGAAGTAAATGATGGAAACAGTAATAGGTAATATGCAGATCAGACTACCAAATCCAATTGCGAATAGAGGAATTGCGGGCTTCCCCCAACCGCATATATATCAGACTAACAAATCTGACAGCGCGAAGCAACGGGGGCAAACAAACAGAAAAAATTACTGACTCCCCTTCAAATCGCCGGTTGGCTGGCAAGGGTTCAACGCAAAACTACCTAATCCGGATTGAGAGAAGCAGCGGAGCAAACTAACCGAAACAATCTCGCCTCCCCTTCAAATCGGCGGTTGGCTAGAGAATTGTTCACCGCAAAACTACCAAATCTGATTGTTCGAATCAGCGGGGGTAAACAAATACCACAAATCATGACTCACCTTCGATTCGCCGGTTGGCTAGGGAATTCACCGTCAATTAGCCGCAGGTCTTCCTCGCTCAATTAGTTGTTCGCGCGCTCGTTCCAAACTGCTGAATCTCGGCAAGGTGAACTCCACATCAGCGAGCCGTCAATGCCTTCCTCCGCTGAGCAACAAGCGTCAGTCCCTGTTCCCAAAATTGTCCGCTGAGAAATGGATCTCCTGCCGTGCTGCGGGAAGGAGAAAGCAAAACGTAGATAATCCAGGAGAAAATGGAAGATGATTTCAGCCGCAAAAAAAGTAGTGGGAACCGACGGTTTCTTATCTCTCCTGTCAGGCGGGGATTTCTAATTTAATCCCGCGTAACCACCCTGCCACGTCAGACTCCTAAAATCACTCTATGCGCAGAAAAATTTGAATAGGGGGTTGCAGTTTTACTTTTCAGCTATAAATTATACTGTTGATACATATATCATCAAGTCGCGGGTAAAGGAGGATACACATAGCGATGATTAGGGATGGCAATGGGTCGGGTTGGGTCGGGTTTTGCCAAACCCAAACCCAAACCCATGGGTTTATCTTTGAAAAAAACCCGGGGTAAAACCCACTGGGTTTGAAAAACTCAAACCCAACCCAACCCGTTGGGTATCCGCGGGTTCATGGGTACCCACGGGTTTTGTCGTAAAAAATTTACAATTACAAGTTCTTATCAAAATTAAAGTCAAATATCAATCTCTCAATACAAATTATCCATATATAAAACACCATTCTAGAAAATTCAAGCAAATCACAAATTTTTCATAAATAACATGTTTAATTGGAAGCTTCTTCCTTTCAATTAAACTTGATTCTACACAATTAAAAAGAAAAAATTAGACATGTCTCCACAAACATAAATAAGAGTAGTTGTTTAGAATATTAAATATACCGAAAAAATTAATTATATGGGTGGGCGGGTACCCACGGGCCGGGTTTACCTAAACCCAAACCCAACCCAACCCGTTGAATAGTGAACGGGTTTAAACCCAAACCCGGCCCAAAACCCGTCAACACGGATTTTACCCGCGTTGACCGGGTTGGGTCGGGTGGGTACCCGTGGGTTCGGGTTTTGTTGCCATCCCTAGCGATGATAACGTACGTACAAGTGAGAGAATTCCATTCCATTCCATGGGTGGTGGTGAAAGCAGCCTTGTCTCTAAGTCTATTTCAAAACCCTCCGACTTCACTCTACCTCGGCGGCGTCGGTGGTGGTGGTTCAGCTTGGGGTGGATGTCGGCTAGGGATGGCAATGGGTCGGGTTGGGGCGGGTTTTGCCAAACCCGAACCCAAACCCATGGGTTTGTCCGTCAAAAAAACCCGGGGTAAAACCCGCTGGGTTTGAAAAACTCAAACCCAACCCAACCCGCTGGGTATCCGCGGGTTGATGGGTACCCGTGGGTTTTTTTGGTAAAATATTTATAAATAATAATTAACAAGAAACTATCAAAATAAAAAATCAAGCATAAATCTCACCATACAATTATCCACACATAAAACATAATCAGTATACTTCACAAACATAATCAGTATACTCCACCAAACATAATCAGTATACTTCACAAACATAATCAGTATACCCTCTGCCCTCCCAACATGCGGATCACAAACATAATCAGTATACTTCAAAGTAATGCTACAATGATTAATTAACTTTCACACTTGCACATCAACTACTTAGGTGTACTTGAATCCAGATTAATTAATTAACATACAACTTAGCGCAGCAACTACTTAGGGATTTAGGGTGTACTTTGAGTGTTTGGAATTTGGCTTGGAGGAGAGCTTTCCCAAGACCAAGCAACGAGCGGCTGTGCTGGAGAGAGGGGCCGGGACTCGAGAGGGCGATTCTGGACCAAGTGGGCGGTGGCGTGTCCGGCGGTGGAGTCGACTGAGCGGAGGGAGACGGCGGAGAGGTGGTCGGTCGCCTGGTCGGGGAGGTTGAGACTGAGCAACGCCGTGAAGGCCTTGCTGAGGAGCAGGGAGAGCTGGAGAGAGTGGCGGCCTGGCGGGGCAGAGGAGTTTGGTGGTGGCGGGGCGGCCGTCGCCAGTCGGGACGGCAGGTGGAGAAGAGGAAGATGGGTCGCGGTCGCGGTCCTCGCGGAGAAGAAGACGGGTCGCGGAGAAGAAGACGGGTCGCGGTCGTGGTCCTCGCGGAGAAGAAGATGGGTCGCGGTCGCGGTCCTCGCGGAGAAGAAGATGGGTTGCAGAGGCCGGCGAGGAAGATGGGTCGGGACTCGGGAAGAGATTGGCGGCGATGCCGCGATGGGAAATGGGAAGGGCGAAGTGGAAATTGGTTCTGGCCTTCTGAGATTGGGAATTGTCGTTTGGGGTCTGGGTAATTTAGGGTTAGGGATGTATGGCCGGGTATCCACGGGTCGGGTTCCCTCAAACCCGAACCCGCCCCAACCCGCCCAACCAGCCACCGGGTTTAAACCCGAACCCGGCCCGAACCCGGTCAACACGGATTTTACCCGGTTTGACCGGGTTGGGTCGGGTCGGGTACCCGCGGGTCCGGGTTGAACTGCCATCCCATTGTCGGCGGCAGTCTGGATTTTGTAGGGTGGCTGAAGATGATCATTGAAGACTTGGGCTAGAGTTGAAAGTTAATTGGGCCCGTTTGTTTGCTTGGTTTTGGCGTTGTATTTTGTTGTCTTTCGGTCCTTGTATTTGGGCTTTGTGGTTTTTATTTTTTCTTTCGATTAGGCTTATGTATATATTGGTTGTATATATGGGTGGTTATATGGTTCGGTCCGGTTGAATTGGCCCGAATTGATCCGGTCCCAGTCCGGTTTTTTGGGAATATAAGGACCAAATATTGGATTGGATACAGTCCGGTCTTGATCCGGTCCGGTCACAATTCGGTCTTAATTTTAGATTGAACTTGTAGGGATTTGACTAGCCTGAGGACTCAAAGAGTGAGGAGTTGGTTAAGTTTTTGGTGTTGGGCTTCTTATCCGGTCTTTATTCGGTTTTTGATCTGATGCCAAACGGGTTTTTACCTCAAATCTAAGCTCAAAGATTGGATTGGATTGTTTGCTATCTGGTCCCGATCCGATCTCGATCCGAGTTATACGGTCCGGGTTCAGGTAAAACCAAATAGTCTGGACCAAATAGCCATCCCTAGCTGTATACTTGTATTAGACTTATCTTATATATGAGCGCTTGATCCTTGTCATATTTACTCCTGCCGTGTATCGCGGCATTTACTGCAACTAGTTGTTTTAGAATTGAATCAAAAGATAAGATCAGGATTAGAACCGGATTGGTGTCGTATCTAATTGAACCCAATTCTATCCGCGATTTTAATCTTATTTAGTCGCTCAACTCTGAAAAAGGCTCATAAAGTCGAAAACCATAAACAATCTAACAATAGAATTAGAGAGCCAAACTATATCATATATATTTCAATATAATTTGATTGGGTTTGAATCCATTGATCAATTCAGCCCAATAGAACTAAATAACTACCATTTTCTAAACAAGTGCAAATAACACAACTTCAACAACTAGCTTACATATATAAACCATAAAGTACTCTATAGATTTGAGAGGTTTATTAGTGTTACAATAGGTTAAAAGAGAGGCAGAGCAAAGCTAGTTTCTTGATTTGCAAGAAACTAATATAGATGTATATATACTTATTGTGTGTGTGATTATATTATAGCTAGATTAGGACCCATTTGGCATGGCATTTGTTGTGGTCATTTCAAGTGTGGTGCTGGAAGAATGAGACGACTTGGTTAAAAACAATGTCCTTGGCATTGACGCCCATAATGAAATCAGCATGAGCATACTCCCTCACGTACTGAACCGACAGCTTGTCCACGTCATGTGCCCTGAAGCTGTCGAGCAACCGCTGTACGTCCCGGATGTCGGAGAGCGCATCCTGGCCGCCGTAGCTGAGGAACACCGGCAGGTCGTGTGGGATGTTGGAGAGGTTGTACACCGGCGGCGTGGCCTCACCGTAGTGCATCATGTTGTAGTCGGCTGTGCCGTAGTTGAACTTTGCTAGCACACCATCTCGGACCGCTGCATCGAAAAAACGGGTCATATGAGCATTTCTCGTTTCGTGATATAAGATTTATTGTTGAACATTACGCGACGAGAAAAGAGGGAAAGGGTTGTTACTTTGAGCTAGATGGACCATGTTCTTGGTGGCTGTTGATTGAGGCTCGTTCTGGAGGAAGAGGTCAACCGTTGATGAGTTTAGGCAGCAATTCTTCCCTGTCAAATTTGGGAGACAATTAGAGGTGAGTAAATTTTGACCAAACCCACAAATCCCATTTACTAAATAATGACACATAACACATATCAATTCGACAAGTGATGACTTTCAACTTGATATAAATTAAGCAACTCAAATCATGACTCTGAATTATCTAGCACATTCTTTTGTTCATTTGCTGGTGATCTAAAACCCATTATTACGACGTAACAATCCATCATGATCAACTCGTTATGACGCACCATCTATTATTATATATGACCCGACTTGAGAAAATCGAAGTTATGATGACCAATTTGTAGCATCGAAGAGAATCAAAAGGTTGAACTGATGATCAATGTTATATTGTGTGTACCAGTGAAGGCAGAAACGAGGTCATAGCAATCAACTCCAGGGGAAGCACATAGAGCATCGAGAAACTGAGTAACTAGCTTCCTGTCAAGAAACAATACTTCAACTTAGTCAGAAGATTCTTCCAATAAAGCTCTCTGTTTCTTTCTTTCTTTCTTTCTTTCTTTCTTTCTTTCCTTATAGGCTGCTGCTGGGAGAAGAATCTACTTACATTTTAGGATTGAACTCAGCAAAACCAAGCAGTTCAGTCATCTGATTGCAACCAAGCAAAAGACATCTTATGTTTGGTTCTTTCACCCTTTGAATCATCACTGTTACTGGAGAAATCGTACATTAATTACCTCACCAACAAAGGCTTTGGCAGCAAGAGCTCCAATGACAGTGTTCATATGGCTCAAGTAGGCAATTGGGCTTAGGAATACAGCTGATTTCAGCTTGTCCACAAGCAAACCTTCGGAGAATGATCCCAATGCTATCAAAGTCCCCTGCCATCACCAATACATACAAGAAAACTTTTTCAGTACTACTACCCAATATCTTTGGGAATTGGAATTTGGTACCTGAACTTTCTGGGTCTTACCAGGGAGTGTCCAACATAGTGCATCTTCTGACCAGTTTCTTGTTGGACATGGTCAACAAAAGCTGGGAGATCAAACACAACTAGCTCATCCCATGACCAATTCCAAAAAGCCTGCATGGTTTTATGAACAAGCAGAGAGAGTTATTATATGAACAGAACCCATACACAGTACATAGTACTACACTACTACTTCCATTTGTACTTCCAATGGTTGTTGTTAGCTTTGATTGTACAGCTTATTATGAGTATGAGAGAGAGAGAGAGAGAGAGAGAGAGAGAGAGAGAGAGGATGAGAACATGTTCATTGGGTTGTAGTGAGGTGTGCCTCCTGCTGAATCTAGTCCCTCTGGTGTTAGCAATCCAAACATCAAACCCTTTGTCAGCCAAGATCAAGGGTAGATTTTGTTCCGGAGAATTTAGAAGCCATGTCATTCCGTCCTGTAGCCAAAGAAGAAACATTATGCAAACTGAAGTTTTCACTCGGATATCCACCATTAATAGTAATTAAATTCATTGTATTGATCATCATTATGACTGCATAAAAAATCGTATTTATTAAACGAAGATGTATGATGTATCCAATCGTCTCAAAACAAGATTGTTTAGTACAGATTTTATTATATGATTCTTTCATGATTTTTCCAAACATCAATCCTCGAGTATTTTTTATTTTTATATAATTGTTCATTTTCATATTCGAATCGAGCGAGAGGGATGACTTTTATCTTCACTAATAGGCCGCCGAATCTCTGAAGTAATCCTTGAATTGAATAACCTAGCTAATTGGTTCAATCTACCATAAAGACGATCATACATAACATTTCTATGACAATCCTGTAATAAAAATTTAAACGATTTATCCTTGTTTCTGAAAGCGCTTATAACATAAAACCACCCAAAATCCGACTAGAAAGTTTTGAGTTGAAACCGAAATTACCAACCAACCAACATCATTCTAGTTTCCAAAAATATGACTCAACACCAAGAAATCATAATCCCAAAGTTACCCAACCCAGCCCATTTGCCAGGTCTAAGATATTATAACTAAAAAAGGCCACATGTATAAGAAAAGCCCAATATCATGTAGCCATGTGGGTGTTGCTTAAGACGAACTCAAACTGAATTGGGCCACGTTATAATCCAGACAAACAGCAGGGGACGTCGTGCATGAGTTGCATGTGTCCTTTAATTTTGGTATATAGTACTGTAAAGGATAAAATCTTGTCTGGCTGATCTGCTAGCTTTCGAAGTCTGGGCCATCAAACGGTGCATAAATTTATGAACCCTATCTATCTATCAAGCCCATCTTTTCTTCCCACTCAGTCAAAGAACACAACAGACCCGTTTTCCTTAATCTCTGCCACCACACCAGAGAACATTTGGCAGGAACTACTTAACTTCCTGCCCCTCTAGGTATACTTCCCATTGGTGATTGGGAGTGGAAATGGAGGATTTTTGGGAATGTAAAAGTTTCCTATATACTTGTGCCCAATTTCTAGTTTGGATGGCAATATTTATTTGAGTACCTCGTTCTAATTTGTTCTTTTAACTCATTTAGCTAGGTCTATGTTTATTAATAGTAGTATTGAAAAATCTGTCAAATTACCGATTTTAATTATCAAAATCAACCAAGAAATGAGCATCTACGATCATGATGAATTATTGATCCTTGGGTGACTGGTGGCGAGAAGCTAGGTGCAAGCTTACGGTCATGATGAATTCAAATATCATCTAGTCATTAATAATTATGCTCTGTTAATTTGGTCATGATTCATCCTGCAATAGGCTTGATTTATTGTCTCCTTAGTATTTCAAAACACATGGACACAATTCTATTCAACATATCTTGTTCGAGTGATCATGATCGTTTTATAGAGATATTGTCCACAACCTATGAATAGCAAGATATTGCGTGAATTTTGTTTTTAGCTTATTGCTTCATACCCTCCTTCCCAACTCTTTTTGTTTTTTTTTTTCTCCATAACATTTACTCCTAGTTTATTTTCTGCTCTTTTTTAAAATCATAATTTCCATTGTAATTTATACCTAATATAGAAGTAAGGAGACAGAAATTCTACAAAGCAAACACACTCCTATTGAGCAAACTGCAGAGGTATAGTATAGCAAACACAAATTCTACTACGCAACAACATAGAATGAAAAACAAACAAAAGTGGATTATTGGTTTCTTAAAAGGTAAAATTGCAATTTTGCTTTCCCTGTTTCTGAAATCAGAATTGAGTCTTTTGCATTTTTCACACTGAACAGAATGGACCCTCTTGAAAGGGCCAGTTAGAAAGCTCTATCATAAAAGGGAAGAAATGAATCAGTTAAAGAACAGTAACGGCAACTTTACATTGATGCTTTTCCGATTACTTTCAGGAGCTCTAATATAACTAACTATTTTGAGGAAATTTATAATAAAAAAGACCCAGTTTTTCAGATTCCATTCACAAATGGCCATTCATCTCTCACTTAAATACAATAAAGCCCATAAATGGGAATTCCACTAAATTCACACAAGTACCCCATTTCACCTTTTAGAAAAGCCATCTTTACACTCCTTTGACTCCACAAATTCCCTTTTAGCTTTATGGTTTTGAGCCCAACTTAATTATGTTGCTCTACCAAGAGTAAACATAGCATGAGTGCATGTCACATGCCATAGTTATCATTAGTTTATTACTATTTAGAAAAGAAGATCAAAGTCAAGTGTAAAACGAGCTTTTTATTCTATGTTCTCATGTTATGAAAATTTTGTTAAATAACTGAATTTTTTTTTTTTTTTTTTGCATCGTTTTGAACTTATTAGAATCATTGTTTGTGAAGTATGTATCTTTTAGGAACATTGAGGCAACTACCAAAGTTGTGTAACTCAGGCTAAAGCATGTAGTTATACTTGGTGGGAAGAATTTTATTGCCCTTTCAAAATTGAAGGACTCAGAAATTGAGCAAACTAAGTTATGAGCTCTCTAAAGTACACTTACCACAAGGACTCCATGCTGAATTAGGACAGGCTGCCTCTTGATTCCATCACCACCTCCATTCCCATCTCTACCTTCTGGTATTCTCTGCATGTTCAGTATGAACCCATCTTGGGTTACCACCTGCAGAAGTAAGGATGATCAGCAATCTCCATGAATGCAGAAAGACTAATAAGCACTGGTAACATTGTATAAGCATCTTACATCAATCTCCTGGCATTTGTATCCATGAACCAAAACAGAAGAAGCACATATCCCAATTGGGGTGGGATCAATCACTACATTTTTGCTCTTCTTCCTCCACAGAGGTCCCAACCTGAAGCCTTGGGTTTGATGGGTCATGACCATCATGGCTACTACCAAGGAATAGAAGCTCAGTTTGAGCAACTTGGTAAGGCCATGAGGAGCCATGATCAAAGGGTAGCTAATTATGTGATTTGGAGGTTGTAGGATGTTTTATGTTTTTGTTTTTGGGTGATGGGGAGAGGGTGTAAATGGGAAGCTGCTCTTTATATAGGAGCGGAAAAGGTGGATTTGAAAGCAGAGAGAAGACCAGACAGAATGTGAAAAGGGGTTTGAAAAAAAAAAAATCTGTTGTCTGCTTCTTATCTTTTTTGTTGGGAATTGGTAGAAGGGTTGTGTTTATATGCATAACTGAATTGCTTAAAGGACTGAAGACAAAAGGGGCATATGAATGTATTTCTTGAGGGGTATTCATAACTGAAAACAGTTTTCCTTCAAATGATGGAAAACCAAAAAAGAAAGAAAGCCGTATATGATTGCTGTAAGAAGATAGTGCTTGGACAACAGCTCAAGCTATTGGAACTTTGATATAGGGTGAGTATCTCTGATGGCAAAAGGATCTTACTTGCGATATTGTGCAAATTCCATGTCTATAAGCTAGGTTTCACTTAAGGATACGTGTAAGCGAATGATATAAGGTTTGTTATGGTATCCTCCGAAAACTGATTGATTAAGATGACCAAGATTGATTAGGATGACCTAGTTATCTAGGAATGATGAGCCAAGAAGAAAGCCTAATTGTGAAACCTGAAACAGATTTCTAAAAAGGGCCTTGCTGGCTGGCAAGAGCTGGAAGCATATATGGGTTTGTTCTGTTGCGCTTGATGTAGCTAGATGAACAAGAGACCAAGAATGGTGGGGTCCAAAATTTGGATGATCATGATCCAGAGTGGAAAAAACCAACAAAATGGTTGAGTGGAAGGGCATCCTTGAGAGGGTCCTGGATCATGATAAAGATTGCAACTTTCTCTTTTCTTTGGCCAAGTTCTTTCATGAAAGTATGATAAAGATTGGAACTTTTTAGCCCATTTCTCTCCAAAGGCAAAGCTGAATCCAGAAAGCTCTAGCATAACTAATGGGATTGGGCTCATGGAGGAATGGTTATGGACTTACGGTTGTTTGGATTTTACCCCTTTTTCTTTGATGGGTTTGCGCGGGAAGTCCCAAAGATTTTGAAGGAAACAAACTATGAAAAAGGGTTATGAGAAAGGTGGTGACTTGAAATGATTTGAGAGTATGGTGGGGAGATGAGATGAATTATGGGTTGGGTGCTAAAAAACAGAGGATGGTGTCTTTGAGATTGCCTCTGTTTTCTTGCTGTTCACACCTCATTGTAAGTGTGCAAGTCAATATGAGTTTGCAAGTGTTACATAACCGTATTGACTTCCTTACATTTCATTCCTTGTCTCGATAAATTGAGTTGTTGGCAGAGTTGCTGCTAATATGAATAGTATATCAATTTTTCTCACGCTTTCTTAAACTAGATTGATGAAAAAATGAGTTAAACGTTTGCACAAACTTGATAGAATGTAAGCATAAAATCAATCTTTAATTGCAGGATTATCATAATTAGAACATAATACATTTCACCGTGGGAGGCTTGGATATTATGTCAAGAACTAATTGGCACATCAATTACTCTAATTATCGGATGGTAGTTAAATACGAACCTTATATTATTCTCTTTCAATATTTAAAGTATTACGATGTGTAAGAAATTGTCATTAAAAATCATTTGCGGTCAGAAATTCAATTTACATTGTCATGATATTAGAAAATCGAGGAGTTTTGAGTATAAGATATTGACTTTATTGGACAGAGTCAGCCTCATTGCTAGAGTGAAGTTTGTGAAATGTTCAACAAGCTTGAAATTTTGGGGTCCATAGTTTTGCTATAAGTTGGGTAGCTATGGTAGGTGGCAGGTGGGCTAACATACTGTCTGATACCAAGTACAGAAACTTCGCATGTCAGGGGAGAAAAAGAAATTGTCTTTCTTGCAGTTGATTTTGTAGCATTTCCATTTAGTCCATTCATGTGACCCTCCAGAATGGTCAAGAATCAGGACTCAGGACTCAGGTATTCATATTGCTCATTGACTCACTAGTTTATCATAATGTATAGTCCTAGGTGATGTCATAGGTGATACAGTTTTATTTTCTCTTTTTCTCTCAATTTCAAGTTATATACTTATATTCCTCTTCTATATAGTGCAGACTTCAGAGATCCATTGATTGCTGATCATAAGTGCGACATACGTGTTCTCACTTCTCACTGTCTTGAGTTGTACTGGGCCTTCTATTGATTGCTGATCATCAGCAATTAGGCCTTCTATTCTATCGAAGAGTGTACTGGGCTAAGAAATATGTACTGGGCCTCTGAGGGGTTGGATTGAGGATGAAGGGCACAGGAGTCTTGAGTTCCTGATTTTGCAATCTCCTAAAGGCTCCAAAGACTAAAGAGAAAGGTGACCTCTGAAACAAGCAAGCATGTAGTAGTAGTATTATACTATTATGGTCCCATCTATCTTGTGCCCACATCACATACATGAGAAAAGAAAGGTGGAAGATCATCTTTCTGGGGACACATGATTTATGTGACTACAAGCTTTTCTCACAGACGTCTCATATAACAGCTTGCAGTTTAGTAGCTTCTGGACTTGGGAAAATCCTGATAGCCCATCTCCTTCCTTTTTCCTGAGATCAGCAATCCTTATTGGACACGGACTAGGATGTGCCCTTTTGCCTGTTTCCTGGCAAATTGTCATTTCTCATCTTCTATCAAGTTCATCACCTTTGGAATGGTTACCCTTTTCTCCTTTCACAAGTAACCATCACAAGGGAATAAGATGCATGTTTTTTTCCTTGGATAGCAAGCATTACTCGTCAACAGAAAAAAGCTATATGTGAATACTCTGCAGGATTCTGACTGCCTGCAGAAGGAATAAATAAAGATCTCTTCCTTATAGTTATCATAGATACATGAAGATCAATGTCATCACCACTACAAGCTCATTATTTGAGAGTGACTGATATATCCTTCGGAAACGAAGGAAAGAAAAACCTATGAGCTTGAGGATGTCACATAACCTTCACTAGGGGTTGATGATGTGAGAGGTTTTAATCCTCCTGATGCCTCAACTTCATTTTCATGCCCTTTAGTCTCATGGGGGGTACTATACATTATCTGGCTGACAAAGAGTGAAGTCGTAGAAAAGATCGATATACATAAGCATTGTGAACCAAGATGGATGACTTCGTCATTAAGCCACACCATTTACTGCCACAGCTGCTGGGGGGCTCATCATCTTCTTCTTCCTATAACTAAAACTATGGCAGGAGACCAAGCTTGGGAGGCAACCTTGCATCGACTTGTTAAACCATTTCTCTTCCACTAGAGCTTTCCCATTGGGAGTCCTCTCGCTGCTGCAGACAGAGTTGACACCGGAGACATATGGTGTGTCCTCAGCAGATTTGGGAGGGGATACATTGTCTTCTGTGCTGCGCTCCCTCATGCTGTCTTGGAAAAGTTCAGAAAGTCTCTTCTTCTTCTTTCCTGTAGGGGATGGCTCGGGTATCGAATGATCAGGAGGTGTCACCTCGAGCACCGGTTTGTTCTTTTGAGGGGTTCCTATTGCAAAACTGTGATGAACTGGAGTGCTCCCACGAGACGGGGTGAAATCTGCGTTTGAGCACACATGGATCAGCTGATTAACATTCTAGAATGGTTCTGCAATATCTTTTTAGAATAGAAGGACTATGAAGAACACACAGCATGAAAGAACCAGGCTTCCTTTCAATGAAGAACAGGCTTCTTCACTTCCATAGAGAGAGAAATGAAAAAACAAGCAAGCTTCCCAATGAAGTGCTGAGCTCAAACAGTTGAAGAGTTCACGTACCACCCCTGACACTGTGGAAATCATCTTCACCATCAGATTCCAACCAAGGCTGGGAATCAAAGAATGCATCCTCTTTACTGCCTGTAAAAGTAAAAATCAACTTCAGTAATCAAGTAATAAGAGACAGAAGAAAGGAACTTAAAACGGGCATAGTAGCATCCTTTGAGTAACAAACACTCCTGCTTTTCCCCACTATATCACCAAACACATAAAATCCATTTACTTTTTCCACCATAAATTACAAAGACAGATGTTAATGTTTTTCTCAACAGAAAGACAATTCTGAGATCTGGTAAAAATATCAATAACTGAAACTTCTCTCCCCACAACCACCACAACTTGTGACTTGCTTCTTTCTTCTACTTTTGTCAATTCCCTTGAAGCAGAGGAATAATGGGACACTTTCTAACAGACAATTCAATGTGAAACCCCAAATGAGTAGTGGGGGAACCCCAACCAATATGTTGATGGAAAGTGGAGCAATGATATGGAGAGACATGCTTAATAAACACAAGAGCAAACAAAATAAAAACCATAGATAACCTTTAGGCCTAATACAATCATAAAGCACAACCTTTAACTAGATTTACAAATATGACCTGAAAACAAATTTCTTCCTGTATAAATTTCTAACAAAAGAGTGGGATCATACGATATGACATACGACTTAAAATGATGCATAGTTTCAAAATATACTAACAACGTTAATTCCATGGTCGATTATAACTAAAACTTGATGAAGTGTGTCAATCATTTAGTACAAGAATATCAAAGGAGATTGTCTAGACAGCACACATTATATGAATGGTTAACAAACTAGCACGAGGTATGATTTTTCATGAAACCCTCCATTTTCATGTGGACCACTATCAACCAACAATCCACCTCAACCTCATTTTGTTGGGTACTTCTAGCAAACCATCTTCCATTAATTATGAAGATAGACAAACCAAATATGATGGCCCCCACTTAAGGATTGGATCCTTAGAATACATTTAAGAAATCAAGCATCCATAATAAATGGGGGCAAGAAAGAAAAGAAAGATCCAAATGCTTGAGATGACTTGTCCCGTTAGGATTTAGGGATTCTTCCAATAAAGTCAATTGTCTATTGCTGAGAGATTTTTAGGCCTAATTACAATAAACCATCCATCACCGATTCACAACAACCTCCCTCCATTCCTCCTCCACTATCTCCTCATGGTTACCAGATTCAATCATTCAGATAAAACAAAACAACAAAAAGGAAAGGGAATAAATCATAGCAATAGCTTATAAAGAACTTCCTAATAGAAAGATTAGAACTTTCAAATTGAATTCCTACAAGCAGCTAGATCATTATAGAACTATGTAAGAACACAGAGAACGCAGCCTGTAAGGAATTCAGCGGAAGTTCTCAACTCTTATACCAACACCTTTTAACTCTTCCAAGATTGCAAGCGGAAGGCGCCGTGATTCAGATAACCCATCGCAAGAGAGTAGAACAATACAAGGGAAGGAAAGAATCAAAACCCCAGTTGGGACCAAAATCAAACACTTTCTTTCTAATCGAAACACAACCAGAATCATTCAATGAACACAACTTTGACTCGTAGTCAAGCGAACCCATTACTCAGTTCTTCAAGATCATCAGACCCCACTAGAGCAAACGGGGGGAAAGGGAAACAAGAAAAGCTCGAGAAAGACAAAGAAAAAGCCCCTCTCGATTTGGGAACAAGGTTTAAACAATACCGTAGCTGTGGAAGCGCTTGATTGGAAGGTCATCGACGGTTACGGCGGAAGTGACGAGCTTTTCCTTGACAGGGGATTCAGGGAGGACGACGAGCTTCTCGAGCTTGTCCCCTTTGGAACTTCCAAAGGAAACACCCATTTTCATGGCGGACTCTGGCGTCCCAGCGGCCTTGTGAACTGATACACATGAACCCATATTCCTCTGTGTTCCACTCTGTTTTCTGCCCAGAACCGACTATTAAGCTTCCTAAGCCACGGTTTTCACTCTGATCATCAACGATAAAAACGTTTACTTTCTCTATTTCGTCTATTTCTTCTCTCCGCCGCGGAGAGAGAGTGAAGAAGAAAGAAGAAGTGGCAGAGAATCAGAAAGGAGAGGCAGAGGAGGGGAAAGAGAAGAAGCGTTTCCTTTTCAAGGAGTTTGAAAGTCGTCTTTGGTCCAGAATAATGAGAAGAGAGAGTGAGAGACAAAAATGTAAATGTAGCGAAAGGGTAAAGGCCAAAAGGTAAAAAGGTAAAATTTTGTACGGGGAAATTAAAGAGACTTCTGTCAGTTTGTTTTTCTATTGCTATTCCTCCCATATTTAACCCTTCTTCAAAAAGTACGTCTATGTTTACTCTCTTTAATTTAATCTGTATCGGAATTCGGAAACTTATTAATCTGTGAGGTATCATTAGATAGGAGATATTTACAAATTTGTTTTTTTTTTATCATAAACTCGTGTAAGTTATTATCACGAATCAAATGATACATAATGTAACTCTATGAAATTAGATGAATTTCTATTAATCAAACAATGGACCAAAAATTAACTTTCTATAAACATACATAAAAAATTCTAACAAATTTAATATTCATAATTGTCGTACATCTAAAGCACAAAATTAATGAGATGATGTTTTCCTCATTTTTACTTGATTTCTTTCTTCTCCTTTTCTTTTCCCATTATACGAGGGCCTGGTCAATATTTTTCTGTTAATAAAGGGCTTGTTTATTGTTACTTGTTCTGTTATTAACGTTGGTAGCTTCAACAATTCAATACAAACGTTACAATACTGGTTAAGTTGGTAACCAACTAAGTATTAAATAATAGTGTAAATTTAACTAGCTAGTGTGAATAGTTTTGCATAGTAATTATCACTAATGATGCTTACTGTTTGGCCGGAATGAGAAGTCTTTTTTATGGCGTTTCCAATTCCCCCTAGTTTTTGGTGCAACCTCTTTCACGGTTCTTTATTAAACAACTGATTGAAACGTACTGAAAAACAGCTTATCCAATGTTAAGATGCTTTAAGCGGTTATCCAATGTTAAGATGCTTTTAAGCGGTGCTTATCTAATATGGGTGTGACTAAGAGGATGTGGCTTCCATCACAAGTAACCATGGTTGAAGACTTAGAGTCAATCGACCTGTAAAAAACAACGATTGTAAAATGTTGAGGTTGTACCAAAAAAGTTAGCGATAAGGTATTTTGTTCTCAAACCGTAATTTAATCAGGGTTAAACTCTGAAAATCGCCTAGCTATTTAATTTTTGGTAAGAGGTTTGTACAAACGAACGGTAAGTAGATACAGTTTCAGGAAAAAAAACACTGCTAGAAATTAGGTTTTTAAAAAATTATAATAAAAGGTACAAGAATTTCAAATTATCATTAAATGGAAGAACATTCACGAACTCAATATTTACATAATTTGTGATATTCAGAACAATAATAATTTTCATTAACATTATTCATGTATATTTTCCTGGGTGGAACTTCATTTAATTCGAAAATAAAGTTGTTTTTCTCAAATAAGATCAGTCTCTCAAATCTCAATCAGCCGACTACAAATTTGTTGGATATTTTTATTAAAACGAGAGATGAGTGGATTGAGAGAGGCTGACAAAAAGGTTGTGCATATTGAGTAGTGATTGATTGCTTTTGTCCAGCTCTCTTTTTCCACAATTTTCATTCCATGTGGCTCACTTATGCATTTGTTTCTTTGGCATTTTCAATAAAGAATACAAGTCATTTCTTTATACTTGTGTAGGTAAAAAAAAAAAAAAACAGTATCGTATAAATAGATTGTTACCAGTATTTTACTTGAGGGTAGCTATGAACAAATATCAAACAAAGAAGTGAGTCAATTCTGAGGGTTTATTGGTGAAATTTTTAGGAAGAGACGATGAACAAGTATAAACTGGTTATGTATTTGAGTGTTGCATATAGGTATTTTGTGAAAATTTTGAGTGATATTCATCGCCTTGATATTGCTCATGTTTTCTTTAGTTGCTTTCTTTGTTCTTATCTTATTTTTTGGCATTCCCCTTAGAGATATCTAGCTTGTTTATATGTCATTAGGCATATACTTAAGCATGTATTGTACAGTTTTCTGATAATTTTTAGAAGCCACCACAAAAATATAAGGTCTGCCTGGATATGATGCTAGAGGCATGCTCGATGATATCCAACATGATGGCATCCCATTTGCATAAGCATGCATTCATGCTCGATGCTCACAAGCTCGTATTTGTCTATTAACTTAAAAACTTTTTTAGAATCTATGAACTTGCAAATATGTTAGATCCTATAAATTCTATGATTTTACTAAATTTTATTAGACATGTATCATTTTCCAAGGCAATATGTATAAAAAATTTCGATTAGTTTGTAATTTAACAGGTTTTAATCCCAGAATGACCAATGATCCGCCTAATCATCAGCTAATCATATCATCAATATGCTAAACATGTTTATTTAATCAAGTTTAGTGGGGGGAAAGAATACTAGAGTATAGTTGTGGCCTGTGGGGGCATGACTGACCTATGCAAAAGAAGCCCACCAAATTGGAAATCAGAAAAAATAATAATATATAAAATAGTAAAATACCCACTGATTTTAGATTTTATTTTGGGGTTAGTTATCACTTTGTTGGAGAGTTTCACCTACCATATATACCAGTCTCATCACAACAAACTTGACTTTTGAGAATTCCATGGCAGGATTACATTTTTGCATGGTTTTTTTTCTTGTGCCAATTTCTTATCCCCACTACGAGAATACAATTTTAGTCGAGTGATATAAAATACCCACTAATTGAATAATTGTATGATGAACAAACGAATTTTTATTATTAATTGAGGGACCTAAACTTATTCGCTACCCACTCGAATTAGTATCAATAATTTTTTGCCGACCCATGAACCACGTACGTCACTCACACCCATGACCGTTAGAATTTTTTGTGAGACGGTACTGGACTCAAACTGCATTTCAATCACCAACTTAACAATTCTTGTAGATAATTCACCCTTCCCCACTAGAATTATTGTAGTGTCGATTAAAGGAAAAAAATGGCTACTTTACTAGATTCACAAAGATTTATAACACTGTGCACATGCCCATAATTAGAGCAAGCAAGTGGCTTAGCTTTATGTTTGATAAAGTTGTGGCATAAAGGAATTAATCCTACACTGATCTCCATAACCATTGCTAATCAAGACAATTTTGGGATGGCAAATCCAAGCCCGCACTGTCCATGGGCAAATCCGGGCCCACAATGGAATTTGTTAGCCCGCAGCGGTCCACCAAGCAGATTAGGGCCCAAGTCGTTCTTTCTTCCTTTCAGTCACATGGCAAGGCCCAAGGCACAGAACACTTGAAGACTAGGCAGCCTTAGTTATAACAAACTTTTTAAATATTTGCAGGATTTGGAATTTTAATGAATTCGAAAACTTAATTCTGCAGGATTTGCAGGATTAGGTAAATGCCCAAAAATAGTCAAACCTTTTAACTTATGAACAAAAATAGCCAAAGCTTTCAATTTGCTACCCAATTCTCACTCAACACATTTATTTTGTTAAGATAAAAAATTTAGGTCATCAAATACATTTTATAATGTTTATACGTGTTAGTTTATTTTATTGTCTAATACGCTTAGCTAACTATCGGAAGGTTACTTTTCAAATTTGGATTGCACGACAAGTAAGTTACACAATTGAATAATAAATAATTGATAGTTTAATTTGATGAATAATTACTTTGATAAATTTATGAAAAGAGATGTATAATTAAATAAATATAATCGAAATTATTCATAAATAGGACCGCTAAATGATTACGTATCGTGACAAAAACAATATTTTGGTCTGAAGATACATTTTCTAACGGGATGAATACTGACCAAAACTCTTACCAATACTTTTTGGTCACTAATCAGATTTTGTGAACAAAATCCTAATCATAGCAATAATTTTCTTCGTCACAAAAACCCTCTAATGCACTAGTGAATCAAAATTAGATATATCAGGAAAAATATTACACAAAAAGCTATCAATATGCAATGGAACAGACCTTGATCAAAACAACTCATCTTCAAGGGGAGCTCATCTTTCACTAAAACCACTCTTTTGTTGTTGATCTCTCCTTCCTCCAACGACACCGCTTCCTGATCTTCATCATTCTTTAATAGGTCTGTCAACACCATAGTTTTCCTCTCCAATGTCAGTAGCCGGAAGTTGTTCTTTCCACTTGTCCAAAGATCTCGTTCCAACTCACCACCATAACTTCTACCTGATCCCCTCCTACTTCCTCGCATTGACAATCTCGAGCACTCTTCGTCGTCGTCGTCATTGGTGCCACCACAACATATAAGCTGTCCAGGTGATCCAGTTGCTCAGATAACAAAGGTTTTGTCGTGGTCAACATCCTCCTCCTCTCGTTCTTGTGGAGGTTCCTGTCAACATTGTAAATCAACATATCACCCTTTTCAAACAAACAAAAGAATTTTTTATCTCTGTATGCAACGCCGAGGCAGATCTGTGCCCTTTCCCCATTTAGGGAGAAATCATATGTCCTCCAGAACCAGTTGCCACGACGAAGCGTGCTGAAGTAACGAGTGCCATACACCACGAGAATCATCCAGTCGCGAGCCGTAGGCAGTGCCGAGAAGACACCCTTGATGGGTCTTGGGTTGGGGTATGTACAATAATGCATTGACTGCAGAAATAAGTGCAGAGAGATGAAACAATTCGCACATGCAATATCACGTGAATAAGTGTATTTCACAAACCCTAATTGGTAGAATACTAGAATAAACTCAAAACTATGTAGGAAGTAGCTATGTACGTACGTAGGATAAAATGCATGCATGCATTACGTACCAGTGGGGGTAAGTTGATTAAGCTCGCAGGATATCGAAGCAGAGGATTGAAACAAGCGTAGATCAGGCCTGATTCCCTAAGAAGCAACCAGGCGCCGGCCTTTGCGACGATCCTTGAGCGGAACTCCTCCCATGTGATCGGCCGTCCATGTTGCCGTTGGTAATTCCTGGCGTCTATACCAGCCACATGTATTTGGACGTCGGAGAGTGGAGTCGGTGCCAGTTCCTGCAGACGGAGCCGAAGCGGGTGCCGTGGCGGTGGGAAGGAAGCAGCTTGGCGTAGATGGAATGGAGGATTTCTGGACACATATCCGCCCATGTCCGTCGATGTCGTTGCTCGTCTCCTCCTTCACCTTGGTGATTTCTCTTGTTGTTACTGACTTTGCAACTACTCGTTGTCATCATCTAATTCCACAACGTAACACCACAACTTCTTTATGTGTGTGTATATAATGATTGTTTTATAATATGTGTTGGTTAAGGATTAGGTCTAGTATTGGTTGATATATATACACTAGAAAGTGAATTTGATACCTAATTCCACTCGGGCCCTCCCCGCAAACACCCACCGCAACCTACAATTATATATAATCCATTATGAAACGAATAACAATTCTGCCGCCTCACTACTAGTCATCGTCCACAACTACTACTTAATTAATTACACCAGAAAAATGGCTCTCCGGCGGATAAATCGATCGACCAATTATCACAGAAAAGTGATAATCTTTTTTGGGCCATGTATCGACGTCCCGGCCCAGACCCGAGCAGCCCATTCCCTCTGCTCAGTGTAATTGTCCTACTTCAAAGTCGGAGAGGCTGAACTCTCCCATGGATTATTAGTCTTGATCGTAAAATCGGGGATACCACGTAAAAGATCGTATTTCATTTTTTATATTTTCTTATATTTCTCATGGTATCAGAGCAACAGGTCCAACAATAACGTTGTCTTCTCGCAGTCATGGTGAGCACGAAAGACACGATGACGTTCGTGTCTTTCGGCTCTAGCGGGAGCTCAGTAAAAGGGCTTGTCGATGGTGATATCGACCAGTCCACGATCTAATACCTACATCATTCGGAGAGTAACAGTCAAGTGCAAGTAGGCGATCCACTCAATCCAACCAATTATGCTGAATGGGTTGTAGATGTGACTGGCGCCTTGATTGTCAAAAACAAGTTCGACTTTGTTGACGGCATGATTCCTAAGCCAGAGAAAGATCCAGAGTTGCGGGCAAGGACTCGATGGGACGCCAATGTCAAAGGTTGGCTTCGAATGGCCATGAATAAAGAAGTTCGTAGTAGTGTGCGCTATGCAAAGTCCGCCCGAGAGATACGAGTTGATTTAAAGATATTTTATTTATAGAAATAAAATACTGTTATTTTTTCATTTTAATAGATAACGTCTCAATAGAATGTCAGGTTTGCATTTGAGTGTACTTCATACAAATTCTTGCATACGTAGCCAAAATTGGATGCCATAGACATGAGAAGAGACTTCGTCGTATATTAGACATGGAAACCCAAAGAATTGAACATATTTCTCTGACCCATGGACATTGCGCTCCTCCGATGAGATATAAGAAAGTCGAACTCCAGCTTAATTCGGCGAATGTCGTGGAATACTGGCTACAAGAAAGAAAAAAAAAGGACATATATCTCCCTCCTCAACACATGTTAGGGCAGACCTACATAATACAGTGTTTTTGTTTATAACTAGGTTGATTTGAAGAATTGGACATATATCTTGACCCAACAAATGTTATGGATGACCTAGAAGAAATTGGACAATGGTAATTTGAAAGACCAAAATGTAATCAACCTAATAAACAACGTGAACAATATTGCAAAAATAAAAAGCAATATGCAATGGCAAAGACCTTCAAAGTTCTTCGTCTTCAAGGGAAGCTCATCTTTCACTAAAATCACTCTTTTATTGTTGATCTCTCCTTCCTCCAAGGATACCGCTTCCTGATCATCATCATTCCTTAATAGGTCTGTCAACACCATAGTTTTCCTCTCCAATGTCAGCAGTCGGAAGTTGTTCTTTCCACTTGCACAAAGATCTCGTTCCCAACTCACCACCGTAACTTCTGTCTCCTCTCCTACTTCCTCACGCTGACAATCTCGAGCACTCTCTGTGCTCGTTGTTGGTGCCACCACGACATGTAAGCTCTCAAGGTGATCGAGTTGCTCAGGTAGCAAAGGTTTTGTAGTGGCCAACATCCTCCTCCGCCCTCTCTTGTGGAAGTTCCTCTCAACATTGTAAATCAACATATCACCCTTTTCAAACAAACAGAAGAATTTGTCATCTCTGTATGCAACGCCAAGGCAGATCTGTGCCCTTTCTCCATCTTGGGAGAAATCATATGTCCTCCAGAACCAGTTGCCACGACGAAGCGTGCTGAAGTATCGAGTGCCATACACCACGAGAATCATCCAGTCGCGAGCAGTAGGCAGTGCCGAGAAGGCAGCCTTGATGGGTCTCGGGTTGGGGTACGTACAATAATGCATCGTCTGCAGAAATAAGTGCACGTATATATATAGCAAACGAGAGATCAAACAATTCGCACAAGCAATATCAAGTGAATAAGTGTATACCCTGAATGGCTGAATTTTTCCAAACTTTAATTTGGTAGAATACTAGAATAAACTCAAACCTAAGTAACTATGTACGTACGTAGTTAGGTCGTAGGATAAGATGCATGCATTACGTACCAGTACGGGTAGCTTGATTAAGCTCGCAGGATATCGAAGCAGAGGATTGAAACAACTGTAGATCTCGCCTGATTCCCTAAGAAGCAACCAGGCGCCGGCCTTTGCGACGATCCTTGAGCGGCGAATGCTTCGAAACTCCTCCGTGATTGGCCGTCCATGTTGCCTTTGGTAATGCCTCGCGTCTATACCAGCCACATCTATTTGGACGTAAGAGAGTGAGTCCAACGGCAAGGGACTGGCGAGCGCGGCGGTGGAGTGGACTCGGTGCCAGTTACTGCAAACGGAGCCGAAGCGGGTGCCGTGGCGGTGGGAAGGAAGCAGTTTGGCGTAGATGGAATGGAGGATTTCTGGACACATATTCGCCCATGGCCGTCGACGTCGTTGCTCGTCGTCATCGTCTCCTCCTTCACGTTGGTGATTTCTCTTGTTGTTGCTTACTCCGCAACTACTCGCCATCATCGAATTCCACAAGACCACTACAACTTCTTAATTTCTCTGTGTTTGCTGTGCATCATCCAAGCAATGCGATCCTGTTTATATACGAGTATTTAATTTGATATATGTGTTGGTTTAGGTCTAGTATTGGTTGATATATATGCACTAGAAATTGAATTTTATATACCTAATTCCACTCGGCCTTCTCCACGCAAACACCCACCGGAACCTACAATTATAATTATAGTATTCAATAATAACATTAAATTAATTAAATAATTAATAGTGTAAGTGTGATGCACTATTCCCCACGACAAAATCTATGTAGGCAAATTTCCGGAGAAACCCATAATCTCATTTTCTTCTCCTTGCAGCATTTTTTAACCATTATGTATTATCATAACCATCAGTGTGCAACCGATAGAAGGGACTTTATAAGTGCCAAGCAAAGTTTATATGATTCCCAATACCTTAGGGCTCTTAGAGCTAATGAAATGTAATTACTAAGATACTACGTTAACTTTATAGTAGCAGCAGTATAATTGATAGTTTGATGAATAATTACTTAGATGAATTTATGAAAAAGATATGTATAATTAAATTAATATTTTCAAAATTATTTATGAATAGGACCCCAAAATGGTTATGTACTGTGACCAAATCAATATTTTGGTCAGAAAAATACTTTTACTAACGGGATTAATACCGACCAAAACTTTTATCAATCAATTTTGGTCACTAAACAGATTTGCGAATAAAATTCGAATCATAGCAATAATTTTTTCGTCACAAAAACCTTTTGATGCGGTAGCGAATCAACATGGCACATATTGGGAGGAATAATAATACACAAAAAGCTATCAATATGCAATGGCAAAGACCTTCAAAACTCCTCGTCTTCAAGGGAAGCTCATCTTTCACTAAAATCACTCTTTTGTTGTTGATCTCTCCTTCCTCCAACGACACCGCTTCCTGATCATCATCATTACTTAATAGGTCTGCCAACACCATAGTTTTCCTCTCCAATAACATTTAATATTTGGCAATGAATAAAGAAGTTTGTAGTAGTGTGCGCTATGCAAAGTCGGCGCGAGAGATACGAGTTGATTTAAAAGATATTTTATTTATAGAAATAAAATACTGTTATTTTTTTATTTTAATAGATAACGTCTCAATAGAATGTCAGGTTTGCATTTGAGTATACTTCATACAAATTCTTGCATACGTAGCCAAAATTGGATGCCATAGGCACGAGAAGAGACTTCGTCGTATATTAGACATGGAACCCCGAAGAATTGGACATATTTCTCTGACCCATGGACATTGCGCTCCTCCGATGAGATATAAGAAAGTCGAACTCCAGCTTGATTCGGCGAATTTCATGGAATACTGGCTATAAGAAAAAAAGGACATATATCTCCCTCCTCAACACATGTTAGGGCAGACCTACATAATACAGTGTTTAGGTTTATAACTAGGTTGATTTGAAGAATTTGACATATATCTCGCCCCAACAAATGTTATGGATGATCTAGAAGAAATTGGACAATGGTAATTTGAAAGACTAAAATGTAATCAACCTAATAAACACCGTGAACAATATTGCAAAAATAAAAAGCAATACAAAATGGCAAAGACCTTCAAAGTTCTTCGTCTTTAAGGGAAGCTCATCTTTCACTAAAATCACTCTTTTGTTGTTGATCTCTCCTTCCTCCAAGGATACCGCTTCCTGATCATCCTCCTCAACATCATAACTCAATAGGTCTGTCAACATCATTTGTTATTCTATTTTAAACATCATGCAACAGTAAAACGCTATTTCTTTATCCCCAACTATTTTCAATACCTAATAATTAAACTACATACCATTACCCTTAATTTTGAATTGATTTTATGGTTACACGGCAAGTGTTGAAAGAGTCTTTTCTACTTTGAGCTACATTAAGAACAAGGTTAGAAATCGAATATGTGATAAGTTCGTGAAGTATTGTCTAGTAGGATATGTAGATTTTTTTTGAACAGTGCAGACACGGAGTTTATTTATATTATTTTTTCAAAATATGAATTTAAATTTATTATTTAATAAAAATTTATACAAATTATACAAGTATGATATTTTTAATATACGAATTATTTTATTTATTATATAATTTAATTTAATTTTTGAAGAGGACACCCTGTGAAAATTTTCTGAATCCGCCCACCGCAACCTACAATTATAATCCCTACGTTCGCATTATGAAACGAATAACAATTCTGCCGCCTCACTACTAGTCGTCGTCCACAACTAGTACTTAATTAATTACACTAGAAAAATGGCTCTCCGGCGGATAAATCGATCGACCAATTATCACAGAAAAGTGATAATCTTTTTTGGGCCATGTATCGACGTCCCGGCCCAGACCCGAGCAGTCCATTCCCTCTGCTCAGTGTAATTGTCCTACTTCAAAGTCGGAGAGGCTGAACTCTCCCATGGATTATTAGTCTTGATCGTCAAATCGGGGATAACACGTAAAAGATCGTATTTCATTTTCTTTATTTGCTTATATTTCTCATGGTATCAGAGCAACAGGTCCAATAGTAACGTTGTCTTCTTGCAGTCATGGTGAACACGAAAGACACGATAACGTTCGTGTCTTTCGGCTCTAGCGGGAGCTCAGTAAAAGGGCGTGTCGATGGTGATATCGACTAGTCCTCGATCTAATACCTACATCATTTGGAGAGTAACAGTCAGCTGCAAGTAGGCGATCCACTCACTCCAACCAATTATGCTGAATGGGTTGTAGATGTGACTGACGCCTTGATTGTCAAAAACAAGTTCGGCTTTGTTGACGGCACGATTCCTAAGCTAGAGAAAGATCCAGAGTTGCGGGCAAGGACTCGATGTGACGCCAATGTCAAAGGTTGGCTTCGAATGGCCATGAATAAAGAAGTTCGTAGTAGTGTGCGCTATGCAAAGTCTGCCCGAGAGATATGAGTTGATTTAAAGATATTTTATTTATAGAAATAAAATACTGTTATTTTTTTATTTTAATAGATAACGTCTCAATAGAATGTCAGGTTTGCATTTGAGTGTACTTCATACAAATTCTTGCATACGTAGCCAAAATTGGATGCCATAGACATGAGAAGAGACTTCGTCGTATATTAGACATGGAAACCCGAAGAATTGAACATATTTCTCTGACCCATGGACATTGCGCTCCTTCGATGAGATATAAGAAAGTCGAACTCCAGCTTGATTCAGCGAATGTCGTGGAATACTGGCTACAAGAAAAAAAGGACATATATATCTCCCTCCTCAACACATGTTAGGGCAGACCTACATAATACAGTGTTTTTGTTTATAACTAGGTTGATTTGAAGAATTGGACATATATCTCGACCCAACAAATGTTATGGATGACCTAGAAGAATTTGGACAATGGTAATTTGAAAGACCAAAATGTAATCAACCTAATAAACAACGTGAACAATATTGCAAAAATAAAAAGCAATACGAAATGGCAAAGACCTTCAAAGTTCTTCGTCTTTAAGGGGAGCTCATCTTTCACTAAAACCACTCTTTTGTTGTTGATCTCTCCTTCCTCCAAGGATACCGCTTCATGATCATCCTCATCAACATCATAACTCAATAGGTCTGTCAACACCATAGTTTTCCTCTCCAATTTCAGTAGCCGGAAATTGTTCTTTCCCCTCACCAAAAGATCTCGTTCCCAACTAACCACCATAACTTCTGCCTCCCCTCCTGCTTCCTCAAGTTGACAATCCCGAGTAGTACTCTCCGTCATTGTTGGTGCCACCACGACGTGTACGCTGTCAAGGTGATTGAGTTGCTCAGGTAGCAAAGGTTTTGTCGCAGCCAACATCCTCCTCCTCGGCCTCCCTCTCTTGCGGAGGTCTCGGTCAACGCTATAAACCAACATATCACCCTTTTCAAACAAACAAAAGAATTTTTCTTCGGCGTAGGCAACGCCGAGACAGATCTGCGCCCTTTTCTTGTTTTGGGAGTAATCATACGTCCTCCAAAACCAGCTGCCACGACGAAGCGTGCTGAAGTAACAGGTGCCATACGCCACGAGAATCATCCAGTCGTGAGCTGTAGGGAGTGCCGAGAAGGCACCCTTGATTGGTGTCGGATGGGGGTACGTAAAATAATGCATCGACTGCAAAATAATTATAAGTGCATATGTTTAACTTAAAGGATACATCAAACAATTCGCACATGCAATATCATGTGAATATTTCACCCGACAGAATGCTTGACAACTCTCATGAAATAGTTTTCTTAGAACGAGTGAGGAGGACTAGCTAGCTCCCTCACATCTTCTTCCTTTATACCCTGAATTCCCCAAAACCCTAATTGGTATATACTACAATAGACTCGTGAATACTACGTAGGATATATATAACATGCATGCATTGCGTACGTACCAGAAAGGGTAGCTTGATTAGGCTGTGAGGGTATTGGAGCAGAGGATTGAAACAGCAATAGATCTCGCCATATCCCCTCGGAAGCAACCACGCGCCGGCCTTTGCGACGATCCTTGAGTGGATCATGCTTCGAGCCTCCTCCGTGATTGGATGTTGGAAATTCCTGACCACTTTACCTACGGACCTCATTTGGACGTCGGAGAGCGACTCCAACGGCAGGGGATTGGAGAGTACGGCGGTGGAGTGGATTCGGTGCCAGTTCCTGCAGACGGAGCCGAAGCGGGTGCAGTGGAGATGGGAAGGAAGTAGGTTGGCGTAGATGAGAAGTAGGATTTCTGGACGCGTATCCGCCCATGGTCGTCGTCGGCGTTGCTCCTCGTCGTCGTCTCGTTTATTACCTTGGCGATTTGTCCTGTTGTTACTCATCACTTTGCAACTACTTGTCATCGTGTCATCTAATAATTCCACTAGACCACAACTTCTTAATTTCTCTGTGTGTGCATGATACAGTCATTACGATCTTATTTATGTATTGAGTATTTGATAAATGTGTTGGTTTAGGTCTAGTATAGGTTGGTTTATATATATATATATATGCACTAAAAGCTAAGTGAATTTTTATACCTAATCCCACTCGGCCTTCTCCCCGCAAATTGTTGACTTATCTATGTGTTGGACTAAGCCCATTTGTATAGAATTTGTAACCAAGTTGTTTTACAAATCTCTTTTCGTTGATAAATTAATTGACAAACGCTTGGCTTTCTAATAGAGTTGGGGTATTAATTGATATGTCGGGGTTCAATTTATAAATCAATGAAAAAAGTATCCTTTCCTATAAGTCTCATAAGAGGGGAAATTTAGAATTAAACATATTTTTATGGAGAACCTCTTTCTAGTTTCTATTAGTGTTAGGATGAGTAAAAAAAGATTTTCAAGGTTGTCAACCCGCGGGTTGACCCGGACCCGGTTGAGCTAGTGGGTCAAGGGTTAATGGGTCACCCGTTTTAACCCGGTCTAGTCCGGAAATATGGAAAGTGTCATTATATTGTACTTATCCTGATAAATTATATCAAATCTCATCTAACATATAAATTATAACATATAATATTACACCAAAATAACATTTCGTACTTAGATTCCGCATATAGTGAAAATTCACACATACTTATATAACATTAATATTCAAATGTTTAACTTAGGATTCCAAAGATTGAGTTTGGCGAAAAGAAAAATCGGAAAATAGTCACATTTCGCAAAACAATTAAAGAAAAAAATGACACAATTTGACCTCCAACCCGGCGGGTGCATGCGGCCCGTTTTTCTCACTGGGTCAGGGTCAAAGTGGGTCAACCCGCGGGTCGACCCACGGGTTGACAACCTTGAAGATTTCTAATGTCGAGCTATTAATTAATCGAACTTACAGATTACAAGACCACGAATTGAATGAGACCAGAGGCCAAATACATTCCAACCGATTTGATCCATTGTGCTCTATATAGATCATGAATTAAATTAAAATTGGAGTATAATATTAATATATTGTACAATTGCTTCTTGTAATCGACAATCGCCTCGCTCTTCTCGCTGCTGCGATGGGGGAACCCGTGGCGGGTGTCCCACAGATTGCCGACTGTGGACGGCGGAGGGGGGTTAACGGCGCCGTATTGAGACCAGTTGAAGGTGTCGTTTAGTCTCAAGAACTGTACCCCAAACGCCGGATCGACAAACTCGCCGTCGCCGGCGGAGAGGTCTATGAAGCAATTGCCAAGTGGGTTGACGTAGAAATGGGACTGCGAAAGGTCCTCTGCCAGATTGCTCAGGTCCCGCCCTGTGATCTCCTCTTCGAACAACTTCAGGGCGTCGTATTGATTCTCCTGCTGTTGGTGACTAGTGGCTGCGAGCCTGCGACGGTCGCGACGATTTTCCAGTCGGTGGTTCTGACAGCTGAAGACGGGGAAGTTGTTGATGGAGTCAGCTCGTAGACGTCGATCGTGGTAGATTCCGATGAAGCGACGAAATGGGTAGTGGAATTGAACTCGAAAGGCGCCATGATCATCTCTATCCGGTTTTTAGTTTTGTTTGCTTACCAGTTACCAATTCCGTCATTTATATCTCTGGGTTCTAGTATAGACTACTAGGAGATTTGGATTGAAATTAGGTTTTTTTTTAAATGAATGTAATAATGAAGTGGAAAATATAAAAGTTATTTTTTTATTTTAATAATTTTTTAGTTGCCACATCACTAAGTTAACGGTCAACTTTGAGAGTTGACTGTCACATCAGCAAAAGTTAACGGAGTTGGACGGAGAGTGACCAAACGTGAACCGTTTCAGTCAACTGAAGTACCATCAATGGATTTAAATATTTTGAGTGACCAAACTTGAACGTTTTTTATAATTTCAGTGACTAACCATGCAATTAACCCAAAAACAAAGCTATGAGGAAAAGGTCGTTACAGATAGATCCCATCCAACCATCTAATTACAAATGGAAAGGGCAAATAGGCCTCTTTTTGTATGATTTTTCTTTAATTTAATTCCATTTACAAATCAATTCACAACATAATCTTTAAATGACACATGACTTTCTCCTAAATAATAAGCCTCTCTCAAGATATATGAACAAAAACCTAAACTAGAACAAAAGCAAATCTAACGTGATTTGATTCGGTTGTTCGTTTTCAAAAGATCCACGAAATCGAAACAATAAACCAGAGGATAGAGATCAAATTATGTTTAATCCACTTTGATTCAATTTGATATTTTAATGATCGCCACTAATTGTCATGTCGAGGGATGATTATTTTTATAGACAATGAACATGCATGGATTGTGGAAGAGAGAGAGAGACTACAATTGTGTGATAGGACAAACCAGCCACAACGGGCCACAAAAGCCAGTAGTAAACTACTAATATACATTACTCAAGAATTTGTTTTGGTGACAAATTAAACACCAATGGTATGCTTCCTCAAGCTCTCAATAACCGGCGCACCAATTGTTAGATTTGAGACGAAATGGCTACAAGATGGCAAAATGGAAACTCCTTCAAAAATGCTCTTTCAAGCAAAGCAACGCATTCCAAGCAAAGAGCCTTCGGCTCAACTCATCATCAAAATGCAGGGGAACCAGTCATACAATCATCATGCCCACTAACTCACACAACAGAGCACATGAACACAGACTGCTGCTAATAGATTAAATACCCCCAATCAACAAATTCTTATTTCCTCTTCCTCCCAAATTAGACCTAACAAAATGACAAACTGCAGCTATCCCAAAAATTTAGCATCCTAGTTTGCCCCAACCCTGAACACTAACCCTCCAAAGGAAAGGAAAAACACTACAAGACCAAAGTAATGGATAAAGAATATTATCAGAAGAGTCTTGCCTCGATACCCCCTTCCCAACTCTAAACACCTGCAGATTCATATATATATATATACAGGCTTTCCAGCCACGCCTCATCACTCGTCTCACTCTGTGTATTTAAGTATGTACAAAACCCTACCCCCAAAACACTCTGCCACCAAAGCTGCAGGCTTTCTCATTGCTGGTGCCATGACCTCAATTATGGCCTCCCCATAGGATCAAGAAACCCAAAATTACTACCATTACCACTATTATTACTAATACGATTATGCCCCATATTCATCCACCCTGTAGCTTCATCTGGCATCACCATGGAGGACCCAACTGGGTCGCTGCCACGCCCAGTGGAGAAGTAGTCATGTTCATGCACAAGGCCAGCCACCTGCGGCAATGTGATATTACCACCAAGCCGAGGAAGACCACCAACTCCACCCCCAACCATACCGTAGTTCCTTGGTATCATCAGTTGCCCACTGGAAACCGGCATTGAATCAAGAGGATAACTTGGCGGTAACTGATTGCAGTGCGGTAGAACACTATACAGAGTCTGATCCGCTGTAGTTCCCCCAATGCTCTGGCTCGGAACATTACTAGTGGCACTACCACTACTACCATCATAACCATTCCAACCACCACCACGGAGTTGATGCTGCTCACCATGATGAAACCAGTTCTGACCCAATAACAAATCTCCATTAAGGCTAGGTGGTGGGAACCGGGATGGCGGGCGGGTAACAGCAAGGCTCGGGTTCCAGTCTTGAAGATTGACATGTGTCTGCCTTGGGATTATGTACCCACCACTGCTAACTGCTGAGTAAACATCTTGAGACAAGTTGTGTCTTATGTAATCCTCCGTGTGTTGTCTCTTTTGACCCTGCCCGAGTAGGATAGAAGGCTGAAGATGTCCATGAATGTGTACATTTTTAAACTGCTCGCCTTCCATTAAGACATCACTCTGAGGCTGGAAATCCAAAGCTTCCAGCTTTTGTTCCTCCCTAATGAAGGGTAACCTTGTCTCCTGCCCCTTGAACAGCGACTGAAGTAGACCGCTTCTGTCAGGTTCTGGGCGAGTACCGAATGGGACTCCATCAGACCGTCTTTGGGACAAATCTCCCCTGGTATCTTCATGGACATGAGATCCCAAATCGATCAACTGGGTGTGCTGCTCTTCGCCATCTTGATGTGGGTGTATCAAGGAGGATGTAGATACGAAATCCTGATCATGGGTGTAGTTTGAAGTGGGGTCATAATAAGACTGCACTGGCATGCTGACAGCCGACCAAACATCCTCACCAGAGGATATAGGAACTCCATGACCAATTACGTCCTCTGCCACAGAGTTATTATTTACTTTGGAGACTCCACCATCATTTCTTTCTGAAACATCATCTACTGTATCAACACCATGTGCACTCAATGAAGAGATATGCGGTGGTAGTGGCTGATACTGGAGTGAGCCAGAACTTCTTGCTTCTTCAACATCTTCTGGATTGGACCCCAGACTTCTTACTTCATCACTTTGATCCTGGAACACACCATTCTGCTTAGTATGATCCAGAAGTACTGCTTCATCATCTTCTGGATTCGACTCCAGGCTGCCTGCTTCTTCATCACTCTGATCCTGAAAAGCATCATTCTGCTCATTCTGATCCAGAAGGATTGCCTCACAATCATTTCGATCATTAACCATGACCTCATCATCGTCTGTCTCCTTATCCATGTTACCCATCTACAAACCAAGTTCAAGGTAAAGCAATGAGAAAGTACGCTTGTACGAGAGAGAATTAATAGATGGAGATGAGTGTAGTTAATAAATGAGAAAAAGAACCCTGAGCAGACCTCCACATCTGATTCTTCTTCTCTTTCCTCTCCACTACTATGCTCATTGATGTCCTCTTTCTCCTCGTCCTACAAAAGCGCCCACCGAAAGACAAACAATTGATTATATAACATAATTGAGACGAGAGATGGAGATTCCAATCTGCAAGCACAAGGTGAAAATTGGAAAACAGGTAAGAGCAATGTGTAGATAACCTCCACGAGATGGCCATTTAAGTCATTAACCCAGTAAGGTGAAGAAACACTTGGTTGTGGTTGGCGTTGCTTATGTCTTTCTTCTTCTTCTTCTTCTTCTTTGTCATCATCTTCATTCGCACCTTCATTCTCATCATCATATTCCTCTTCCTGTTCCCGTTCTTGTTCTAGTTCCTCTTCATCATAGTCTTCTCCTTCTCGGTCTTGTTCTTCAACTTCTTCATCTTCCACTTCTACTTCACATTGTAGTTTCAGATCTCGCCCTAAAGACCTAATCATCTCTTGTCTCTGAGACTGTCTCGCTCTCCAGTTCACATACATTGCAGGAAAATCTTTGACGGCCAATTGGTGCCTACATAAGAGAAAACTTATTCTTACACATGAGAATCATTGCAGACCTATCCACAATATAAGGGTTCTGTTGGTGGTACTAACCAATGCTCATGCAACTTCTTCTCTTCCTCTTTTACAAACTCTTCAAATGGTTGTACATCCAGCATATCAAGGTTACCCAACACACGACTAAGAGATTCAGACTGAATGCTTTTGCCAGATTGCTTCATGCTCTTCACTAGTTGGTGCTGCTTCTTGCTTATCTGGAATTTCACAGGAGTAAGCACTAGATTGTCAATGTGAATTGCCAAAAGTATCAATATTGGCTATACGTGTCTTTAGTATTACAGCATAAGAACTCAGTTGATGAATATAAAACTGAAGTGGACATTCACAAAATCACATATATAAACATTATTTAAGACATAGAGAAGATGTCAACCTTTAGGTAGGACATATATTGAGCACCATCAGTGTGTTGAATATTGTGCTTCTGCACCTTATCTACCTTCCCAGATTTTGCACCATGCAAAGCAGTTGATGGCTTTATGTCATTCCCCTTCGAGGAGCCTTTCTCATAAGGTCTGAAACAAAATCAATGAGCAATAAAATCTTCCATTCCATATTTAATAATTAATATTCTGGAACGGCAGAAGAAGCTGAAGCTAGTATTCCAAGGATGGCAATGGAGAGTTATTGGTGGTTTTGGAGAGTTATAGAAAGAATATAGATATTTGTATTAGAAAGCAAGTCATCTAATGAGCACTAAAGATAACCAGATACAAAATACTAAAGCAATGAACAAATTACCAGTACATACATCTCATTCCTACATGATAGATAAGTACCTTTCACGATGTTTTGCTCCCTTCACAGAGGAATTTTGATTGTCACTGCTACAGCCTTTCTCTTCCGCCAGCAAGGAACAAGATTCAGATGTTGCCACCTTTTCTTCACTCTCTAAAACTCTATGCTCATATCCAAGTGAGGACGCCGGTCTCTCCGCATCCCTTCGCAACCCATTTGAAAGTCCAAGTACTCCAAATAATCAATAACTAGATAACAATTTAACTCTGGAAGTAGCTCTTAATTTTCAGGCATTTGATATATTTTGCTGAACAATCCATGGATAACTAGCACCAAGTAAATCCGAGTTATTGAGCCTATAAAAAAACTGCTCAGACAAAAAACATAGGACATTCAAGAAAGAAGAAGTACAAGTGCATGACAATTGACAAGGGATTCCTAAATATTAGGTAATGCTACACCAATACACCCAAGCCATCATCACCCAACAAGTCACATTCTTAGTATTGCCAAAGGAACAGGACATGAATAGGAGTGTGTGGCATACAAACTAGAAGTCACATATTTAATTATCTAGCACAGTGAATACAGCAGTCTTCTGCAACAGCAAGTGTCTAAACTAGTAGAAGTCCCTAAATTTGAAATGTCATTTAACACGAAGAAACATCGCACAGCCATGGCAAGACAAGCATGCTACCACGTCAGTTAGATAAGAGTAAACAACCAATGCAAAGGGTAGCTCAACCTAGCCCAGCAACTAAAAACAAACAAAATCAGGGAACATTACCGCAATGTCTTCTGAAAAATCTCCTTCTCTGGATCCCTGCTCCTCTCACATGTTGCTTTCATTGTTTGCAAATATTTGATCATGCTAGCAAAACAAACATCAAAAGGTTGAAGTACACATCTGAGAAATAGTGTGCAGCAACATGCACAACAAAAAGAATACATTTCTATGGCTATGTTATTCATACTCATTATGGTAATTCTGGATCTCTAAATAGTGCGCTTTCTTAGCAGTCTTAAGAGCCTGCTCCTGACGGAGAATGACATCAGGGTGAAGATTACCTGCACAAAGTGAACTACTCCTGCAAACATGACAATGAGACAAAATATCGTAACTTAAGCCACAATCATTATCATAAAAGTGTGCATTAATGAGAAGCAGTTCCAGCAGGCTGAATAGGGCAAGCAGTAAGAGATCCAAACACAATTGCGAAGTGGTGCAATATCAGTGATTGCTAGATAACATTGACAGGTGAAAGTAAAGATGCAATGAAGTATAACCACAATGCAAATGAAATTTTGCCAAATTGAATCAGGAAGAGAATCTTCCATTGCCACGTCAATAGATGGATGGCTCTAGCCAGTGATGAAGTAGTACATACTAATACCAAGTGCAAGAGGCGAGAAAATGATGTTAAGAAACACACTAGTGCCGATCAACTAGAGGACAAAGATCATTCTACCGAACGGAAACCTAAATTCTACCATATTTGCTCAAATGAGAGCCAAGAGATAAGCGCTTAAACAACCACTATAATAAGACAGAAACTCATTCTCAAACGGGTTGGATAACTAATCAATACTTGCCAGTTGACAGAAGGATTTCCAAAATGGAAGTTCTCCCCGGAAAGTAAATCATCCACAATTTCTTCTGCATCCACACCCGTAGGTAGAAATTTCACAAGAAAGTTTCTCTCTTTCACTGACAAGTAAGAGTGCCACACCTGCGTGAATTTGCGCATAATAGGAAATGTATGATAAATAACACAGAGAGACATCTGAGGAAAAGCAAACAATGAAATTCAATTATACTATCAATACCTTGGGGGAGAGAACTTCCATCAGATTCTCCAATTGAAAGACTTCTCGAGGAACAGTAACAACGTCGGCTATGCCATTTGGACTTGCCGGTTTAGCAGAAAGCAAAACTGACCTCAAATCTCTCTGGTGTATGCCTATTTGTTCCCTTTTGGCAACAACCCTCTTTTGGTGGTTGTCCCACTCAAGGGATATATGAGATTTTGTATTTAAATCATTTTTTAAAGGTTCAAATTTCTTCTTTTTCCCTCTGGGCTGCTCCCAGGAACTGCAGCCAGCAACATTTGTACCATTGAGACGTTTTCTCCAATGATCAGCTGCCATTGGCATAGGACATCAATAACCTCCACAAGCTACCAAATCAACCGCTTGGTCCATTTGAGAGCTGAAGAATCAAATCAGACATACAGTGCAATTATCACTAATCCAAGCACTACATAGTAATATTACATTATTCAGCTATGACCTACCAGCATATGGCCAATGACAAATGAAAAGAGATAAAATGACAACTACAGCACCAAAAAATAACCTTTCCAAAAAAGTACACCTTTGCAAGTTTATCTTTATGTCCTTATATGGGGGATCTACGAAAGAAGAGAAAGTTCAGCATAAATTTTGAAACTACGATCTGCAAACTAGACCCTCGTTTACAATTGCAAGAAGGGTACTGTTTACTCTCATAAACTTATCAGCTTCCTACCTCTAAACCATGATGTGCTCATAGGGAGTTAGTGGAGAATTCACCACCTTATTATAAACAAAAAATTACAAGCTCATCATTTACCAGGCCTACATTAAAAGAAAGAAGATAACAAGGCCAGAAGGACCATGTGTCAAGTTTTAATAAGGTTCCATGATCTAATTGTAACTAACTACATTGGAGGCCAACTTGATAAAAAAATCCAATCCGAAGCCATCAATCGAAACTGGAAATGGAAAGGGCAATGGCGAAGCCGGCAGCAGCAGCAGCAGCAGATATCTGCTATTTCCATGGCAACAAAGCTGAACCTGTCTTCTCCACTCTCCCTCCAACACTCTTCCTTCACACAAATTCGCCATAAGATAAGAGGACTTCGCAACTAATCGAGTCTAAATAGCTAATTCGAACGGAAAGGGAGAGAACACAAACTATTCAAGGACTCGTGCGGAGCCACAGGTAAAGAGTGACAAATCGCATCAAAGAGCATGCAAACCAAACGAATTAAACCAAAGCAACCGAAGGCAAAGAACGATTGGGACGCAAAACCAGCACTATATAAAGAATGCAGAGAAATAACCCATGAAAATAAGAAACGAATGACCACGTCAGAGATAAGAACTCACCATCTTTGCAAAGGAAGGCAGGATAGGAGACAAGGAATGATGCACACAATTCGTGGGGCAGGGCTCGGCGCTCCCGCTTTAGAGCGCGAAAACGCGAATCTGAAGGATTTCGTATAAAATTCGTGAAGTATTACTTGTTGGGGCGCGGATTTTGTAGAGATTGGCGAATCTGTTTCACGGATACAGAACAAAGAGGATGTGTCGGCGAAGGTGACTGTCGATTGGTGAAAGAGATGAAATCGTTGGTGGGATTGATGAAGGAAGCTGGAACAAGGTCAGAGTTTCTGGGATTGGTGGAGGAAGCTGGAACAAGGTCGGAGGGCTAAACACGAGCTGCGTTGCCTGAGAATCGATGGAGCTCGGCGTGGCGTGGGAATTTTGGCCCTTTGGATAAGAGTAGATAGGCTTGAAGACGGGATTGAGAAGGGAAGCTTTTGCAGTTTTGCTGAAGGACGCAGGGGACTTCGTCGTCTAGGTTTTGAGTTTTTGAGTTGCAAATTGCAATAACTCGAACATTCAGGGCTTCAGCGGCCCAGTAGTTTAGGTCCAATAGCTTCTTTTTTATTGAGGTCCAATAACTATTTCTATGAGGTATGATAGTATATAGTGAAAAATTCAGTATATAATAAACAACATTTTAATTGAAATAATATTATATTTAAAAAATTACTAAAAAAATAAATTATATTTCGACGGTGTGAAAATATTTTTTTTTCATTTTCTCTTGACGAATCAGTAACCTAAAATAGACGCTAAATAGAAGATGTATATAAATCACAAGTAAGGAACATACCTTTTGTCGTTAATTAAGCATCAGCAAGTGAAGATCTTCACGAGCTAATTAAGTTTAAGGTGGTGGATTATGATGGCTGGACTTTTAACTCAACTAGCATCTTGTTTGTTCGGTCCATGACTTGTTTCCTGTAAAGTAAAGGCCCAGTGCCCCAGCCAATAGGTTGCATACTCGATTGGAGGAAGTCAGAAACCAATCCAGACTCAAGAGTGTGTTTCTTGATGTTGCTCACGACTAGACGATTCTTGTAACATATGACACTTGTTACTTTGATTTGTTTTGTCACAGTAACTGAACATTATCAAATAATTGAGAGTCGCCCAATTAAAACTTTGGTTATTTCAGTTTGAAGGAATTACAATACTCCTACAAAAAGAATTATCCAATTCAACGGATGAAACAAAGTGAAGATTTATCATTCTATCAACAAAAATAATTAACAGTCAAATTTATCACCCAAATCATGCCTTCAAATGAAATCATAGTTTCACACAGATTTCCCTCCCTAAGAGAGAGGGAAAAGAAAGAAGAATAGAACATGACGCCGTTTTGGTCCTTCCACAAAGTCTCTGTCTTACAAGTCAAACGGACTAGTCCTAAGTCCTACTGCCCTTTCTTCCGCTTGCCGTCTCCGCTTTCCCTTCACTTTCGCACTCCGCGGCATTTTCAACGGGCGCCGGCGGGAAAGAAAGAAAAAAGGATAAACAATTTTTAGATGGCGGCGGCGAAGATTGCTCCGTCGATGCTGTCCTCGGACTTCTCAAATCTGGCGACAGAGGCTCAGCGGATGCTCGATTGCGGCGCCGATTGGCTTCACATGGACATCATGGTACATCCTTCCTTCTTCTTACTTCCTTCCTTCATTATCTCCGTGTTCTCCTATTACGATCGGCTATGTATCGCGAAATAATTGAGTTTCCATCGTCTCTTCTGCAGGATGGGTACGTTGGAAAGTTACTTGGTCTCGGAAATGACAATTTTTCTGGTTCAATTTCTTTTCGCCTACTTTTTACCCCATGCTGTTCATCCAAGCTCTTATGTCGAATTTGTTGATCACCCCGTATCAATCTGTCTGTCCATTTATCTGGGTTTGTTTTTGTTCTACTTGGAGCTGCTCCTTAAGATAAAAAGATCCTTGCTTGGAATGGAAATGGAGAATTCGTTCAGTGATTCGATGTTTTGCTTTGACTGTCCGTGCTAGGGTTCAAGCGGATGAAACAGTGTTGTGCCACGAAATTGGGATTTATGATTGTCTCCATTCCAATCAAACTTGGTCTATTCTTGGTTATGAATCGTCCTGATAACTCGAGTAGTTGAGATCGTATTATGAGTCTTATCCTAGCTAGTGCCTGTTGTTCCCTATATAATTACTTGCATACAAGGGATGAGGTGAGGAGGAAGGGACGAATTTTAACTCATCTAGACAGTTCATACAATAATCTTGTATTGGGGATGGAAGTAACGAACTTGCTTGATTTAGAATCTCTGCAGTGGCCTCTACGTCTCATTCATGTTACTTCTCTATGCTGAGTAAACATTTGAATTTCTGATGAAATCCTGTTTCTTGGTAGTTGATGCTAATTTCGAGTGGCTAGGTGCTAAATTTTTCATCTTCTTGTAGCCACTTCGTTCCAAATCTAACCATTGGTGCTCCGGTGATTGAGAGCTTGAGGAAGCACACCAAGTAACATCTTTTATCCCCTTATGCTGGCTTTCCCAATCTCTTAACAACGCAGAACAGCTAACAATCTTAATCCTCTTCTTCATTTTTGTTCTCTTTCAGGGCATACCTAGACTGCCACCTAATGGTCACAAACCCTCTTGATTATGTTGAGCCTTTCGGTAAAGCAGGTGCTTCAGGATTTACATTTCACATTGAAGCTGCCAGAGGTTGGTGATTGTTCTCCATCGTACGATTCTTTCCCTCTTCTCTCTTTCGCCGTCTCAATTGTATGGTAGTCAGTAATATAACTTCTTCTTGCAGAAAATTGGCATGAACTGATTCAGAAAATAAAAGCCAAGGGCATGAAGCCTGGTGTGTCGTTGAAACCTGGAACTCCAATCGAAGAGGTTTATCCTCTGGTAAGCATTTCTTCTTTACTAGGATGTATTTCCAAGAAACCAACACGAGTTACAAATGCATTATGATTCTTTCCTATTTAAACCTGCAGGTTGAAGGTGAAAATCACGTTGATTTAGTCCTTGTGATGACTGTGGAACCTGGTTTTGGAGGACAGAAATTCATGCCTGAAATGATGGATAAGGTGACCTTAAGTCCATAAATCCTCACTGTAACATCTTATCTCTTATCTCCTCCCTTGACGTGGAGACAATATTTTTTGCACTGTGGTTTTAGGTACGGAAGCTGAGACAGAAGTATCCATCCCTTGATATAGAGGCCAGTCACTCTCTCTTTCTTGGCCCGATTGCATCATTCCTCTGCTTCCTGTTGCCATATGATCCTAACTCAGTCTCAAATGTAATCAACTTTGTCCTTGCAGGTGGATGGCGGGTTAGGTCCATCAACGATTGATGCAGCAGCATCAGCCGGAGCAAACTGCATTGTGGCAGGGAGCTCGGTGTTTGGCGCTCCTGAGCCAGCGCAAGTAATATCCCTCATGAGAAATCGGGTGGAGGGAGTTAAAGCTGCCTGGTAACTGGAGATTAACCAGAGCACATTCATGAGTAATGTACATTACTACCTGACTGTTGTGTCCCATTTTGGGGGATTGGCCTATCACGCCATTGTTGTTGTTGTCTGTCTGTCTCTTCCATTCCATGCATCCATGTTCATGATCTATAGAAATAAACATCTCGGGACATGATAGTTAAGGTTGAGCGTTGTTCGACCCATATCAGATTTAATTAAAGCGGATCATATATAATTCGATCGTTCATTCTCTAGTTTTTGGTTTCGATCTCGAGTGTCTTCATAAAGCAAACAAAAAAACTCATGATTAGATGTGCTTTTGATCTGATATCGTTTTTCGTTATGATATTTTCGATCGCGATTTATTCTTCACCAGATTGAATCATGCTTCTCTAAGTTGATGTCGAATAAAGTTTTTGTTTTTCTCATCGAGTATATGATCATGCACTATTGGTATGGATGTATTTGTTTATAACATCTGTGAAGTGCACGTTAGGGACACTCGTGCCTGTGACTCATTCTCTTGGCCATATCAATGCAACAGGGGGCATTGATCTCTAGATGGAATCAAATTGAGAAAAATAGATCTTTTGCGGTGATAGCAAAAAATGCAGAGTCCAATGCCCATCACGAGTGGTCACGTGCCAATGCTCAAAAAGGCCTTTTTGCACAGTTTTGTTTTCTGTGAACCTTTGGAACTCGAAGGAATGTTCATATGGGAAATGGTTGGAGTTAGGGGTGGAAGTTTGGTTTATGGGTTATTTGGAACTCGGAAGGAATGTTCATATGGGAAATGGTTGGAGTGACTGCTGCTTGGTGGTGTCAATTCGTGGGTGAATTGGTATGGAGTTAGATGAAACATGAAGGGAAGATAAGAACCAAAATTATCATAAAATGCATTTGATTTGATTATATTATTTTTCGTTGAATCAATTGAATTTGATTATATTTGATTCTTATTTATTTAGTTCAGGTCTCCAATGTAAAAAATAGGATTAACATCGTTGGTTAATCATCTTCAAAGACAGAGTAGGTATATTTTACATGTGCAAACCTCATTGTAGACTTTACAGTTTATATCGATTTTTTCATCAAAACCATAAAATTGTATTGGGATCAAGGGTATACCCAAAGCATACACCTCTAAAATTGGGGCGAGGGAAATTATTGACCGCATGTAATAGTTTTGGTTAGGCGAAAAGAAAAAATGGTTGGTAGTTTCTATGATTTAAAATTGTGACACTACGGTTGTCAGAAAACATATTATCCATTACACCATAAATCATTTGTTGTATGTTACATCATAAATGTAACTATAAGCTAAAACAAAGTCCAATCAAATTTAAATTTCTTCAAAATTTCACCAGACCCTAAAACTAAATTCCAAATTATCCACTATTTTTATATTGACGAAGCGAAGTAAGAGATGCAACAAAACATTTCGAGTGTCTATTCCCCTTCTCACTCTTTTTTAGTCGTCCGTGATACCACCTCTAGTCCAACCATCAGCGGTCAACCTCTGTTCGCCGACTTCTACTTCTCATGTCCTTTATGCTCCAACTCTTTAGTGCCACCACCTTCCTCTTCTGTGGACTCCGATTGACTCAGTCTTTATGGTGAAACTCGACTCCACCGACTGTTGTGTCGTCGCCTTCCAAAATATGAAAACACGTTGTGATATTTTTTTGTAACTTGTATTGTTTAGATGTTTTCTATTCCAAGAAATTATATTTATAAATTTTTATTCTTATTTTAATTAAATTTTTGAAAGAGAACATCTCTAGATAAAATTCCTGGTCTGCCACTTATTGAGATGTACGATTTTAAGTAAACCCAAACAAAGTCTTATTGTTTCTTAAGTCTTAATTAACCAACACAACATTTTCCAACAAAATTTTAACCACGATCTTAGTATCTAAGTCGAAACTTAATCACTTTTTACCAATTACAATACATCTCAATGGCAAATAAATAATAATTACGTTGGTCAATAATTTCTTATAGGAACCATCATTGGAAGGCTAGACTCTTGTTGGGGACAAGAAACAACGTAAATGCGAGGATGATTCGGATTCATCATGGCAATGCTTTGTCTAGCTTCTAAAATTACTTTATGGGGTCAGTTTTTTTTTTTTTTTTTTTTTTTTTTGCAATAAGGGAGGCCAAGGCCAAGGCCAAGGCCAAGAAAGAAAAGAAAGAGGGGTTACAGAGCAACATGCGCTCTCACTTGGCGCTCAAAAGAGGCACCCATAACATCATCTCTAAGGATCCCAATCAGCTCCCTCGGCGGATTAGGAAGTTCATGCGTACCATAGGGATAGACGAGACTGTGCTTCGAGAGCCAGTCCGCGGCTCTATTCCCTTCACGATACGTATGAACTATCCTAACCAACCAACTCTGCGCCAACTTCCTTCTGATAGCATCAAGCAAAGAGGCGTACGGATGTACTGGGTCCCTCCGGTTGTTTATCAACTGGATTGCTAACTGAGAGTGGGATTCAACCACCAGGCTGTCGCAACCAACTTTCCAAGCCAGATCCAAGCCATGATAGAAAGCCCAAAGCTCTGCTAACGCTGCAGTCGCTTCCCCGATCTTAGCCACGAAACCCGCAATCCACCTCCCTTGCTCATCCCTGATCACCCCACCAGCCCCCGCCGTCCCTGGGTTGCCAGCCGAGGCACCATCAATGTTCAGCTTATGCCACCCTGAGCTAGGAGGTCGCCAACTGATCTGCTCAGTAGTCCTATTAGCCTGCAAGATAGACCGACCTGGCTTAATGGAAGGAGCCTCCCATGCCTGGTGCCAAAGAAGGGCTTTGTGATGAATCGAGTGAGCGAGAGTAGGAGCTGTGAAGGCCTTGCTAACCCCCTTGAAACACCCTATGCACCTGTTCTTCCACACCAGCCAGATAGCGATACTGAAGAACTCATTCCACGCCAAACCAGACTCCATCATGTCCTCATTATTCAGATTGCTGCGGAGCCAGTCCTCTTGATCTTTGTGAAAAAATTCTGCCTGTCTGTCAATCGGGACCCACCGAGACCAGCAGAACCGCGCAGGAGGGCAGTCGCGCAACACGTGAAGCACCGTCTCTGGAGTGTTCTCACACCTGCCGCAGTTCGGCGAGTCACTGCATCACCTGCAAAAACGAAGAGCATTGGTAGCAATCCGGCCAAGAAGTACCAGCCAGGTAAAACATCTCACCCGTTCTGGAATTGGAAGCTTCCAGATGCCCTTCCAAATCCGATCATTCGCCTCAACACTCCCGAGATGGCTCAGAAGGTAAGCAGTCTTCGTCGTGAAACGACCATCAGCAGACGCCTTCCAGAAGATTTGGTCCTCGTTTGCAGAAAGAGCATCAACCATCACAGCAGTGATCTTCTGAATGATCTCCGCCGAGAGCCATTGGGACAGATGAGTGGTATCCCAGCGACCATCCACATCCGTATAAGAGGCCACCGTCCGAGCTCGTTCCTCCTCCGGAACAGGTTGACTTGCAGCCTCAATGAGCGGTTCCTGCAAAATTCAATTATCCAACCAAAAGTTAGTGCTTTTCCCATTGTGAATGTTCCAAGCACACCCTTTTTTCAAAAGGCTAGCTGCTTTGTTTATGCTCGACCAAGCAAAAGAACTTCCCTGACAGGATCTGAAGATGTTCAGATCTTTTCTCTTTCCACCATATTTTGCCCTCAAGATTTGAGTCCAGAGAGTGTCTTTTTCTTGGAGAATGCGCCACCCTCCCTTAGCTAAAAGGGCGAGGTTAGCTTGCCGGAGCGACCGGAGGCCTCCCCCTCCTTGCGTTCTTGGCTCTGCAAGTTTCTCCCAGGCCACCAGGTGCATCTTCCCCTGGTTCTCATCCTTGCCCCAAATGAAATCCCTGTTAATCCTGTCGATAGTGTTGCAAACATTAACAGGGATCATTTCAGTTTGCATAGTGTACGTAGGGATAGCCAAGGATACAGATCTAGCAACTGTCAGCCTTGCAGCCAAAGATAGCCGTTTCGCCTTCCAGGGGGCCAGCTTCCTCTGAATCTTCAGAATCAACTCCTGATATCTGCTCCTGGTGACCCGGCCATGGATGGTTTGAATCCCCAGATACCGACCCAACGCCTTAGTCAGGGGGATGGCAGCCTTCTCACTCAACCTCTGAGCACGCAGCGGGCAGATATTGGGTGAAATGTACATCATGGACTTGGAGTATTTCAATTTCTGCCCTGAACTCTCGCAGAACTCGTCAAGACACTGGCGGATGATCCTAACCTGCGCCCCTTCCGCACCTGCAAACAGAATTAAATCATCGGCAAAGAAAAGGTGAGTGAGAGCCGGGCCGCCCCGCGCTATGCTTAGGGGTTTCCAAAGCTTAGCACGGACGGCCTCATCAATCCTATGAGAAAGGCGCTCCATACAAAGAACAAAAAGATAAGGGGAAAGAGGACCTCCCTGTCTGACTCCCCTCGTGGGTGTAATGGGTTGGGTAAGCTCACCATCCCAAAGAATCCTCATACGGTTCTGCTCAACACAGTACATGATGCACCGAATCCAAGAGCTAGGCAGGCCCACTTCAATCAGAGTATCCCTCAGGAAGTCCCACCGGAGCCTGTCATAAGCCTTCTCCAAGTCAATCTTAATCGCCATACCACCCTTTCTACCTCTTTTCTTCTTTAGAGAGTGCAGCACTTCTTGGACAACGAAAATATTGTCCGCCGTTTGCCGCCCCGGGATGAAGCTACTTTGGCGAGGAGAGATAAGCTTTTTCATGACAATTTTCAGCCTGCTCGTCATCGCCTTGGTAATAGCCTTCAAGCTCACATTATTCAAAGAAATGGGTCGGAGCTGGTGGACAAACTCAGGTTTCTCCACTTTAGGAATGAGCACCACCGTGGACTCCGAGATGGCTGCAGGCAAGGTCCCATTCTCGAAAAAAGAAAGAGCCATATCCGTGAGAGCCTTCCCCACAATCCGCCACTCCTGTTGATAAAAAACCGCTTGAAAGCCATCCGGACCTGGAGCCTGCAGAGGTTTCATATCAAAAATGGCCTGGTGAATATCCATAATAGAAAAGGGGCGCAGTAAGCACATCCAATCTTCCTGGCTCAGACGAGGGAAAGCACCCTTGGGCATAAGATCAGTGTAAAGGGATGCCTCCTGCAAGTACAGGTTAGAGAAGAAATCAAAAACAATCTGAGCAAGCTCCTGTCTATCCTGCACCCACTCTCCATTCTCCTTTTTCAGGCATTCAATCTTGTTCAGCCGGCGACGAATGTTGGCAATTTGGTGGAAGTAAGCAGTGTTTCTTTCCCCAAACTTCACCCAGTTTTCTCGAGCCCTTTGAAACCAGTACAGTTCCTCCTGCTCAAGGGTTCTGTCTAACTCTGCTTCAAGCTTGGTATGAAGTTTGGCCAGCCCAGGATGGAAGGAGGTGGCTAGCTTCCTCTCAATCCCTTCGATTCTCGCCACCAGCCGCTTTTTGCGTTGAAAGACATTGCCAAAGATCTGCTTGCTCCAAGAATTCAAGTTATCCGAAAGCTCCTGCAAAGCCATAGGGAAGTTATTATTCAGCCCACTCCATTTATCACATAAATTTTTTTGGAAATCAGGATGGGTAAGCCAAGCAGCTTCAAATCTGAAACGTCTAGGGGAAGATTGGGGAACTCCCTGACTCGGCACCGACGTCAGAATTGGGTTGTGATCTGAGCTCAGCCTCGCTAGATGCACCACCGTCGTGTTAAGGAAGGACTCATTCCACTCGATGTTGCACAAGCTCCTATCCAATCTGCTAACTTTGAAGGTCTGCACCTGGTCACCCCTGCACCAAGTATGTTTCGGCCCTGAATACTCGAGGTCCACTAGCTCCGCCTCATTGAGCCACTCATTGAACCTTCTGCACTGCCGCAACACTCTTGGAGTCGCTTGACAAGTAGTTTCCAGCGGAGAAAGAATAGCATTGAAGTCACCGGAAAGGAGCCAAGGGCAGTCCATAGTTTTGCTTTGCTCTATAAGATAGTTCCAGAGGAGTTGCTGAAGCTGCTGCCGTGGTGAAGCGTACACTGCAGTAAGCATCCAACGACGACTGTTCCCCTTTGAGACCGAGAGGGTCAGGTGCTGGGAGCCTGTGGAAGTGACAGAAATGTCGTACTGTTTGGCATTCCAGAAGAACCAGATACCACCACTCCTGCCGTTAGCCTCAACCCGGATGACATCTGGATAGCCCAGCCTTTCACAAACTCTATTAGCATTCTCCCCACTGATCTGCGGTTCAATAAGAATAACGAAGTCAGGTTTGTGGAGCTGGAGAGCAAGCTTTAAAGAGCGAGAAAAAACATTGCTACCAGCTCCCCCCACGTTCCAGGCAAAAAATTTAAAATCAGACTTAACTTTGGCAGACATTAAGACTAGGAAATAAAAGACAAAGACGAGAAAAACGAGAAGCAAAGCTGCAAAGGAAGGAGCACACCAGGAATTAGTGACCAGGAGCATCCTGCCTGCTCGCAATCCCGCTCGGATCCGCCTCCATCTTCCCCAAGTCTTCCTTGTTGGTCAGCTCGATGTCAGTCACCGCTTTCGGCAGCGCCGCATCTGTCCATTCCTTTATTTGTTGCAGAGTAAGAGAAACTCTCTTCTCCTTGTTCCGTCCCCTTTTTTCTTTCACCGGGGACCAGATTTGCAGCGGCTTCAAGGCGTTCTGGCGCAGCGGTGTACTTTTCCTAGGTGTCGCTGCCTTTTTGGTTCCACCGCCGCGTCCCTCTTTCTTCGATTTAGTCTTGGAGACCGCCGACGGAGTCTCAAGATTGACAACTCGAGGAGCAGGCGGCTGGTACGGTAGCGCTTCGACTATTCTGATTCTGGTCCCGTTCCCATCAATAGCTTGGGTTGCTGGCCCGGTTGGATTGGCCAGGTCCTCTTCTTTCCTATTCGGCCCATTCGAAGACTTCGCGGGCTGCTTGGGGCTCTGGACTTGGGAAGTCTGAGAAGTAGCCTGGGTAGCCACTTTACTAGGCCCACTAGAAGAGGCCTCTCCCGCTTTGGGCTTTGGGCCCAGCAACCCTTTCTCAGTAAACCCTACAGCCTCCAACACTTTCCCTTTCCCCTTCGAAACTCCTTTGCCTTTCCCCTCCGTTTTCGCCGCTTGCCTTTCCCCTGTTTGTTGTCGTTGTTTAGGCTGCGACACCCCTTCCTTTTGTGATGGAGCCTTCCCCAAAATTTCGCCCTCTTTCCTTTCCTCCCCTCTCTTCTGCCCGTTGGCGATCGCCATCCCCTGCTCCATCTTTCCTTTTGTGGCAGTATCCTTTTGATTGCGCCGAGATTTGCGCGACACCACCATCCAAGGTCCGAAACCGGCATTGGCCTCCGGCGAGGCATCGCCGGCCAGCATCATCGTCGTCGCCAGGGCACCAGATTCATTATCCCTGTTCGCACCTCGGTCTCTGGTTGGGCAAGAGACATTCGTGTGTCCCACTATCCCACAATCAAAGCAGACAACAGGAAGGTTTTCATATTCAACTTTCTGCCACCGGCCGTCTAATCTGATCATCGGGACCAGCGGCTTCGACAAATCTACTTCAACGGCCATCCGTGCAAATTTTGCCCGCTGCTGGTGTTGAGTGTGAAAATCGAGCTTAATGGATCTGCCAAGGAGATTGCCCATCGTAAAGAGGAGTTCTTTGTGATAAAAGTGCACTGGCAGGCCGGGGAAGTGAACCCATACTACCATCGTTTTAGGTAGGCTGTCCGTCACCCGAAATCCCGTCGTCCATTGTTGAACCAAGAGGTAGTGATCGAAAATTGTCCAGGGGCCTTCAGTGAGCGCTTTGAAATAATCTTCATCGTTCCCGAGTTTGACCAGAAAGCACTCCTCATCCAAAGCAAAAATCTCCAAAGCATTAGAAGGTCGCCAGAGGGCACGAAGCCTGTTGCACAGAGTTGCATATCCAATGGATCTTCCTAGGAGTCTCACGACAAGGGTTCTTTGCCAGGGCTTACTGAGTTGGGATTGGAATTTCTCCGAGATCTTTAGTTCAGGCTCGCCTTGGAACGATCCCGTGATCAGGTCATGTTCCCCTACAGGGACCCATTGTACCCCGGAGGGTTTGGCTAGGTCTCTGCCCCCTGTAAGCATCCCAGCGTAGGAGATCGATCGATTGGGGTGAGGGCTGTTGACAGGGGAGTCCGAAATCCCGGCTCCGGGTGAGGTTAGCAACTTGCCTGGATCCGTGTTCATGGCCCTCTCTACCATGGTCATTGGAGCCTCATCTGATTGAGCCGCAGCTGTCTGTGTCTCGTCCACCACCATGTCAGAGGTCGCTTCATTCCCATTGGATTTGTTCACCATTGTCGTTTCCCCACGCAGAGGCAAGGGGCCGATTCCTGAAGCTAGATCATCCGGAGGCCGTCCCAACGGGATGGAACCGGTCGCCGGAGCTACTTGCGCTGAAGAGTTCGTACAGAGCATTTTTTTTTCTTCCTTGATCTGAGCCCGACTTATTTCATTAATTAATTACTTCTTCTTCAACATGTTTAACTTGTACGTAAATGACATTCCTTTATGGGGTCAGTTACACAAACGACCATTTGACTTTGGATTTATTAATAAATAGGTCATTCAACTTTAACTCTTAACAAAGTTGTCCCTAAAATTCGAAATACCCCATGTAACAATTACTTTGTCTTTCTCGTTCAATTTTCTTATGTAATCATCTAGGCTAGCAAGCTAACTTAACCAAATTACTTATAGAAATGAATGAATACAAACCCTGATTATTTTGCATGGACGATCAAATTTAAGTCGTATTGGCTCTAGATTTTTATCCAATCCTTCTTGATATTATCGCAAACTACTCTAATCCCTCTCCCCTTTCCTGATCGATTGCATACTACATGGTAAGCAAAGACCTTTTATAGGATTAATTTGAGTGGTCTAACACAAAGATATTGACGAATTGGGCACATAATATGTGAGGGCTTACCGTTATCTATGAAATTCCAAACATCGTTAAAGAAAAAATATATAGAAATGTATAGTTAAGTGTCTGGTTTGTTAATACTCGAAGGTCGATGACCGTTTACCTAATTGACTCTTTTCTTTCTTAGAGAAATCATGGCCTAGGCTAGGCTGACTAATCAATCTCTTCCTTGCCTCAGCTTTCACCATGCAAGGTTGCCATTTGCCAATATCAACTTCATCTCGAATAATCTATGAAGTTGATGATTTCCCTCTTGTCAATCGAGCACATCAAGAAGGTAAATCCCAAAAAAAGAGAATAAACAAAGAGGTAGAGCTATAGCTAGGTTCGAGGTGCATGAACAAGAGAGGGGAAATGAAGGAAGCTAGGGCCTAGGGTAGCTCCTCGAGTTGCTCTAGTAATTATTCTTGCTTATGAAATTTTATCAGCATGAAACGACAAGGTAGCTAATTGCTTTTCAGAGGGATTAGTTGTTCTGGTCGGTTAAGCTAAGCAAACATTACAAAAAATTGTTACTATGATGCTATGTTATTATAATGGATTAAGGAGTTTGTAGATGTCATTATATTGCTTAGTCTTTATAATAGTTTTTATTTTTTGTTGGAAAACCTAATTATTTTATAACGGATTAAGGAGTTTGTAGATGCCATTATATTACTTAGTCTTTATAATAGTTTTAATTTTTTTTGGAAACACTGACAAAAAGGTTGTCTCCATGTACCACATACATTATTGCTAATAAGTGATTAACTATGGAGGTAAAGGTAGCGGCTTTTTTATTAGTTAACCTCAACTTTATCATTTCACTCTTACACATACACATGATGGTGATGGACTCGTATTAAATTTGTAATCGATACCAACTTAGATAGATAAGCACACTTTGAGGTACAATGACCACTTAGTAAAAGTTTGCAATTGATATCAAGTCTGGTTGCTTTCAATCAACAATCTATTGAGTGAGGCATGCTCTCATGAATGATTCACATAACTTTACTCTTATCGAACAAGTTACGAGAGATTGAGGAGCCATTACAAATAAAATGAATAATCAATTGATACGAGTTATTCAAATAGAAGCAAAAAATCAACATCAATTCGTAATCTTGCATGAACTGATTGTATTTCAAATACATCATTTGCACATGCACCTAAAATAATGAACCAATTAAATAACAAAACTAACCCATCAGACGCTATGCATTCGGATGTTCACTGTGATCTGCACACCCATCCACACATAAAAATCGTGGTCCCCTTTTTATAAACTCGTCTAACTCCTTGTTCAATACATCTATTTTCTAACTATCGTTAAAGTACACCTCTTTAACTACGGAACTCATTATTTAACTAAATAATCTTCCCCACAACAAAATTTTACACCATTTACAATATATTTGTGTACTCTTCTCAATAGTCAATAACACACCATTCAAAATTATAACTTCCAATGTTGTACCTTTTCTGTAACTTGCCTCCCTTGTCCTTCCCATCAAACACCTATATATAAAATCCAACACACTCCCAGAAAATCCCCCATTCCAAAACCTCCCCTTTCCCATCCCCAATACATCTGTTCTATAAACAAAAGCTTTTGCATTCCACTTCCACCTCCACACCACCATCTTTTGTTAGTTTGTACAGAATTACAGATCCAAAACCCCCTCCCACCCAAAAACCAATCCAAAGTAGACTTAAAAAAGCAAATTAGGGTTACCACTTAGCACTAGCCAGCCAGCTGCCCAGAAGTAGCCTCTTTTCCAGCATAATATTAAAAGAAGTTTGAGACCCATTTATAAAAAATTCTAGTTATGGTAACTGCAGCCCTTCTTTTGTCTTGTTTCCCCTTCCTCTTCTCTTCCCTTGTAATAGCAATCCTTCCTCAAACATCTCCCAATCTCAAGACCTGCAATTCTTCTTCTTCATGTGAGACATTTGCTGTTCTTCACACAAATCCATTCTTCCCTTCTCTCTCGAACTTAACCCTCTTCCTCAATCTCAACCGTGTCGCCATTTCCGAAGCGAATGAGCTCCCTCCCAAAACAGAGTATTTCAAAAAGGACCAGTCTTTGCTCATCCCATTGACCTGCAAGTGCTCTAAAGGCGGTTTCGAAGCTGAACTCGTGAAAACGACGGTCAAAGGCGACAGCTTTTCCTCCATTGCTGGTTCTCTAGAAGGACTGACGAACATTGATGGAATCAGGGCGAGGAACCCAAATGTGGGGCCATGGAATCTCGGCGAGAAAGCTCGGATCTTGATCTCGTTGAGATGCGGTTGCCCTAAAGCGCCATTGGATAAAGCTCGAATCTTTCTCACTTACCCTGTTCTTCCAGGTGATTCCATCTCCACCCTTTCGATAAAATTCAACGCTTCCCCTGATTCTATAATCTCCGCAAATCCCCATTTGCCGGCGAAACTCCAACCGTTCACCTCTGTTCTGATCCCGGTCACCGAGAAACCTCACATTTTCTCCCTCAATTTCCACCTCCGGCGAAAGAAAATGCGGCGGAAGGTCGGAATGTATGCGGCCGTGATATGCGGTGTGATTCTCGGGTGCATCGCAATTGCAGCGGGAGTCTTCGTGGCGTTGATGCAGCTTAAGAAGAGGGAAGCCCAGAAACAGGGGAATCAACTAGGAAAAAAACAGAGATCGAAAGATGCTGACGTGGAGCTCCAGCAGCTGAGTTTGAGCGTCAGGACGACGAGCGACAAGAAAGTATCGTTCGAGAGCTCGCAGCACGAAACAGTGGATCTCAATCATCACCATAGCCAAATCGTTGAGGCCACTACGCCGCGGCAAAAGAGGACGATTTTGGAGAGCTACACGGTGGAGGAAATACAGAGGGCTACAGAGGATTTCGATTCGGGGAATCACATCCAAGGGAGCGTCTACCACGGCCGGCTCAACGGCAAGAACATGGCGATCAAACGGTTGAAATCGGAACACGTGTCGAAGATCGAGTTCGGGATATTGAGCAATCCAACTCACCATCATCCTAAGATCCTCAAGGTCTTGGGGACTTGTTTGAGTGAAGGGTCGGATTGGTCGTACCTAGTGTTCGAGTATGCCAAAAATGGGTCCTTGAAAGATTGGCTCCATGGAGGGTTGGCATTAAAAATCAGTTCATTGCGTCGTGTTACTGTTTTTTGACGTGGGATCAGAGGCTCAAGATATGTCTAGATGTGGCTGTTGGGTTGCAATACATGCATCACATCATGAGCCCTAGTTATGTCCACATGAAGCTAAGGAGCAGGAACATTTTCCTCGATGAGGAGTTCAACGCGAAGATAGGAAACTTTGCCATGGCGAAACTCGTGGAAGAAGATGATCAAATTGACATTGATTATCTAGCTCCTGAGTACGTAAACCAAGACGTAATCGCTCCGAGCATTGATATTTTTGCATACGGTGTCGTTTTGCTCGAGGTGTTATCCGGCAAAACGGCGATAGCAAGAGGGGATGAAAAGGGAAAAGGGAGTGTGAAGCTTTGCGAGAGCGTAAAGAGAGTATTAGCTTCGGAGAATGACGTGGATTTGAAGGAATGGATCGATGGCGTGTTGGGTGATGGCTATCCGCTCGATGGGGCTCTGACATTGGCCAATCTGGCGCGAACATGTGTCGAAGAAGACCCGAGTTTGCGACCAAGTGCGGGAGATATAGTTGAGAAGCTCTCTGCATTGGTCGAGGAATCGAGCACGGGAGAAGGAGGGGAGAGCAGCAATGTGTTGTTTAGTGAGAGCTCTAGTAAGCCTCTAGTGAAAGCTGCCGCAACATAAAGTATAGTGGCCATGAATGGGAGTGTGGAGTTTGTGTGATTAGTGATATGATTATTTGATGGGAGAAAGTTGAGAGTGATCATGTGTTTTCTTTAGTTTGTGGCAATCCTTAATTATGAGGTGAAGATTTTGGTTGTAGATATGTATGTAATGGTCAATGCATATGATAGATATAGTTGGATGAATTGACTTCTTCAAATATGATAGATCTCGTCTCGTGTTTGGAGGTTCATGTCACTTAATATTGTCAATAAATCAAAGTTTATTCAAAAATATAAGATTATAGATACTCATATATATAATCTATATTTCAATGATTAAAATGAGACAGAAAGAAATAACACTAAAAAAGAATCATATAAACCACTAGATACATCTATCTGTCTCTTCCCAATCAAAGAAGACGAACAAAGAATAATTATTTCCACACACAATGCCCCCAAAAAAATCCCAATATTTACACACTGACGAAGTCACGACATCATGACCTTAAACTCGTCGAAATCCAACGCCCCGTCGCCGTCGAGATCGAACTCGGCGATCATAACCCCACACTCCGTTGCGCTGCGCCGCATTCCCAGCCGGCTCAACATCCTCTTCAAGCTCCTCGGCGTTATCATTCCGCCGTCCCCTGCCCCGGCGGCGGCTCCCGCCGCATACATCTTGAACGCCTCCTTCAAATCCTTGACCCGCTCCTCCTCCTCCCCTGCCTCCACCAGCCTCACGAAATCCTCCAAATCCAGCAGCCCGTCGCCGTCCGAGTCAGAAAACCCCACAGCGGCCTCCGCCTCCTCCTCCGTCAGCTCCCCTACTCTCCCTCCTCCTCCTCCGCCGTTGCTGCCAATCGCCGCCACGCACCGGCGCAGCTCCGAGCTCGATATCTTCCCGTCGCCGTCCTCGTCGAAGTGGGCGAACACCCGCTTGTACTGCTCGTGCTTGTCAATTGCATTCCCTGTCGCCACCATTTCCTGAAGTGAGGTATCCGATCCGCTTGCGAAATGTGTGGAAATAAGTTCTCTCTCGGGAGTTGGAATTTGCGTTTGGAAGTTCTGGTGAAAGGGTTGGGTTCGTTTGGGGGAAATTTATACCAACCAAACGCGGCGGTGACGCGTGGCGTGAGTTGACCGGATTGTGGTGGGTTTGAGAAAAGAAAGCGCGGGGGTGATTAGTGGATATAGGTGGGAAGGATTAATTGATTCATTATTAATTAATTAACCAGCGAGATTTTTTTTTTTTTTTTCTGTTTCCAGAAGAGAGTCATTAATGAGAGGATTAATAATTGTTTTTTTGTCATTATTAATGAAGGGAAGGCGCCACGAAAGGGGTTTTTTGGTTGGACGTTTTTTTCTTTGGCTGACAGAGCCGACTTATGAAGAAAGTCGGTACCTAGAAGAAGATATTATTTTCTGTTGTTTATTTATTTAGCAACCGTCAAAACGGTTTCGTTCACTTGTTTAGATTTCATCATGAGAGTGAGATTACGTTTGACATTTTGGAATGAGGGAGGTTGGTGACGGGTGAGTGATTATTGAGTTAGAAATTTGTTTTAAAGAGGGTGATATAAGTTCAACTTTAGCGTTAGGTACTACTCAAAATATTTGATTTTGTAACCTTTAAGTTAAGGATCAATATGGTAGAATGATCAAAGACTAATCTCTTGCAATGTAGTCAAATTTACGCTTTAATGTTAAAAATTTACGCTTTTACATTAATTTCTAGGTCACTAATACCCTTCTACATAGAATCATGTTTTTGCTTACAAGTGTAGTCAAAATATATGCTTAGAATCTTAAAGACTTGCACTTTTACACTTCTAAATCACCAAAACAATTCTACGAGGAATCACAATTTTTTACTACATTAATCTCTTTCTTGTTCCCATAAATTTGTTCTTTTGTAGTTACAAGGGTCAGTTGGTTATTTGCAATAACACCCCGTTGAAATTTTATCCCTTCATAACAACAACAAGGTTCTATATTGTAGCGATTTTATATATTAAAAATATCATTTTAAAGTAAGTGTTCAGCTCGTGATTTTCAATGACTTTCTTATTAGCATGCATGAAACTGAACAATAACGTTCAGCTCATTTGCATTCCTACTTGGATCCATAACCTTTGAATAGATAAAGATTAATCAGCACATCCAATTTTTATATATTGCTTGTGTCAAGTACCTTCCATAACAAGGGATATATCATCATGCATGTCATGACAACTACGTACTTTGTGTTTGTATTTTCTTTAATATTGCATTTCTTGTCCATTAGGGTTCTTTGCTTACACTTTTCTGATGTTATAGATTGGGACAGCTCATATTCATATATATTCACGAGATTAATTAGTTGACTTAAAAAAGGTCCAAGCCAATCAAAACGAGCCACAGAGACATCTTCTTCCATTCTCCTGGATAGAGGATTTCCCAATTGATGGGAGAAGACGAGGAAGGTGCAGTAACCAAAGCACAATATTATATATTGTGGGACTTTTCCATGGTCAAACTTAAGGCTAAAGATATATAGAAATTGACTTCAAGTGGAAGAAGAAGAAGAAGAAAAGGAACGAGCCATGGAAGGTACAGTTTTACTTAGATTGGTAGTTGTGGGCTGCCGCACCGCACGCCTTCCCCACTTGGTTTACAACTTCCCGCGGTGGCTGCCTGGTTTGCAGAACCGTGTGTCTTAAGGTATTGCATGACGTCAGGTTACAATTTTCTGAGAATATCATCCCCCTCCTCCATGTGAAGAAGAAAAACTCAAATATAACTATATAAGTCTCTTTCAACAAACGGCAAGTTAACTTATACATCAAGCCAAGGAGAAGGGTATTAGATGACGACATATATATGAGATCCTCGTGTTGCAAAGATTAGATAGTTAAACGTGTGCGCACATGTATTAATAGAATCACAACAACAAAAAAGTAAGCGACACGAGAGCTACATACAGTGGATAATAGAACAAGACGTAAGTTAATAAGAATTGATATTCCGAAAGATCATATGAGTTTTATGGATTTGTGGATTTTTTTCGACGTCTAATGAATGGAGTTGCAGCTAGGGAATTACTCGTGCTTGCTTTGGGTTGATATGCTTATGGGTACATATGGTATCGGTTTTCTTTCGATGAAATTCGGCAATTGACATGAGATGTAAATCGGGGCAGAAAACCTTATGGTGTGACAAATGTGCTCATGAATACCCATACTCAAAATAAACCTGCTTCGCAGGGTAGGAGATATGCAACACTACTACTATATTTTTGTCCTTAAAGAACTAACATTACTCATGCATACTTGACCAGTTGTTGATTTTTAGTTCAAGATTTCATTTGAAGGCATGTTGCACTCTTTCCAAACTCACGATCGAGTACGAATTAACTAACAACAAGATGGTGTCGAAAGGCAACCATGTCCATCCACCATTCCAAACTCCCCGAGCACAAACAATAAGAGAATATATTTGTAATCGACAATAGGCAAATATTCCATGTCTAAAGAAGTCCAATGAAGAGAAAAGGAGGTGCAAATGTGTTTCAACCGTACGAAAACAATCAATAAGCTAAAGAACTCTAATGGAGAGGAGGAGAAGTTGAGAAAGGAAGTGCAACCGTGATCAATACGCTAAAGACTGTGGAAGGGAGAAGCCAAGGGAAGTGTTGTTTAAGCAAAAATAAAATTGTTGGTTGTGGGGTTCGAACACAGGCACTTATGTGGAGATATCTTAAGAAGTCCAATGAAGAGAAAAGGGGGTGCAAATGTGTTCCAACAATAGAAAAACACTCAATAAGCTAAAGAACTCTAATGGAGAGGATGAAAAGTTGGGAAAGAAAGCGCAACTGTGATAAATAATAAGCAAACACTCAATATACTAAAGAACTCTAAGAGAGTTGCAAGAGTGGAGACTATGGATGGAAGAAGCCAAAGGAACTGTTGTTTAAACAAAAAAAAAAAGATGCTGGCTATGGGGTTCGAACCCATGCGCACTTATGTGCAGAAGATCTTAAGTCTTCCCCCTTAACCTCTCGGGCAAACCAGCCAGCATGCTTACTTTTTCGCTACGTAACAATTTACCCATTTAGCCAGATACTTCAGATCGGATTTGCTTTCTGGATGGGCTTTTAGGCCATTGATGAAATATGACGGGCCGGCTTGAAAGGCCCGTGACTCTGAGCCATATAACCAAGAGGTTTGTTTTCTTTGTATGAGTAACATAAGTTAGGGTGCAAGGGATGCAACAATGTTGCCGGCCGGAGGAGAGCTGTGGGCAACAAGGGGCAGCTGATGTCCATGATGATATATTGGGGTGGCCGTTCGGTTACCGGTTAACCGATTGATTAAATCGATAACCGGTCGGTTATCCACTAACCGGTAACTGAAGTAACCGATCTTCGGTCGGTTATCGGAGGTTGGACAAAATGATTTTTTGTCTTAAAAGTGGTTCGGTTAACCAATAACCGAGATAACCGAGAAATCAAACCCTATTTCGGTCGGTTTTCGGTAGAGCAGGTGGTTATTTCGGTTAACTGATAACCGGCCGATCGGTTACCGGTTATAACCGAAATAACCGAACTGCCACCCCTAATGATATAGCCTTTTCCTTAACATATTTACCAAATCATCCACTTGGGACCTTGAAGATGCTGTTGTTGCTAGTACGTAGCCCTAACAAACAAGTCGACGACGCCTCTCTAGTCTCTAGTCCCAAAGTGCAAAGCCCAAGTTGGCGTGAAAATGAACCTCACCGTCGAATAATCACCTACAGCAACGCCCACCATAACGGAAAGTCCACGCCCGCATCACAGCCAATCAGATATCCAGAAAATCTAAGGGCATTTTTTTTTTTTTGCATCAAGGGGAGGCCGAGGCCAAAGAAAAGAAGATTACAGGGGCAGATTAAGAAGGAGGGGGATGATTAGCCACTATACTGCGATCAAAAGTAGTTCCTCTCGTATCATCCTGCAGAATCGCAACCAAGCTCATAGGAGGATCAGCCAACTCATGCAGACCGTAGGGATAGACGAGACTGTGCTTCGAGAGCCAGTCCGCGACTCTATTCCCTTCTCGGTATGTATGAGTCAGGCTAACCAACCAGTCTTGGCCCATCTTTCTCCGAATGAGACTCAACAAGGTGGCATAAGGATGAATAGGATCATGTCGCTCCTGAATCAACTGAATAGCAAGCTGCGAGTCGGTGGCAATCTTCACCACCCGAAAACCAAGTTTCCAAACCAGCTCTAACCCATAGAAGATGGCCCAGAGCTCCGCTAAGGCGGCAGTAGCACTCCCGATGTTGGCGACGAACCCTCCCAACCAGTGACCCAAAGAATCCCGGACGACACCGCCCGCTCCGGCCGGACCCGGGTTCCCGTTTGAGGCCCCGTCCGTGTTAACCATCACCCAACCTTCTGCTGGCGGTGTCCACCCCACTGCTGCCACAACCCGATCTGCCTTCTGCTTTTTATGACTGAGGAACAGCTCCGGTGCCTGCCACGACTCATTCCAAATTCTACTCTTGGTTATAATGGACTGCATAAGAGAAGGAGCAGTAAGAGCCGCCCCTAAGCCTTTGAACGCAGCGGTAGTGCGGTTCTTCCAAAGGAGCCAGATAGATATACTAAAGAAACCTGGCCAATTAATCCCCGAAATGGTGCTCTCCGTACTCAATAAATTACTGCGAAACCACTCATCATGGTTGGCACTGAAGAAAACCTGCTGCTTCCCCTGAGGTACCTGTCTGGACCAAAAATATAAAGCAGGAGGGCAATCACGCATAATATGGAGAGCTGTTTCCGTACAACCTTCGCACCGCGGGCAGCAAGGCGTCTCCGCCACCTTCCTCTGAAACCGAAGAGCATTAGACGCTATCCTTCCCTGAATAGCTAGCCAAACGAACCCTCTGATCCGCTCTGGGACCTCTAGGCGCCAGATCTTCTTCCAAATTCCTTCCCGAGGTTGCTGTTCCTGCGGCATAAGAAGTCCATACGCAGATTTGGTGGTGAAGCGGCCATCTGCAGACGGAGACCAGAACAACGCGTCCTCCTCTTGAGAAATTTTATCCACGGCCGTGCTAGTGATCTTGGCGCAGATGTCCGGTGGAAGCAGACTAGAGATCAGCTCCGTGCGCCAACTCCCATCATCCCGAACAAAATCCGCTACCACCGCCTCATCGGCCTCGCCTGGCAAGTCTCCTGTCATGACCTCCTTCAAGGGTACCTGCAAAATCCACGGGTCACACCAGAATTTAGTCTTTCTTCCATTTTTAATATTCCACGCACAGCCTTGCTTAAGGAGATCCGCAGCTTTGGAGAAGCTGCTCCAGGTGAAGGAACTTCCCTGTTTTTTCCGCAGAACATCGAGCCCTGTCCTTTGGCCTCCGTACTTCGAGAGAAGGAGTTGCCGCCAAAGGTTATCTTTCTCCTGAAGAAGACGCCAGCCACTCTTAGCCAACATAGCCAAGTTAGCCTGGCGAGTTGGACGCAGGCCCACCCCACCTTGGTCCTTCGCCAGAGTCAACCTCTCCCAAGCAACCAGGTGCAATTTGGAGCGATTCTCCTCAGCTCCCCAGACGAAGTCCCTAGTGATCTTATCAATGTTCCTGCACACACCACTAGGAATCAATTCAGTGTGCATCGTATAGACAGGCAAAGAAGCGGTTACCGACTTAGCGACAGTGAGTCTAGCCGCAAAGGATAACCGTTTCGCTTTCCAGGGTGCCATCTTTCTTTGAATGCGCAGGATAAGAGACTGGTATCTCCCTCTGGTGACTCTTTCTTGAATTGCCTGAATACCGAGATATCTCCCCAAAGCAGCTTTCAAAGGAATCCCCGCACAGGAACTCAAGTTCTCGGCTTTATGTCTAGCAACGTTCGGGGAAACATAAAGAATAGACTTGCTGAAATTGATCCTTTGACCCGAGCTGTAGCAGAAATCCGCCAGGCACTGCTTGATGACCCGGATTTGCCTCCTTTCAGCCTCTGCAAACAATAAAAGATCATCTGCAAAAAACAGATGGGTCAGTGGCGGCCCGGCATTAGTTAACCGTATCGGCTTCCATTGCCCACTATTAACCGCCTCATCGATCCTGTGAGATAATCTTTCCATACAAAGAACAAAGAGGTAAGGGGAAAGAGGGTCTCCCTGACGAACTCCACGAGTCGGGGTGATCGGCTGAGACAGTTCTCCATTCCACCGGATTCTCATGGTGTTGTGCTCCACGCAGTACATGATACAAGTGATCCAGCTGCTCGGCAGCCCGACCTCTTTCAAAGTATCCCGCACGAATTCCCACCTCAGCATATCATATGCTTTTTCCAAATCAATTTTGAAAACCATGCCGCCTTTCTTTCCTCGCCTCTTCCTCAAGCTGTGTAAAACCTCTTGAACAACAATGATGTTGTCCGTCGTTTGTCTCCCGGGAATGAAACTGCTCTGTCTCGGGGACACTAACTTCCTCATGAGAGGTTTCAGCCTCGAAGTAATGGCCTTA